CCAAAAAGGCCCTGTCACAGGTCAACATCAACTGGGCAGCAGCCAGGTGAAGCCATCCCCAACAAGACTTCACTTTGACTTTTACTAACACCTTCAATTGGGCCTGACAACTCACAGTGCAGCTCTTTCAAGACAGGTGACACATGGTCACACAGATACATGAATATGAAGTTGACTTGTAGGGACTAAAACTTTGTTTCTATCTAGCTCAGTGATGGTAGCTTTCCAGAGTCTCAGCCTGAAGACTTTTCCAACCTTCCTCTTTTGAAGTGTCTTTTGGGATTGACCAAATGTTTCCAGTGATTGACCCTAGCATCATCTGCAGCCAATACATCAGAGGTCGGCAACCTAAGGCCCATGGGCTGGAAGCAGCCCATGAGGGTCGCTTAACTGGCCCATGAGCTGCCCCCGAACCGAGCTGCCTGCTCGGCGAGTCCCCGTGTGCTGTGCTAAACTGGCACGGCGCGGGGACTCTCTTCTGCGGCTCCGGAAGTTGCTTCTGCGCTTGCCCAGATGCCATAAATCGCCTCTGCGCATGTCCGCGAAGCCGAAAATTGCTTCTACGCAAGCGCAATTTTTGGCGTCTGGGCATGCGTAAAAGCAATTTCCGGCACCGCGGACATGCACAGACACTATATCCAGTGTCATACTGCACTGGCCCGGCCCACGGAGGATCTCTGTGGGAGTGATCCGGCCCATGCCTGGTAAGCCTTGCCAACCCCTGCAATACATGTATCCCACCACCAAGATATGCCCCCTCACTATTTAAAACAATAGAAGAATTAGATTTCACACGTTGCCACATTGAGCTATTTTTGGTCATTGTTGCTCCTGTGCTTAGGATTCTTCCCGTAAATATTTTTCTGCAAACATGGGGGCTGTTAGTAAGTAAAGGTAAAAGGTAAAGGACCCCTGGATGATTAAGTCCAGTCAAAGGCGACTATGGGGTGCAGTGCTCATCTCACTTTCAGGCCGAGGGAGCTGGCGTTTGTCCAGAGACAGCTTTCGGGATCATGTGGCCAGCATAACTAAATGGCTTCTGGTGCAACAGAACACCGTAACGGAAACCAGAGCGCACGGAGACACCAGCAACGGGAGCTCACCCCGTTGTGGAGATTCAAACCACTGACCTTCTGATCAGCAAGCCCAAGAGGCTCAGTGGTTTAGACTACAGCGCCACTCGTGTCCCTAGGGCTGTAAGTAAAAGCACTTAAATAACAGAGATGGAATCCAGAATGCGACTCAATCCCAACGACATTTTACTGAGAAAACTGAAAACCCTCCCCAGTGTATAACAGAAATAAACAGAAAGCTTTTGTCTTTCTTACGTGTGGCCTTGTACATAGTATGGAGACATTCAACCACATATACAGAGGAAGAACTCCTTTAGAACTGCACAGCCAGTCAGGGTACCCGTTACCTCAGCAAACATAATTCCACACTGCCTGGCTGCTAATCAATACCTCCACTCCCTCACTCCCTTGATTTACTGATAACAGAACTGACCCGTAAGTTACAAATGGAATTATTCTTGCTGTTGCACTTCTATCAGGGGGTGCCCCAAGCCCAATGATTCCTCCCTCTTGCTGTTTTGGTTACAGAAGGAGATATACTAAGAGAATAAGTATATAGGATGATATTCAAAGAGTGTTTACTTAAAAGTTCATGTACAAATAAGGAAGATGTGTATTTTTATCCATATTACACTTGATGTGACCTGTACATAAGATGTTATATTCTTAGATTTGTTTACTGGATGGGAGAATGTTTTTACAGCACTGAAGCACGTCGTGTTTGGAATGCAAAATATTAGCTGTCAAAGTGAGGAGTTGGAAGATTAGCAGATTAAAGCTTTATCCCAGAACAAACCAAAATGTAGCTACTCTTCTATACTGCTGATCCATACGTCACTGCACTTCCCCCTTCTTTTCGGTACTCCACCCTCTCTGTTTATGTGAAACGTAAAGTATTTTTTCCCTCTTTACTTTGGCATGATTGCTGCAACCTGGAGTGGCCAGACTGGTGCCGTAATGCCAACTGCCCCCCCACCCCCGGTGGTGTTGCTCCTGCTTATTGGGATGGCGGGGGCACAGCAGCACCCCACTGGGAGCAATGGATCGTCTCTGCTGGCGTGCTTGCACAGACCTGGCCTCCCCTCTGCACTGTTCCAGTAAGTGGCAGTGGTGCTGCTGTCAGGACGGTGGCAGTGCAGTAAAGCTATACCAAGGAAGTCGGGCATTGGAGACTTAGTTGTTGCCCATCACTTTTAAGTGAAACGTCTTTCTGCACAATGCCCTGTGGGACTCCTCACAAACCCAGCCCATTACAAACAATATCATTCCAAAAGCTTGTGTACAAAATTGCTTATGAGTAATTAGTCACAGAGTGGGAAGAAAAGTGAGTTGTATATTAGTAAAATAAAGCTCTTTTGTTGTTTAGTCGTTTAGTTGTGTCCGACTCTTCGTGACCCCATGGACCAGAGCACGCCAGGCACTCCTGTCTTCCACTGCCTCCCGCAGTTTGGTCAAACTCATGCTGGTAGCTTCGAGAACACTGTCCAACCATCTCGTCCTCTGTCGTCCCCTTCTCCTTGTGCCCTCCATCTTTCCCAACATCAGGGTCTTTTCCAGGGAGTCTTCTCTTCTCATGAGGTGGCCAAAGTATTGGAGCCTCAGCTTCAGGATCTGTCCTTCCAGTGAGCACTCAGGGCTGATTTCCTTCAGAATGGATAGGTTTGTTCTTCTTGCAGTCCATGGGACTCTCAAGAGTCTCCTCCAGCACCATAATTCAAAAGCATCAATTCTTCGGCGATCAGCCTTCTTTATGGTCCAGCGTCTCACTTCCATACGTCACTACTGGGAAAACTGTAGCTTTGACTATACAGACCTTTGTCGGCAAGGTGATGTCTCTGCTCCCCCCCCCCCCAATAAAGCTCTAGAAGATGTTTAAATAGGAAAAACAACAACCCAGCTTTCTAATGGAAAGCAAACGAATGACGGTAAGATCACATTAGAAACTAGGGTATAAAGAGAGGTAGTATTTGCCACAGGAATAAAGTGACCTTTTTTTAAAAAAGGTTGTATCTGGTGATGACTTTGTGCTAGTGCAGGAGGGAATTTGGCCAAGGGAGTGGGTCCTTACCACCTCCTATACTCGTAGGTCTCAAGGCAGTTCAAAACATAAAACTACAATACATGAAACACAAAATACATAATAAAAACAAAAAAACAAAAAGCGCCTAATGATTTTCCTCTCCCACAACACATTTAAAAGGACATGATTATAAAAATATGATAGGTGGGTGGGGCTGCCCACCTGTCAATCACCTAATGCATGGGTAGGCAAACTAAGGCCCGGGGGCCGGATCTGGCCCAATCGCCTTCTCAATCCAGCCCACGGATGGTTCAGGAATCAGTGTGTTTTTACATGAGTAGAATGTGTCCTTTTATTTAAAATGCATCTCTGGGTTATTTGTGGGGCCTGCCTGGTGTTTTTACGTGAGTAGAATGTGTGCTTTTATTTAAAATGCATCTTTGGGTTATTTGTGGGGCATAGGAATTCATATCCCCCCCCCAAAAAAAAATATAGTCTGGCCCCCCACAAGGTCTGAGGGACAGTGGACCGGCCCCCTGCTGAAAAGGTTTGCTGACCCCTGACCTAATGTTACAATGATGTCATGTGACCTGTTTTCCTTTTGCCCCTGTAGCTTGAAATCAAACTGAGCTGGCAAAGGCACAGTGCTTTGTTAGTTTTGATGATCACAGATCCTTCCCTATGACTGACAAGCTAGTGATAGTCAGTGCTACTGGCTAGTGCTCCAATCTAAATGCTTGAGAGCAGAAATCCAGAAGCCTCAGGGTGCCTGAGGTTGTGGTTGAAGGTACAGAGGTTAACACTGTGATTCCACTGATTCCTCCAGGCATACAGCACATGTGTAGTGGAGATCTGAACTCTTGAGCTGATACAATATTGGTGGAGTTCTGTTAGAACCACTGGAACTAATTGTTCATATCAGTAAAGGATCTGGCTTTCTCTCTGTAGCATTCTGTGTTTTTCTTCTCCGGAAACCCCTTGTTCTTGGCCAGCATCTGCTTGGGCTGCCAGCTCCTTAACAATTTTTAATGGCGTGCACTACCTAGAACTTTTTGCAGTCAATAGATTGGCTCCCACTGGGAAAAGCACTAACTGGAAGTGCTTGGCACGACTCAGGAATTCAAAGAAACATTAAAAGCATTTTTTAAAAAATTGATAGCATAATAGCTATAGTTTTACCTGACACACCAAAGATTGGACAAAGTCACATTTTGGTCTGCTGTCTTGATTCAAAATGGTGCTCAGCACCCAAACATTTACCAAGATCGCTGCCCCTACCTCAGGATTCCTCATGGAAAGTTTGGTGATGATATCTCAAAAGGTAGCCAAACCGATGCCAAAACAATGGGTGAAGTCTTGCCAAAGTGAAGTTTCAGCCTGCCATATTGATTCAAAATGGCACCTGGCACCCAAACATCAGTGAATATTGTTATGTACTGAAGTTCTCACCCTGGCCCAGCAGGGGGATACTGTAGATTGTTATGCAAATGAAGGATCGAAAAGTGACGTCCAGTGATTGGATAGTTTTGTATGCAAATGAAGGATCGAAAAGTGACATTCAGTGATTGGATAGTTTTAGAACGTTGCAACAGTTACAATTGTTCTGTAGCTCTATATAAGCAGGCTGACTGAGCTCCTCAGCTCAGTTCTGTTCCAGCTTACAAAATAAAGAGCTGCTTTGGAGAAATTGCTGTGTCGTCTGCTATGTCAACCCACAACTTAACACTGGCGACGAAGGTGGGATCGGTGAACATCAGAGCACAGCCAGATGCGGCCATCCTCTGAACTGAGCTGAATCACAGAGCGAAATCACTGAGCGAAATCACTGGACAGAACCAATTCAGAGCTGACTGTTCTGGCTAGAGCACTGTGTTCCATCCATCCCCCTTCACGCCAGCATCGGAATCATGGCTTCACTTGTGCCTCTACCGCCGTTTGCGCCAGCCTCTGAATCATGGGACTCCTACCTCGCTTGGTTTGATTGCTACCTCCAAGCCAACGAGCTGACAGCAGTATCAAAGGAACGGAAGCGGGGCCTATTCCTCAGCCTCTGTGGGCCTGAGGTGTTTGAGACGGCCCGAGCATTGGTTGCACCTGAAGCAGTCCAGGCAACACCATGGGACATGATCCAAGAGAAGCTCCGCAACCACTACGCGCCAAAGCCGTCCAAGATTGCTGCCCGCCATGCGTTTTACCACCGGAACCAGGCAGAGGGGGAGTCAATCAGCAACTACACTACTGCCCACAGACAGGCTGCATTGCACTGCGAGTTCCGAGACTTAGATGATGCCCTGATGGATCGAATCGTCTGCGGGGTCCGGGACATCCATCTGCAACGGCGTCTCCTCGCCAAGCCAGACCTCACGCTACAGAAAGCCATTGAGGAGGCTGTGGCCTCAGAAGCTGCTGAATGCTCCGCCCAGGAGATCCGCAAGTCCAGCAGCTCGCGTCTTGCTAGGAAGCCAGTTCCAGTGCATCATGAAGAGGCCCGCAGTGATGAGGCATCCTCCAGTGAAGACGATGACGTGCACCAGACAAAGCGGGAGCGCAGGAAGTTCCAACAGAAGTCCAAGGGCCAACCGGAATGTGCCGGCTGCGGAGGCAACCATTCCCGTGCCAAGTGTCGATTCAGAGACGCCATCTGTAGAAAGTGTTCCAGAAGGGGCCACATCGCTAAGGTCCGCCGATCGGCTCCGTCTGACACCCCCCTTCACCGACTCGCAAGTCCAAGTCTTCACTCCAGTCTGCCAAGGAAAGCTGTTTCGCTCTCACCAACTGCCGCTGCCCGTCTGGAACGACGATTAGCCAAACCGACTCGCCTACGTGACGCAAGCTGAACGTCACGGTGCTCATTGAAGGAGCTCCATGTGACATGGAGATCGACACCGGGTCTGCCCTGTCCATCGTGTCTTGGAGCACCATCAAAAGACTGGTACCCAGAGTGTCCAAAAGGCAACTCGACTCTCACCGCATACACCTGAGAGACTACCAGGGAAACGACATTCCCGTGGTAGGCGTTGGCCGGTTCCGGATCGCCTTCAAGGATTTTTCGGGCCTGCTCCAGTTGGTGGTGGTCAAAGGTCAGCGGCCAAGCCTCCTAGGGCTAGACTGGTTTGATGCCCTTGGCCTGGAAGTCACCGGCATCAACTGCATCTCTAACGCAGAGACTGAGGGTCTGGTCAAAGACTTTGCCGAGGTTTTTGATGGCACTTTGGGGCAATATACAGGTACGCCCATCTCCTTTAGCCTTGATCCACAAGTCGCCCCCATTAAGCTAAAGCCATGCCGGGTTCCCTTTGCTCTCAAGGCTAAGGTGGACGAACAACTGGACAAGCTGAACGCCCAAGGAGTTTTGGAGCCGGTTGACCACGCCAAGTGGGAAACCCCTATCATCACGCCTGTCAAGCCAGACGGGTCGGTGAGAATCTGCGCTGACTACAAGTGCACGATCAACAAGGCACTTCAGTAGCACGCTTATCCTGTTGTCCAACACCTGCTGCATTCCCTGGGTGAGGGTAAGGTCTTCGCTAAGCTGGACCTTGCCCAAGCCTATCAACAACTGCCCGTCGATGATGCCACTGCTGAAGCCCAGACGATCGTCACCCACCGAGGGGCATTCCGTTGCCGCCGGTTGCAGTTCGGGGTGAGTGTGGCTCCTGGCATCTTCCAAAGCCTTATGGAGCGTCTCCTGTAAGGGCTTCCGGGCATGGTACCATATTTTGATGACGTCTTGGTGTCCGCAGACTCACACCAGCAGCTGTTCGAGCGCCTCCGTGCCGTGCTGACCAGGTTCCAAGAGGCCGGGCTCAAGGTAAAGAGGGAGAAGTGCCAGATCGCCATTCCACAGGTAGAGTTCCTGGGCTATCTTATCGACGCCTCCAGCCTTCACCCGACCACATCCAAGATCTGCGTTATCCAGCAGGCCCCCATCCCAAAGAACAAGACAGAGTTGCAGGCGTTCCTGGGGCTGCTGAACTTTTATAACATGTTCCTGCCCCACAAAGCCACGGTGGCTGAGCCTCTTCACCGACTCCTCAGCACAAAGACGCCTTGGTCCTGGGGTCATCGGGAGACGGCGGCCTTCAACGCGGTCAAGGCTCTCCTTTCATCGGACCGTGTGCTGGTACAGTACAGTGAATCCAAGCCGCTGGTCCTTGCCTGTGACGCCTCACCTTTTGGCATCGGCGCTGTCCTTAGTCACCGTTTTCCAGACGGAAGAGAAGCACCGCTTGCCTACTTTTCCAGGACGCTATCTCCGACGGAACGGAATTACAGCCAGCTCGACAAGGAGGCACTGGCACTTGTGGCTGGAGTGAAGAGGTTCCATGAATACCTCTATGGCAGGACTTTTGACCTCATCACTGACCACAAGCCGCTCCTGGGCCTCCTCGCCGGTGATCGTCCAACTCCACCGGTCCTCTCGCCACGCATGCTGCGATGGACTGTTTCCCTGGCTGCCTACCACTACCGGCTCGTCCATCGCCCAGGGAAATCGATGGGCCATGCCGACGCCCTCAGCCGTTGCCCTCTTCCAGCGTTTGTGGAAGACCCGGCTCCAGCTTCATCGCTCCTCCTGATTGAGGATCTTCCGGCAGCACCTGTATTGGCTGCCACTGTGGCCTCCGCATCTGCCCAGGATCGCACCATCAGCCGTGTGCTCAACTGGGTGTGGAGGGGGTGGCCACAAGGGCCTTTTGCATCGGAGTTCCAGCCCTTCGCAACCAGACAACATGAACTCTCGGCTCATCGCAGCTGTCTGCTGTGGGGAGACCGCGTCGTGATTCCCCAAAGACTCCATCAACGCGTCCTGGAGGCTCTGCACGTTGGCCACCCGGGAATTGTCAAAATGAAGGCGTTGGCTCAGTGTTACATCTGGTGGCCTAACATGGACGATGCCATCACTGCCTGGGTGTCCGCCTGTCAAGCGTGCAAAGAATCGAGGCCTGCACCACTGGCAGCTAAGGGACACACCTGGGAGATGCCAAAGACACACTGGTCGAGGGTGCACATCGATCTGGCCGGCCCCTTTCACGGCCGGACCTTTATGGTAGTGGTGGACGCCTATTCCAAATGGCTGGAGGTGGCCCTGATGCCCTCCACCACTACCGAGGCCGTCATCCGGGTGCTGCGAGGCCTGTTTGCGACGCATGGGTGTCCTGATGTCCTTGTCTCCGACAACGGACCGCAGTTCACGTCAGGCACTTTTGAGCGGTATCTTTTGGGACTGGGCATCTGCCATGCCCTAACGGCACCCTTTCATCCATCCAGCAACGGGCAAGCGGAGAGAATGGTGCGCTCGGCAAAAGAGGCACTGGCGCGCCTGGACCGGGGAGACTGGCACGAGTGGGTCGCCGAATACTTGTTCGTGCAACACATCACCCCTCATGCTGCCACAGGGCGGAGTCCTGCTGAACTGTTTATGGGCCGCCGCCTCAGGTCACCGCTCGACCGGCTGCACCCGGACTTTGCTGTGGCCGAACCCCCAGGCTGTGCCAACGCACCACGGTCATTTGTTCCAGGAAACCAGGTCTTTGCCCGGAACTATGTGGGGGACATTCCTTGGGTGCCAGCCACAGTAGTGGGAGTCACTGGACCTCGCTCGAACCAGGTGGCACTCGAAGACGGACGCTTGTGGCGCCGGCACATAGACCAGCTTAGGCGCAGGGTTGGGGACTTGGACACTACCGTGATGCCCCCAACTGCGCTCGTGGCTCCAGAAGAGACACTTACAGATGGCGAGGCTCCACCTACACCTCCTTCGCAAACAGCCAGCGTGGAGCCGAATCAAGCCACTTCAGAGGGTCTGCCAGACTTACCACAGGCTCAGACCACTCCACTTGCGGAGGCTCCACCCACAGCAGTGGATCCAGGGGATTTGGTTTCAATGCCACCTAGGGTCACACCACAGCCTCAGCAAGAATTGTGTGGCCCCCCGGACTTGGCTACCAGTCCGCGCCGGTCTGGCAGAGTTTCCAAGCGCCCAACTTATTTAAAGGACTATGTTGTTGGACCTGTATCACTGTTGGTCTAAGTATGGGAAATGTAACCGATATGCTTTTGTGCCTAATTGAACCATTACGTGTAGTGCTGTATATAAGGAAACCATTACGATTGTAACTAACGCCTTATCTCGGTGGGGAGGGGTGTTATGTACTGAAGTTCTCACCCTGGGCCAGCAGGGGGATACGGTAGATAGTTATGCAAATGAAGGATCGAAAAGTGACATTCAGTAATTGGATAGTTTTGTATGCAAATGAAGGATCGAAAAGTGACGTTCAGTGATTGGATAGTTTTAGAACGTTGCAACAGTTACAATTGTTCTGTAGCTCTATATAAGCAGGCTGACTGAGCTCCTCAGCTCAGTTCTGTTCCAGCTTACAAAATAAAGAGCTGCTTTGGAGAAATTGCTGTGTCGTCTGCTATGTCAACCCACAACTTAACAAATATTCCCACCCCAAACCCAGGAACTCTTGTGCCGAGTTTGGTGATTATATCTCAATAGGGAGCCAAATCTATAGAAAATGGATAAACGGATGGATGGACAAACAAACAGACAAGTTGTTTTCCAAAATATATAGTAGATGGGTTTTCTGCCCCTACATTATCAACCCGTTGCAGTTTGACGAGCAGCTCTCTTGTGTGCTTCCAGGACAATCTTAAAATTACAGTACAGCCCCAGTTCCCAATTCAGAAGATCAGTTGTCACCTGAATTATTCTGTGTCAACCCCTCTTTTGTCTCAGTGGTGTGTGTCTCTTTCTAATTACTGGCCCACTAGAGTAAACTAAGTTGCAGATGCCCAAATCCAATTTTCTAGCAACGCAGACCCTGAGGATCTCGGGCCCTGATGTCTAATGTCGTAAACAATAGTGACAGAGACTTTGATTAAAGTTGACAGGATCCTTATAAAGCCGTGAAGCTGTTGTGCTCCTATTTTCATCACCCTTCAAATTTCCTTAGTTTAAAAAAGGAAGAGAAGATTTGAATCCCACTCAAAAGACCAAAAAACATCTTTTTGTATGACAGCTTTAGAAACAATTTGTCTCTTCAGTGTAAGACTATGTCATGCTTGAAAATACAGCAGTTGCTTTCAGTCACTCGGTATACAATGAAAGCCTTGAAAGTTCACACACACATAGACATCAATTGATCTTTCCCAGTTCATTTTTTCAATTTTGGGGGCCCAGTTTGCCCACTCATTGATGCCACAGTCTAGTATGTATAATAGGGCCCTACTAGCACACATACTCCTTCTCCCCAATCTGTATCAATTAGGACTTGCTGATCAGAAGGTCGGCGGTTCGAATCCCTGCAATGGGGTGAGCTCCCATTGCTCTGTCCCAGCTCCTGCCAACCTAGCAGTTCGAAAGCACGTCAAAGTGCAAGTAGATAAATAGGTACTGCTCTGGCGGGAAGGTAAACGGTGTTTCCGTGCGCTGCTCTGGTTCGCCAGAAGCGGCTTAGTCATGCTGGCCACATGACCCGGAAGCTGTACGCTGGCTCCCTCGGCCAATAAAGTGAGATGAGTGCCGCAACCTTAGAGTCGGCCATGACTGGACCTAATGGTCAGGGGTCCCTTTACCTTACTTACAGGGCATATGGCCAATCTTGAGGTCCCTTTCATCTAAAAAAAAGTGAAAAGGACCATGGAACTGGACTTTAATACGAACATACGTAACATCCACACTGGACAATATACCATGTCACTGGTGCTCAACCATGCACTGACATGATTGCTGAATTTGTGAGCATGTAAACTAGATCTTGAAGACTTGATGGTGAATGTGTGGAATGCTTCTTTTATTATTTTGGAAGGTATTGTGTTTTAGGTGATGCAAAACATCTATCTGTGTTTTTTTTAGGCAGTGATGGCACATTCACACATGTAGGTCATCACTTAATCTTGCAATTTATAATCAAGTGATATACAAGTATGTATGAAGAGGACGTAACAGGGCACTTCCATTGAATGCGTTCCTTGTAGGACTGACAGATGGAAGGAAAGGTAAGGCTGATCACCAACAAAATAAAATCCAAATTCTGCATCAAGGTAGCTCAAATCTCCTCTCAAGATAAATGATTCAGCTAATAATGTGTATGTAATTTTGCATTAAAGGGACGCGGGTGGCGCTGTGGGTTAAACCACAGATCCTAGGACTTGCTGATCAGAAGGTCAGTTGTTGGAATCCCTGCGATGGGGTGAGCTCCCGTTGCTCGGTCCCTGCTCCTGCCAACCTAGCAGTTCGAAAGCACATCAAAGTGCAAGTAGATAAATAGGTACCGCTCCGGCGGGAAGGTAAATGGTGTTTCCATGCGCTGCTCTGGTTCGCCAGAAGCGGCTTAGTCATGCTGGCCACATGACCCAGAAGCTGTACGCCGGCTCCCTTTGTCAATAAAGCGAGATGAGCGCCGCAACCCCAGAGTCGGTCACGACTGGACCAAATGGTCAGGGGTCCCTTTACCTTTATAATTTTGCATTGTTGAATGACCTGCATCCATAACATTTGAGTTTGTGTTGCTTCTGGGGCAGGGGGCACAAAGTGGATGATAACAAAAGGAGATATTATTGCCTCTGGATTTCTACCGTAGTCTGCAGTGAAACGAAAAATGAAGTGGATACATTTGACAACCCACACTCTATGGTCACAGCTATTTCTTTCTCTTCACACACTGGAACATGAACTGACACTTTTTAATTGTCTCATTGTCAACATATAGTCCAAGAGAATTTAACAAAATGCAGCAAAATTTTCTAATAAAAGCTTTACTGGAGATGCATAGACCAGATGAAGAAACTGCATGGGTTAAAACAACAGCTAGAAAAGCTGTGATTTTATTCAAGCTATTCTGTGGTTTGGTGTGAGGGTAGGGCTTGTTAATATAATCACAGTACTTCAATTCAAAATGTATATTGGATGGCGTTTTCTCAACCCTTGGTACAGAGTGTGCATTGCACACCGATGGACTGCAGGAAATTGCCTCCTTGCGTGTGGATGATTTCACTTTCCACAGGAAGCAGAACCAAAAATCTGCCCATGAGAGGCCCTCACATCAATACATTATCAACCTATAGTTTCTATGCCTTTTTTTTAGTTTGCTTTTCACTTATTAGAAGAGGCTGCTGGATCAGGCCGCTGGCCCATCTAGTCCTGCATCCTGTTCTCACAGTGGCCAACCAGATGCCTATGGAAAGCCCACAAGCAGGTTCTGGGCGCAAGAACACTCTCCCCACCTGTGGTCCCCCAGCAACTGATTTTTGGAAACATTACTGCCTCCAGCTGTGGAGGGAGATCATAACAGACATCATTGTTAGTGGCCATTGATAGCCTTATTCTCAATGAATTTGTCCAATTCTCTTTTAAAGCCATCTAAGTTGGTGGCCATCACTGCCTGCTGGCGCTGCAAGTTCCCTAGCTGAACCATGCACTGCATGAAGAAATACTTTATCAGTCCCGAATCCACAGCAGTGTCCAAAGAAGGGATGACCACTGGGAAGAATGCAGAGGGAGGAACTCTATGGTGCACCTGTAGCAGCAAACCCAGACACCTTCATCTGCCTCAGCTGCAATAAAACATGTCTCTCCTGTATCGGTCTCTACAGCCACAGCAGGCGCTGTAAGTCTCCAACCGTTGAACTTCGCTCCGAAGGTGCACTCTTCCATGGTCTCCCAAAACAGATGGATTCCAACAAAGGTCTTTTGCCCTGACACGCATCATTTTACACTTGTTTGCCTTGCATGTTGAATTGAGCCTTTTAGACGTGACTCATAACCCTTCCCTAACCTGAAGCTCATGAGCCTTTTATATAAGACACAAACTTTCCCCCCTCATTTAATGCTGTTTTCTAAAACAAAGGAAGAAACAAAAAAAGTAGCATCGTGAGGTCACTTAATAACTGTAGGAATTTTAATGTGCATTCAAATTTCAGATCACTGACATCAATGAAAGGGGAAGGGTGTATGTGGGGGAGACACACAACGCATCACATACGTTAGTTCCCTCACGGCTATTTGCATAATGTGTCTAGAGACAGCACTGTATAAGAAGGGAAGAGCTAACCCACCAAAGAGAACTCAGGGGCAGTTCTATTGGAGAGCTGATGTGATTCAAAGGAGAAAGGACAGACGAGTGAATAGCTGCAGAAATACAGTGAGCTCGGAAAAAACTCTTTGGTAACCTCAGCAAAGGAATAAAGCACCGGGGCAGAAGGTAATTGTCATTTAGATTTATTTGCTAGGCTGTCTGGCTAAAGTTCTCCCTTCTGATGAAGGCTGAAACTAAACAACACCTCACAAGTCTGTACACTAAGATACAGATTTTCTTCAATTATGATCTTCATTGTTTTATATTTTTTGCTATTTATTTAAGGGAAATGCCTGCTCTGAATTTGAGTTATAGCTTTATAAAACTTTAAAGAAGAATGCATATATTTCATTTACTAGCAAAGCATTCTTTTTTTTTTAAAGTAACTCTGATTTGATTAAAGTGGGTGCCTTAAAATAATCATTGCTAGTTTGCCAGATACCAGATTTAGAAATATAAAACAGTTGGCATTACATTAAAAGCAATCACATTATGTTTTTGTTACATTTTCCAGCACGCTAAAATGCATTTCATTAAGTTATTAGACAAAATATAAAATAACATCAAGGTGTAGTTTTTATTTAAGCTTTTATCGTTGCTTTATTAAAAAATGTTTTGAGGGCTATTAGAAAATAAATGGCAAAAAGCTGAAATAAAAATGGACTTTCATTAAAGCTAGAACAATATACTGGTTTAAAACACTCCTTTAAGAAAGAAATTTTATGCAAGCTATAATAATTATATGCTGATAATTGTATTTTAAACATTTTCCCATTTTTAAAGATATACTACAAAACAAAATCTAAGCCAATGATTGGAAACAAAGGTTTTATATATAACTTTGGATATGCAGTACTTTTTTCTGGGGGGACGCAGGGGTATGCATACCCCTGAATATTTTGTGAATCTTTTTACTTTTGTCCATTTACTGTGTTTATTTTTCCTGATTTGGAGTACAAAATGGTGATTTTCTTGAGTCAAAATAAGAGTACCCCTAAACATTTTTTTAGGGGAGGGGAAGCACTGTGTGTAGGTTACATCAAGTTAGCTCTTTGGCCACTTAAAAATCTCATTGCTGGGGGATGAGAGAGGGGTGTGTGTGTGTGTGTGTGTGTGTGTGTGTGTGTTTTCCATCATTAAATGAATACAGTGGTACCTTGGGTTACAGACGCTTCAGGGTACAGACACTTCAGGTTACAGACTCCGCTAACCCAGAAATAGTGCTTCAGGTTAAGAACTTTGCTTCAGGATGAGAATAGAAATCGTGCTCCGGCAGGCAGCAGGAGGCCCCATTAGCTAAAGTGGTGCTTCAGGTTAAGAACAGTTTCAGGTTAAGAACGGACCTCCAGAACGAATTAAGTTCTTAACCCGAGGTACCACTGTATGTTAAAATACTGTACCACCAGCATTTGCTTTCATATTGAGTCAGTCCTTGTGTTTGCTCAAAGGCAAACATCCAAATTCATTTGAAGATCTTCGAGTAAAGTGAGAGTGCATCTAGAATATTTAAAGGGACAAGCACCCATTTCCATGGGCAACTTCAGTAGACCTGGATGACGGCAGGAAAGCTTACATTTAGCTCCTGGACATTCCATGTTTCTTCGCATTATCAGGAATGCTGCATTTCTTTCCATATTTGCTCCATTCTCTGCCACCCTGTTTTACCTGCAGGACCTTCCGTCCCACGATGACATCGGTCCAGCGGCTCCTGCTCCTGCTCTCCTTGGCTTTTGCCAGCGTCTGTGTCAACGTGGGGCAGCCGTTTCCAGAGGGGGTGGAGAACGAGGGAAAGAGCAATCTGGATGGCATCCTCCAAAGGGCAGAAAGCATCATCTTGAAGTCCATTTTGAAGAAGGTGGACAATGACAAAGAAGATCCCAACAAAGGTAAATGGTGTACCTTGGCAGTTGCTGAAGTTCATGGCTGTATTTGTTTATGTGCCATTTCCCTGTCTGTAAAGGGCCTCAAAGGGTGTGTGTGTGTGTTGAGGTTTAGGGAATTTAATGACAGTTGTTAGGAAGAAGAGGCATGCAGTTCCTGCATGCTGAGAGCAAGCGATTCATTATTAAATCACATTTTTGCTCCCTTATCCACTCAGTTCCATTTCAGACTGGCCTCTCTAGGGAAGAGGCACTATTCCTTTCAGTATGTGCACGCTGCTCTCTGGTTCAATCTATGGCATATCCAGGTATGGCTGACAAAACCCTGGAGAGCCACTGCCAGTCAGTAGAGACCAGGGGTGTGCAGTTAGTAGGTTGGGATCAACTACGCAGTTAACAATATATATGGTGACACAGGGAGACCTGCAGAAGTTAAGGGCAAACTGACAGTTAAGAGAGGGCTGCTGGATGCTGCAACTGGAGAAGCAAAAACTCAGGGCTGTATTTAGCTTGTTGTGTTAACGTTGTTGCTCACAGTGTTGAGGTAAACCCCTTGTTCTTTTCAAACAGTCGCCTTCTGTCTTCCTATGCACTAACTAAATCATATTGCACATTGGATCATCAAGGAGTTCCGACTCCATTTTTATTTTCAAAATAGCAAGAACAAAAAGCTTCCCCTTTTAGCTTAGGCTGTGTTCAGGTGAAAGGAGGTTTTGAGAGTGTGTGGCACCAGAGATGGACTTTTTGGAATTTGCTAGCAGAAGTTTGATACCAAAAACAGATTCCTGTAATGAGAGGGATGTTTCTTCTTTCATCTGTGTTATCACCCACCCCCCTTGACCACTATCACTGTTTTGCACCTGGATCTGGTTGGTTCTAGTAAAAAACAAAGTAGATCCTGCCCACCTGAAACTCGCCCACCTCTGGTGTAAATACTACTGAGCTAGATGAACTGATGGTCCAACTCAGTATAAAGCTGCAGCCTATGTTCCTGGAAGAACATGAGTTAACCTGCCTATGCCTGAGAGACTGGTCTGTACTGGGGCTGCATCTGACTGCAACTTTCCAAATATGTTCTCTCAACAATTAACACTGGGCAGGCACCCATGCTATACTATTTTAAAAAGCCTTCTAAACACTTTATTATTTCAGCTAGCCGATCCAGACACTAGTATTGTATACTTGCTTTTAGTGTTTGCTGATTGGGGGTGTGTATTATTAATAACAGTTTTATATTGTTCGACGGACACTGCATAGATTTTGGGGGTTTTTTGGTCACTTAAGCAAGAACACCAGTTGGATCCACCTATGAGAAGGATCTTGACCACGGGGAAAGATGTTACTTCCACTTTAATTCCATTCCCAACTGTGAAAAAGGAATATCTCAGGGAGCTTCCAGATGGGTGTTTATTGTGGAATGAGTGCTCCTTGTGCATGCATGGTTTTTGCAGCATCCGTATAATATGTCCCCAAGGTGTCATTCACACATACAAGAAGTCACCATGGGTTAGGTCTAAAGAAATGCAGAAGGATTATTCAGACAACACACTAAAATGACAACGGATAGTGTGGGAGTACTGAGAGAGAAAAGGGACAATTCAGTTCACCTTTACAGGCTAACATAACAACATTCACAGGTGCTGAAGCAATACAAGAACTGAAAGACAACCATCCTTCAAATTTTCCCATAATAGGATTTTGCAGTGCAGTTCTTTAGCCAAGTAATGTGTACACAAATGCATATACAAGGGGGTAATGCATGCATTTAAATGCATACATTAGTGAAAACAGCATACAAAATGCATTACATAAGGGAAAATAACTTGGCAAAAGTGTGCATATTTTGTAAAGCTGCATATAAAAATGTCTATAGTAGGAAAAATATAGTAGACACCCCCAGATGCATATAAATTATACTAGATACATATAAATTAGCATATGCACATCAGGATTGTCTGACTCCCAAATATATCCACTTGACTGCTTTTGGGCAAGTCCATCCAGATATGTAGAATGCTAACATGCATTTTAATTTTCTAAGCATACTGTTGGTTTTAATTACCTTTTGAATGTTTTGAATACCTGTTTTTAACTGTATGTTATTGACACCGTTAATTTAATTGGTGTTAAATGAACGGTGTAGGCTTTTTTGAAAACTGTTTAGAGGTTTTATTACATTCAGGCGGCATCTAATAGGTGTTAAATAAATAAATGCTCCCTTTCAATCAAGAACAACGTTATTCTTGGAGTGTTTTAATGCTGTTCATTTCCTTGGGCAGAGCCAGGAGCTTTTCAGCCAGACTGGATCTCAAAAAGGCAGCACCCTGGAAAGAGATCTCTCTACGATCTAGAAAAGAAGCAGCATCCCGGGAAAAGGGAAGATGTGGATGAGGAATCTTACGGAGAAACTGTGAAGCGTCAGCACCCTGGGAAAAGAGAGGAAGAGGATGAATTTGATCCCTACTTGGAAGTGCAGAAGAGGCAGCACCCAGGCAGGAGGTACCTGCGAGAACAATACCTTGACCTCCCTAGCAGCAGCCAGCTAGCTTATCTGGATGAATTCTCCAAAAGGCAACATCCAGGCAGGAGGTACCTGACTTACAGCAAACGACAGCACCCTGGCAAGAGGAGCTGGGAGGAGGAGATTGATGAGGGTGAGCAGAACTTGGAGAAACGACAGCATCCGGGCAAGCGGTATCTGGTGGATGCAGAGATCCCAGACTACACTACTGTCCCCTGTGAGCCCCAGGATTCCTTTGAATGTAGCAAAGGCAGCTTGCTGCTAGAGTTGCTCGATAACGCAAGCAAGGGCCGTGTCGAGGAGAAGCGGCAACATCCCGGAAGAAGGTCTTCATGGGATGGTGCGTTGGAGGAAGAGGAATGAGACGTGGCTAGGGGGTGTGCTTTGTCATTGTTTTCATTCCTCCGAACGATTTCTCCCAACCATTAAATGTTCCATCCATAACCCTTTTTCTTCTTCCTTCCTTTCTGCTTGCTGAAACCTACTTTGCAGGTGATTCTTTATAGTGTGCTCCTTCCTGGTGGGCTATGGTCCAGATTTAGCAATGCATGGACATACGGATTTCATTTTAAGCATGGCACTTTGTGCCCCCACCCCCTGAGAGGCATGTGGCCAGGCGCACCCCCACATGCTTAAAATGGAACGTGTTAGTAAAGGATGATTCCAGTGTTTCATTTCTTGTGTGGGCCATAAGTTAATACAGGACGAAACCCATCCAAATGCAAGGGTAGTCAGATGTCAGTCTTCATGATGCTTGCAACTGGCATTCCAGCTCCAAAAGAGTTTGCAAATAGCACGCTTCATACTCATCTCTGAGTATGTTGTTTGCTGTTTTTGTCTAGCATTTCCTTCGATGCGGCTTCAGTCAGAGAAACACAGTGCCAGAATCAGCTGCAGGTCCCTTTTAATCCTGAAAATTGGGAAGTGCTTCCAACAAACGTATGCCAATGGGCGTGCCCATGTGGAAGTAACATGAAAGCCTGTAGATAAAGGAGGGAGGGCTTAGGGCAGGACTCAGGCCACATGGACAGCTTAGCCTGTGCAAGCCTGTAGTAGACAGAGTGGTTTGCTTTTTCTTCTAAAAGGGAAACCATTTTATGCACTGACAAGATGACTCGTCATGCAGGCAAACACGGTCCAAATACCATTGCAATGAAGTAAAAAACCCCCACAAGGAACCTGATCCACAAATAATAAGTAACACCAGTGTGTGTGTAGATTTCTGACTGGGGTCAGTATTCCCCAACCTTTATAAGTGAATTCCATCCAAATCCACACAGGTTCCATGAAACTACTTTTCCTGTTCTGGAACTTTTTTATGCAGGGCCTCTAGCTATTCTCCATGTGGCAATGCTACTTTCAAGTGCTCTTGATGATAGGGGATTGTGAACAGCCACTGCCTTCTTTATTCTGCCAACGGTGGATTGGACTGATATCTTGCTAATGAACAGGATTAATGTGCATAGAGAAATGGCATGCCTGTTTAGCAAATCTGACATTTGCTATTATCCTTTGCCCTAAAAGTGACTCATAGTAGTGATGATTTTGTTTGGAAAATCCACAGCTGAGAATCCTCACAGGGCCTGGGTTCCAGTATGCTGTCTTCGAATCAATCCCTCACTTTGTTTCCAGATAAGGATTAATTACAATAAATATTTTAAATTGCAGCAAGCAGGCGTCTTTGTCTCATTATGTGGATTTTCATTTGTAAAATATGAAAAAGTTTGCCTGTTGTCCCAAAATGGAATGTTTTCAATTTCTGTAGACGAATGGTGTTTATTTACCATAAACAAATCAATAAAAATCCATCATTAACAGTGCTCCCCTGTTCAATTATCTTTTTTGGTCATACGAAAGCAAATAAACAATGTGCCAAATGATCAATGCCCTCTTGAATTTAAAAAAGAAAAAAAAATTCAACCCAAACTGTGATGGAGGAAAACAGAATTTTTTTAAGTCAAAACTTGTGTATGGTGATGACTACATGTTTGTATATAGCAGTGGTTTATTACTGGTGTGGAAGGTTGCTTTGTGTAGAAATAGAGTTTTCTGAAACTTTCTGTTTGTGTATGATGAATAAAAAAAATCAGAATGAACATACATAAACTAGCTAACATCCTCCTTAAAAGAAAGAAGGATGTTTTGGGGGTGGGGCCTTGTTATTATAGAGATGCATAGGTGTGTCTTTGTGAATATCATCCTTTGATTCACACCTGAGCTGCTGAACAAGGCAGAGGCCAAATGTTTTGCTATAAGAAATTAATGGGTTGTATCCAGTGCTGCATGAGTCGACTTCTGCTTGCTTCCCCTTCCTTTCCTATCCTTGTGAACCCCCAAATTCTGCTCCAGGATTTTCTGTGTGTGTGTGTGTGTGTGTGTGTGTGAGAGAGAGAGAGAGAGAGAGAGAGAGAGAGAGACTCCCTCAGTGAAGATGGAAGTGTGGCAATATGACCAAGTCTGAGGTGATTTCCCCTTGATCACTCCTTTCTAAAGCCACTGAGAATTCAGGGATTCTCTATATGTGGTAGCATTGGATGTAAACCTGCAGCAAGGACTCTTCATATTGGGGGTTCCTGTGACAATTTATTCCCTGAACTGTGTATAAATTAAAGCTGAGGCAAGATGAAAACTTTTTTTTTATTAACAAAACCCCAAAGCAGGATGAAGCTTTAGGGCTTCACTATCAAAGGCACAATACTTTTTATGTGTGACAGAGATACTCTTTTAGGTTTAAATAAGAACTTTACTAATAATTATCAAAACAAAACGGTCTCTGTTGAAACGATCTTCTCCTAGAATGGCTAACCACTTTTAGCCTTCTTGTTAAAGCACCTCTAGCCCCTTTCTCTCCACCTGAGGAAATTAAACAGATTTGTTCTGCCTGACAAACCCTTAAGCACAACTAGCTACTTCTGTAGCCAGCCCTTACCTGCCAGTTAAACTGTCAAAATCTCCATTTACATCCTCAGTCTCTCCTGATTTTCCATTTCTCCTCCCTGCCATGATTGGCTAAGGGTCTCCAGGATGATGACCCAGTGGTCTGTCCGTCACAGGGGATGCAGGAGAGAGGAGAGGAAAGTTCTGTTGTGCAAACGCAGGTCTACTGTGTGTGTGGAATGACATTGCTGAATATAACCCAGCATCTCTGATTTGTCAGTAATTAATCTATTCCAAGAGGCATCCTGATCTACAAGTAATGTCAATGCAGCTGGGTGGTGGTGGTGACTTATGACTGGTTTTGATATTCTCCACACACACACACACACAGCGCCACCCACCTTTCCTGGTAACTGACATCCTTTGGAAATAAAAGGCTTGTATTCAGGTATACTCATATTTGCAGCTTAAAATAGAATGAAGTCCTCTCCTCTTCTGCTGCATTTCAAGCCACATTTGCGCAGTCTTGTTCATATCAGAGAGGGGGAGAGGTGGGTGGGGACATCTTCCCCTGATGCGCATGACCTTTTTTGTTTCTTTGACCATGCTACTATTCATGAAGTAATCTGCAATGTACACTCATCTGTGCATGTGTGAAGGCTCTCTCAAATGTTGACACCGTTCTGAAACATGCATCAAACGGCAGTATTTGTCGAGAAGCTACAGGATCAATATGGATTGTGTATATCGTCGTGCGAATGAGGCTTCAAGAACTAGCACTGGGAATGCACAGGATGCAGCATAGTAGAGGAGAAGAAATTTCAACATGCAGAGCTTTTCACATCCATTAAGCATGATGGAGGGACAAGTTGCACCAGCTTTTATTTTTCTATGTGGGGGGAGGGGGCAGTGGGAGAAGCGCGGACACGCACACACACACACACGGATAGAAGCTTGTAACTGAATAAATCCATGCCTTTTTTCTTTTTTATCTGGGCCCAAACCAGGTAAATATGCACAGAACCTTTACGTGCAACAATTATAAACATCACAGGAAGATAATGAAGTAATGCATAACCAAACTGGCTTTCAAAAGCCTCTTTCATGCAGGGATGGCTTGCTAATTAGAGGGAGATTAAAGACTTTCTTTGGTTTATTTTAGGCATTTAATGTCCCAAGTCACAGAATTCTCCCCAGGCGGTGCAGTGCTTTTTTCTCTGTCCTCCCCGCATTCTTAGAGATCCATAGAGACGGAGAGCCACCCACACTGTTCTGAAATCCATCAGTGTGCAAAGGAGCATGGCTGTTCTGCTCTTTGCACCGGGAAGACTGCTTCCATGCAGATAAGAACATGGCTGCCCCACAGATTATGGCACCAGCTTTTTGTTCACATGCTAAGGGCAACAGTCCTCCTTGCTGAACTGTGGAAAGTTTTAAAAGGAGTTAATGCTGAACTTAGTGCATAACAATAGATAGGCAAATTTGCCTATTTCAATTTCTCTCTGTTTCTCATTTTTTCCCCCAATCTTAAATTCCGTTGTCCAAATCGGTTTGCAATATATTTATATATTTAAATCTTCATGAAAATTTGTAAGCATTTTAGTGCAATTTTCTTCAAATATACACATTTTTGCAAAGCATTTCCCACTAATATCATGCATTTTTGTTTCCTATTTCCACTAATATATGTATTTGTATGCACACTTTACCGTAGTATATGCATTTTTGTGCACATTACTTTGCTGGAAAAGTGCTTTGCAAAATTTAGAGAAGTGCCATTCTTCAAGGATCACTGTATTTTGGTTTGCGTATTGCTTTGGAAAGAGAGAATTAAGTTGATTCAACTTTAAATGCAAACTGAATTGAATTTCTTCCCCACCCCTAGATGAAACTCACCATGCAGGGTTAGGTAGGTAGCTGTGATCTCTAGAATGCTTGCCAGTCTCAGGTGACCTAGATTACTTCCCAAAATAGCCATCTCCTCAGCTTTTCTGCTGTTCTGCTCTGTAGCTTGCTTAGCATTTTGATTGATCCAATAGCACCATACAAGACCACCTGAAGTGGTCCACCTGAAGCAAGCCTGAAGTTAGTTAACACTTCTGGACCCAGGCAGATGGAATCTCATCCCCATCCTTCTAAATGGCTGATTCAACTGGTGATTGCCAACCGGACTGTAGCCCCAAATGCCACCGAGAAACACACAGCAGGTATCAACATGCTTGGGAGATTTCAAGGGAACCCTCCTGCAAAAACAGTCCAAGGAGTGGTTCAAGTGGCTACCGTTGAAGGGGTTAAATCAGAAAACCAGAGGGGAGGAGGAACAGAATGTTGCATTTTGGAAGAAGACCTGGCTGGCTCACTAGAACCCTGAACAGGAACATTCCAACTGCAACATTTTGTTGCAGGGCCTACACAAAGAATGAAAATGATTATGGGTCTTACTGGAAAGAAGATCCAGTAAGGATCTTCATAGGAATAATAGCTTCATAGGAAGCTATTCGTTTTTTGGGGAATATAATTTCGTTAATCTAGATTTTCAAGATAGCCTACAAAAGAGAACCATAAACAAATATAAAGCAGATCAAAAACATCAGAAACAAAAGCATTTATCGTAGCAACAGTAAAAAAAATACAAAAAGCAGTAGGTATAAAATCAGTTAAAATCCTGGGCAATCTTTCCCCCCGAAAACGTCTAAAACGTGGCTCTCTGGGCAACCTAGTCACATGGTGGCTTATAAATACAGTAATAGTAATTATTATTAAGATATGCTACAGAGTGGCAGGGATATTTAGAGAAGGACCTCTGGTGTCAGACTTAACAAACAGGTAGGTTCCTTTTTAAAAAAAGAAAAGAAATAGCTAACATTTTTAATGAATATATCCCCTTTATAGACACCTCTGTGATGATGATGGCATTCAGATATTCTGTTCTTCTTCAATAAAAGAGAAAAAGGGACACCAAAGGTATTTTGGAGGGAGATGCCCTTGATTGGTTGCCAATGGTATGTGAGGTGTTCTGATAGAACAATACTCCAGATACTATTAACCCAAGCCTCTATTGGTATATTAGAGGTTATAGGAAGCAATTCCTAAATGAACAATGGAGTGTGTTGCTAAATAAAGAACACAATATTTTGGCCTTCAAACTGTGTAGATATTGAGTGGGGAGGCCCTGCATATTATAAAACTAAGATATACTAATTTAGTTCTAGTCTCCACTGACCACAAATGCCCTGAGATCAGCCTGGTACAAGGAAGGCACACTGATTGCATGAAAACATTCCATGTGATCTGAAAGAATCAAGTAATAAACCAAACGACACATTGCAGCCCCATTATAGTCAAGCTGCCACCTAGAAGCTGTTGCCAGCTGGCAACCTAAACCCCCAGAAGATAGAGGTGGGACAGTCTTAATCCATTCCGTTCCAATGCCTAATTAGTGTAATTGCATGATAATGGTTAAACATGTGCTCAGGAGCTGCAGACCTCTGTTTTCCTCTTATTAAATTGCCATCCTTCCACTGTAGGGGAAAGCAATGTCTTAAAGAAAAAAGATACTATGGCAACACCACAGCATAAGCGCACGCTGCTTTATTTATTTGTATTATTAACAGCTCGCAGGGGGCATCTGTATATATAGAATAGCTAGGTCTGTCCCATCACCGGTGTTTTGAGCCATTCAGAGAACATCAAAGAAGCAGGGCATTGAAAATTGGCTTGGGGAAGGCAATGCACCGAAGGCGTGTTGTGTCCTGTCTTGGCTAAATGATGAGAGTCCAAAGGCACTCGGGGCACCTTGAAAAGGGCTGACCTCTGAAGCAGACTACAGGGAACCACAGGGGTGCAGACATGAGGCAGTAGGTTCACCAAGATTTGGGGATGGTCCCAGGCAAGATGTAAGAACCCAAGAAGAATCTTGCTGGACCACACCAGCCCAGCTTTAGCAATCAGATTTCAACTGAGCTGCTAATTTATGAAGCAGGCCTAGAAGCACTAGCCTTGCTGCTCAGCTGAATGAATTGAAAGGAATAAAACTCTTGCTGGATACTACTTGCTGGATACTACTGAACAACACAATAATTAGCTATGGTAGATAAATGGAACTTCCAAACTGAGAGGCAATGTACTTTGGAATGGCAGATGCTGAGGACGAGCCAAAAGGATGTTGTAAGCTTCTCAGAAGCAACTGGCTGTCCACTCTTGAAAAGAGAATTGGAGAACCATCCAAGCATTGTTGGATTCCATATCCCATCAACCCCAGCCAGCAACAATGATCAATGGCTGGAGGGGTGATGGGAGTTGTAGTCCAACAGCTTCTGGAGGGTCATAGATTCCTCCCTCCTGTATCAAGTGGGTGTTTGGTGCAATCCAGAAAGACTCTGTTTATGTAGAGTCAGCTGTCTAGTCTTCTTCAGGCTAGACCATGAGTTGCTCTTTCTCCCAGACTCTTAGCAGTCCTGGGGGGATGTAGGCTGCCTGGGACCAAATGTTGCTTTCTGTCATTCGTAGAGACTGCCACAGCCTCAGCTGCCATTGTCTGAAAACTGGGATGTAACAAACCAGGGACATAAACAGAGGTGGGTGATGTCCATTGGGACTCATAGGGCAAAAGGCAGAGAGGCCAACAAGAGCTGGAACTAGAGCCAATCACAAACAGAGCCAACTAATTCCCCACCCCTCTTCCTGCAAGGGCAACAATGAGGAGGAGGAGGAAGGCAACAGGCAGGACTACCCTTGGACTGGGCATTTAGTGGGGGCAGACAGAAGTTTGTGAGGCAGTGCCCTATTTGGGCCAACCCCCACTAGATCTAAAGAAGCTGAAAACTTCTTGCTTGTGTCCTGATGTCAGACACAGCAAAAAGTGCCTCTGGGAAGAGGGGGGAAAGCGCTGGCTCCCATGTTGGTGTTGCCATGAAGAGAGGCAGCTGGGAAGATAGGAGAGGGACGAAGAACCTTGCCCCAGTCAGCACACTTGTGAGACACATATATTATGGCATTTAAGGCACATGGAGTCCACTCAGCTGTTAAATTCCAACATTAATAAGTCCCAACCATTCCCCTTCAGCCATGAACTTTGTTTTCAAAGAAGTTTTACTTATAGAAATTCCAGCAAAGGAAGCAGTAAATAGTTGGGTTTCTTCACAGTGACCTTTATACATTTCTCCAAGCTCCCTGTTCCCCAGTTTGGTTAAAAAGACAGGGACAAGCTGTATAATTAGCACCTCTTGCAACTCACTTGAAACCAGTCTTATCACTGAAATTGTGCCCCCCACACAGGAAGATGCTGCTGGAAGGGCTCGTCCTCCATGTTAAATCATTATAATTAGTATGGGCTGCACCTTCTTTAGGGTTGTGCCGCACTGAGTAACCCTTTATTATTATTATTTTAATGACTCATCATCTGAAGGAGTTTAGCAGAAATAAAACCCTAAAGCCTCCATTTCAGTTTATTATCACGGAGAGAAATAATTCTCCATGTGTGTACATGTGTAGAATTCCCAGAGTACCTCCAGAGGTCAGTTAAGGGTGAGGATATCATATTATGTGAGTTCTGACTACGATTGCAATGCATGCCTGTTAGCTTCCCAAGAAGAGTAAAAAAATAAGACATAGAACTTATAGCAGTGAACTTCAGGGCATTCCCTCCGCAGCTTCTCTTTGTCAGCCAGCTGCAAGAATTTAGCCTTGTTTCTCCTTCACAGGCTTTGCTTGGCTGGTACATGACTACTCCAGACTGGATTACTGCAATGTACTCTTTGTGGGGCTGACCTTGGAGACAACTTGGAAACTTTTACTGGTCCAAAATGCAGCAGCCAAAATGCTAGCTGGAGTTCCCTTTAGAACTCCTAAAACAGCATTGGTTGCCTGTTTGTTTCTGGTACCAATTCTTGGGTGTTAAGATCAGCTCTCCCAGGGCTCTCCGAAGTTTGGGGTGCACGTGCTTAACTCAGAAGGTGTTGACTGTGGCAGCTCCTACATTATGGATTTTTTTCCCTCCCAGAGGTGTCTGGCAGCTTCATTACACAGTTTTCATCATATCCTGAAGATGCACCTCTTTCCCCTGGTTTATTAACAACTTGGGGGCAATTTACCTGTGGGGATTGCCTTACCCCATAGATGTCCATTCAGCGGATCTACGGAACTGGCACTGTTACAGGTGCTACATAATCAGCGGTGGAGCAAGCCGATCAGGCACCTGCGCCTGGGGGTGGGGCTAGCCACCTGTGGAGCGGGGCCAGTCGCCTGCGGGGGTGGGGCCAGCTGGGGCAGGACATTCCACGGGGCCTCCAAGGAGTCTGCTTGCCTCCTCCCACTCAGCTGCCCTACAGCTGTTTGGGGCAGTGCAGAGCCTGTGGGCGCCCAAGCCACCATGGCACTCCCAGGAGAGACGCGTGGCTTAGGCGCACTGCAGGCCCCGCGGTGAGTGCCGCCCGCCATTTTGTTAACCCCCTCAGTGGTGACACCTGGGTCAGCCCGCCCCCACTGCCCCCCCTCCTCCACCCCTGTACATAATACTCATTCTGCATTTGTAAGAAATCAATCTTTCAGTGTGGCAGGACTTACACTTTGGAACACTCTGCCTATTGACATCAGGCAGGCACTTTCACTGTACTTTTTTGGGGCCTGCTCAAAACTTTTTTTGTTTAGGGAAGCCTATTCAGGTAACTTAGAATGCTGGTGCTTGTTTCAAGCTGTTTTTCAACTTACCATTCATTTTAATTATGTTTGAATATTTTAAATAGTTGCTTTTACTGAAAATCTCATTGTTTTTATTCATTTTGTAAACCACTTTGAGGTTTGGGGTTGGTTGGTTTTGTTTTTTTACAATCGAGTGGCATATCAGTTTTATTAAATGATGTTATTCTTTTTTAAAAAAACAAAAACAAAAACGAAACTTGATGGACTTCCCAATGATGGTTTGCGTAAGCTGGCTGCTGATGTAAGGATTGCCCTGCCTGCCTCTGGTTCATTAGGGTGACTAGATCAAGAATTTGAAAACATTTGTTGGTTCATGCTCCATCATATACTTATTGCTAGAAAGTGAACTTTTGATGAAGTAAGGACCCATGCATTATTTCCATTTGTTTGTTTAAAAAACCTTGTGCAAAATCCCCAAAATGTTTTTCCAGCTTGGGAAGTTTAAATAGCCATTTATAAGTTTACATGAGTGGCTTTCCAAGACAGAATTCCTCTTATATTCTCTTCAAATTGGCTGTAGCAATGGCCCTGGGGAGAGAGGAAATGGAGGCAGTTTGGACATCTCGCATTCTGTGCTTTCCAAGCTTCAAGGGGGGCCCCCCCACCACAGTCCTCAATCAACTTTTTCAAACCAACGTGGCACTGAAAGCCTGACAAATGCTGCAATAGAAACTTGAAGGCTTTTTAAGTGAATGTCCAGAGAAGCTGCAAGAGTCAAAGGCTTTTGTTGTGATCATGAAAAGTAGCAGAGTTGGAATGAGTCACACACACGATCTCTGAAATGCCAAAAATCACTGTTGCAGTTAATAGACAAATAATTTGAAAAGCACTTGACAAGTTCTCATTTGCAGTGCCTATAAATCTCCATATCGTGTCATTTTGACAGATGAGTCTGAAAACAAGACAGCTAAATCAAATGGGAGTTCTCCCCCACCTTCTGAACGTGCAGTTACTTTGCCAAAATATTTAATATCAACAGGTACTTCTGGCGCAGGTGGATTTTTATTTATAAGTCACAGGATCACTAGGCAGGTTCTGAGTCTAGAGGAGCAGGTCAATTTCAGATGTAAACACACTGGCCATGCAGCGAGAGTTCTTGTGAATTAGCATTTCATAAGCCACCAACAGAAAAGCAGGATGTACAGCCGAGTGCTGGACTAGATGGGTCCTCGGCCTGATTCAATAGGACTCTTCTTATGTTCCTATGATGCACTTTGCACGGACACTCAGAGGAGCGGAGGAAGCTGGCTTATATCACATCAGACATGTCGTCCACTTTGCTCAGTATTGTATTGGATCAATCAAAATACTCAGTATCGTCTACACTGTCTGGCAGCAACTATCCAAGATTTCAGAGCTAGCTGCATATGCTAACATATCAGTTCAGGAATGTTGGATTCCCTAAAACTTTTTATCCAGCTCCCTAGATAGCTTTTCAAATTGCTTTTTCCTTCCACCTTGCCCTTAGGTTAGCACGTCACCTCATTGCCTCCACATTCCCATCTCCCTTCACTCCCGAGTCATGTTTACATATTGTAGCTGCCAATTCATGTTCATATTATTTATTTGGTTATTCATGTTGACATTTTGCACAAGACTGCTCTTGCACAAAACCTCTGTATTATTATTTTAATTAAAAGCTTGATGTATGTTCTGCAAATGTACCCTCAACATGCAGCAATTAGAAATAGCCACGCTTCTTGGGCTTTTGGCTAAGATCAGGTGTGGTATCTGTTCTTATCAGTTTAATATCTGATACGTCCTCTGTTTGAGGACTATATAGTTAATGGATTTTTTGAGCTGGGAGATGGAATAGGGGCTTGCTCCATCCACTCCATGCATCAACCTGGTATTGCAATACCTCTAGGACGGTGCATCCACACACAAAAAGTGCTCACTTCGATAGCATATACACTAAAATTGGAACAATACAGGGAAATAGCCATACCTGGAAATAAGCATTTATTCATTTTGACCACCAAAAGCTTCCAGGAGGGCCAATTTAATTTTAAATTGTAATACAGCTGTTTTTGCACAAGAGCAGTTTGGCACAAAAGAGCTGTTTTTGAAATTGAAAATGGATCTACTGCAAATGTGCCTTGAGCAACAACTGGTAAAAATAGGCATGCTGCATCCTTTGCTTTGGGCTGGTGGAAAGAAAATGACTTGCGTTATGCTCAGGTGAACTGAAGTAGGGGACATGGCAGTAGATGGTACACAGAGAAATGTGACCACGTTAAAAACAACAACTCTTTCACACAACGCAAATATATTTGACATGCAAATATATATTGGATTGTCTTTCCTTAGCAGATTATCTATGGATTGGGAAAATCTGGATTAATGGGGGGGGGGGGGGAGAGAGATAGAGACAGGACACCTTTTCATTTTTTTTCCTGGGAAGGAAAACATTTTTCTTCTTCTAACTTCCACTAATTAAAAATCCAAACAAAACTCTTTTCCTCTCCAAATTTCTAAGCAACTTGGGTTTTCTTTTATTTGCCACTGTGAGTTTCTGCAGCACTAGCACTTTCTGACACTGTATTTCAAATAAAAAAAGGCAAAGGGACCCCTGACCATTAGGTCCAGTCGTGACTGACTCTGGGGTTGCGGCGCTCATCTCGCTTTATTGGCCGAGGGAGCCGGCGTTTGTCTGCAGACAGCTTCCGGGTCATGTGGCCAACATGACTAAGCCGCTTCTGGCGAACCAGAGCAGCACACGGAAACGCCGTTTACCTTCCCGCTGGAGCGGTACCTATTTATCTACTTGCACTTTGACGTGCTTTCAAACTGCTAGGTTGGCAGGAGCCGGGACCGAGCAACGGGAGCTCACCCTGTCACGGGGATTCGAACCGCCGACCTTCTGATCGGCAAGTCCTAGGCTCTGTGGTTTAACCCACAGCGCCACCTGCATCCCTTCAAATAGAGTCATTTAGAAAAAACACTCTTTGTTGTTAAATGATAATTATAGGAGGCAGACAATATTAGAACAGGTTGTTTACTTGTGTGTTCTAGACTGTTACACAGGCCCCAACTCTGTCCCCATCCCCCAAAAAGAGCAAGTTAAGTTTTCTCAAGCATCTCATTTCTTCACAGTAAGTGCTCCAAGGCCTATTGTCCATCTCCGGAAGAAAGAGAATTCTTATTTTAGATGAGCAAAATGCACCATCTAGTGGCATTTTCAGATTATATTCCCATGGGTTTCTACTTGTGCAATCACAATGTATTATTAAAGTATTGTTAACTTGTATTCAAGTTAGGTTGCTTTTACTCCGATTGAAAATACCACTGCGGACCTAGGGAAACCTATAGAATTGTTTGGAATATTATTTCAAAGTGCAATGGTTTGTTGGCTTTGACTTTGTGGACTTTGACTTTGTTTTGACTTAGTATTTCTGTCTCTTTTGCTCCCTAATTCAGGCATTGCCCATGTATAAATGTCCCTGACATTAACAGCAAAACATGGGTTCTTTTTGCAAAAGGAAGGTTTGACAACCAATTACACTTCACATATCAATTTACATAGCTTAATGGGAGTTGCACAATTTCATGGAAGAATTCTCTCATTAAGGAAAGTGATCTAAAACCCTTTTCAGTGAGAAAATGAACATTCTGTGTGCTTGACAAAAAAATCTGACTGAATTTACATAGAACATTACTTTACTTATTCAGTGATTCACACTGTGGATGAACACTTTGTGCTGGCTAGGATACATTTCAATAATAACACTATTCAGTCCCCTTGGGAGAGTGACAGTCAAATATCTACTACATCAGAATATTTAAACTCTGGTGAATAATGCTTCTCCTCACTTAAGTATTCCTTATGAGGTTACATTCCTACTGGAACAAACGGCTGCCCAGGTTCATTAGTATCTTTCACAGAGAACAATGGACTAGTTCATTGTCTCAGAGGTGCTTCTTTTATCCATCAATTCAACACAATGATTAAGGCTGCTTTTTATGCTCTTCATCTTGTTTTCTTGCACTAAGTTCCATAGCACACGTTTACTCCTAAATGTTAGGTTTAGTTACAAAAAGGGATTACAGTCATACCTCGGGTTACAGACGCTTCAGGTTGTTTTTTTTCGGGTTATGGACGCGCCAACACCCGGAAGTACTGGAACGGGTTACTTCCGGGTTTCAGCGGTCACGCATGTGCAGAAGCGCTAAATCGCGCTTTGCACACGCGCAGAAGTGCCAAATCGCAACCTGTGCGTGCACTGCAGTTGCGAACGCTGCGGGTTGTGAATGTGCCTCCCGCATGGATTATGTTTGCAACCCAAGCGTCCACTGTATTCCTATTGTCAACATGACAGAGTGAGCTCAGTCTTGCCAGAGATGTTAAAAATAACCAAAAAGCTTTCTTCGGCTGCCTTTGAAGCAAGAGGAGGAACAGGCAAGTAGTAGGTCCTCTACATGGAGAAGAGAGAGAAATGCTATTGGGTGACAGAGAGAAGGCAGAACTGCTCAAAACTTACTTTGCCTCTGTATTCACCCAAAAGGAAAGCAGTGCCCAACTTAGTGATAACAGAATAAGTGATGCAAAGAGGGAGCTGCAGCCCAAGATGAGCTGTGGGGAGACACTGCAGAAAAGGCCAGCTCTCCTGTTGCCAGACTCCAGCCCAGGCGTGGTAACTTGAATAAAATATTGGGGAGGGGGGCGGTAAACCCTGCCTCACATTGATCACAAAACATGGTGCTCAGAGACTATTTGAATGGCAATGCCCATGAAGTCTGGACCTCTTGTGGAGGAGGCACACAAAGGATAATAGAATCTTAGAGTTGGGAGGGACCCAAGGGTCATCTAGTCCAACCCCCTGCAATGCAGGAATCGCAGCTAAAGCATTCCTGACAGATAACCACCCAACCTCTGGTTAGAAACCTCCATGGAAGGAGAGTCCACCACTTCTTGTGGGAGTCTATTCCACTGCCGAACAGCTCTTACTGTCAGAAAGTTTTTCCTGATGTTTAGTCGGAATCTCCTTTCTTGTAACTTGAAGCCCTCGCCCTCGAGTCCTACCCTCCAGAACAGGAGAAAACAGAAGGGCCTCAGATGATCATCGCAGGGTCCAGGTTAGTTCATGTGGAGAGAGGCACCTGTCCGCCACCCCAATCAAGTAATGATAATATACAGTGCTGGATTTACGTATAAGCTAAACAAGCTATAGCCTATGGCCCCACTCTCTTGGGGACCCCCCCAAAATTTAAAGGAATAAAAACTGGTTGTACATTTACAAAATATAAGATAAAAACAAATAAAAAACCTACATACAGCAACAGCTTTTTGTGTTGTGTATGCTTCTAGTAATGGGCCCCGCCTACTCCCTAAAATATCACTGGCTTGCTCATTTCTATATATAGGGTGCCTACATTCTGCTATTAATAATTATTAGTAGTTTGCATCATATAGTTACACCTGTTATTATTACATGTTATAGCAAGTTTCTAGAGACTAGATTATGAGTCTTTGTAAATTGTGTTTCTTAAGGAACTTTTGTTATTGCCAAATGCCAATATGTTTGCATTACTTCGTTATGAATAAAAAATCATTGTAACTTAGAACTTAATAATTATTTCACTATTCATATACTTGATTGTATTTCAGTTCAAGAATTACTTTGATAAAATACATATTTTGTTCTGTACAAATGGCTTTAGGTCCTATTAGGTCCACAAATGACCATATAGCACATATTCAACACAAAAAAACTGCGACAATTTGTTGTTGACAAAGGACAGCTGGACATATAAAGGGCCCCATTACCTTCAGTAGCTTAGGGCCTCATCAAACCTAAATCCGGCCCTGCCCAGGGGAGCACCTGCCGGCCCACCCTAATCAGCTAAGCAGCTGCAAACCGGCTGCACCCCGTTTCCTCCTACAGAGCAGCCGTTCCAGCGCCAACGGCTCCTCACCGCTGAGCTTTCCTAGCTCTACTATTTCTCTATCCTGAAAGCGGGGAGGAGTCTGCAGGTTGCCCGTCATCAGCTCGGAAGGAGATGCCGCAACAGTCTCCTCGCGCCGCGTAGCTCCTCCCTCCCTCCCTCTCTCGCACCAGCCGCGGAGCGATCCGGGGCCCCTCCCTTTCCCCCTCCCATCCATTGCTCGGCGCTCGGCACCCCCAGCCCTCTCCCTGCCGCACGGGCACGGCCTCGGCGGAGAGCCGCCCCTCCCACCCGCGCCATCGGTGCCTCGGCGCTCGCCCAGCTGCCGCCCGCGCGAGGAGGAGGCCCCCTCTCCCCTCAGGTCAGTCGGGGCGGGATTCGGCCCTTCAGGTGCCGTCACTGAGGCCGCCTCCTCCTCGGGCGGGGAGGGAAACCGCCGCCGCCGCCTCTGCCCCTCGCGCAGGTGTGAGGTGGCCTCCTCCGTCCCACTTGGGGGGATGTGGCGGGGGGTCTCTGCGGTGCCGGGGTGGGTCGGACGAAGCTGCTCCCGGGGTTGTGTGTGTGTGTAGACGTCGCTTTGGGTCCCGTCCCCCCCGCGCCTTCCTTCCCATACAGTTGTTCTCGTCCATATTATTGGGGTTGCCTCTTCATGGGGAGCGGCGGGTGTGTTTGTTTGGGGGTAAAGACGCCCCCCTCCCCCGGCAAGGCCACGGCAGCAGCTGGAGTTCCTCCTCAGGATGTCGATAAGGAATTTTTTCGCCCCCCCCCAACTGCCAAAAGCAGCGAGCCCCTCTTTCCTGCCCCGCGTTGGCTCCTTTCCACTCGTTTTTTTTAAACGTCTGGGGTTAGATAAGAGCGACGCTGGTTGGTCCCAAGGGATGCCGCTCCTTTCCCTGACAGGTTGGCATGTGTGTGTTCGCCTTTCACAGCTGTGTGATGCGAAGAGATTAAGGAGATTAAAAACAAAACCAAACCACCCCAGCCTCTTTCTGCATCACCTGTCAGGCAGCTGCTGTTGCCTGTGCAGGAATCCTGCTTGAACAAAAGGAAGCCTCCCCACCTGCTGTTTCTGAGAGGTGCCTGGGCCAGCTGTGTGGGTGTGTGGCCTGATTCGCATGCCCAAACCAGGAGGGAACAGCATCTCGGGCCTCGCCTACAAGGAGCAGGTTTGAGGTGGTGGCGTGCCAAGGTGGAATGCACCACTTCAGGTGGCGGGTGAAGGATTGGATTTTTGGATGCTCCCCGGTGGGAAAAGGCCCTTCCTAATAGAAGACCAATCTAGCAAGCAAAGGGTTGTCCGAAAACCTTCCCCCCTGATGTGATAGGTTTCTGTTTACAGGGAGTCTTTTTAAACCAAGTGTTTGCCTGCAGTCCAAAGTGGTACAGGCTATTATACTGCAGGTGTAGACTCAACCCTTTCTCTTTTGTTCTGATGATTTGTATGGCGGAAGTAATTGGGAGATTCCAACTGGCTTGTAACAAACATGTCACAAGGAGCTGGATTATAGCAATGATCTGAAGAAAATGGAGTGTGCGCCGTGATTTGTGTGATAGCCCAATAACACAGAATGTAATTGAGGGAGTCAGTGTTTGTGTGTTGAAGTATTAATGGATCTCTCTTAGTTTAACTATTCTTGTCTTACAGGCTATGATTCCTTTGAAACAATGAATTGGTATCTTGCCTTAATATCTAGTTCTGTCAATGTGCATTTTTAATTATTTTATTTAAATCATTTCTATACTGCTTTATATATTTTTTTTGAAACAGCCTTAAAGTGGTGTAAAACATATTTTAAAACATCAAATAGAACATTTCAAATTAAAACATTGGAAATTAAAGTCAAGTGCAAGAATACACATTTAAAGCAGCATGATTAACAGGAAAACAAAATCTTCCCTTAAATTAAAAAAACCCATTACAAATAAAAAAATGCAGTAATACAATAAAATTCCATATATACAGCATCATTAGCAAGTGAACAAAATAATTGAAATGAAATCTGCACCTATTGCTTCCCCTGCCCCAGTAACCTCTCGCAAGTACATCCATAGCAATTTTCTTTTGCAAGCCTCACTCTGCATTCCTACCAACCATACAGATAGCACAGCTAACCCTTAGCCAACCTTTTTTCACCAAGCAAACACCTTGTAGCAGATTATAACTTTTTACTTTGAGCTAATCAAACCTGGATGTTCCTTATACCACCCTGGTTTTTTCTCCACCATATCCCTTTTCTTGTGTTCAACACATGTAGAGAGAAGCATGATGAAAGAGGATGTGGGGCTGTTTGTTTAACCTTGTCTCAAAGTCATACTGCTGTTCTGCCCCCACTGCTGCCACATTGAGCATAACCTCTACTCCATGGGTGCAATAAGGCTGTCATTCTGTCATTTCTGCTTGCCAGATGGAACAATCTCCCTTCTTTTCCCCTTGCATGCTGTTCTTGGGGTTCTCCCATCCACAGCAGATTTGGTGAGGGACCAGGAAGAGAGAGGGGGAAGTCTCATTGTGCTAGTGGATGGGTTGCTGGGGTGAAGGATGACTTAAGCACAGCCCAAATTTACAGAGTAGGAATGTTTATTGATAAAGCAGTCAAATATTGTGCAAACACTTTGTTTTGGAGAACAACCTATAAGCTTGTACACAGCCCACCCCCTTCTTCCTCTCCTTTGCATTCCTTTCCTTTTCACTTGCCAATCTTCCCCACCCTAACTGCCTTGTTTGTCTTGTCTAGTTAATGGCCTGGATGGAGCAGTTCAAAAGTGCTGAATGTTTACTAGACAAGACAAAATGTTAACCTCATCCCAGACATGTTTGAGGAGGCTCACTGGGCTTATACACATGGGTTTCTTTTAATTGGCGTCCCCATCCTGCCCCATGCTTCGCATTTTATCTAAGGGAAGCAAAGTTCTAGCAAAAATGTGTGTGTACTGCCTTCTTATTTCAGAGTCATTTAGGCTGTGTACACCTGAGAGAAAATTTCATTGAATTCAATGGGACTTTCTTCTCAGTTAAAGCTCCCACATACAACACACACACATAGGATTACACTGTAAAGTTTTGGGAAGGTTTAGGCTGGTCACACAGGATTTTAGTGAGCCTCCTAAAAGCCCCCATAAAGGTTGCTGTTAAAAACTGGTTAATGGATTCAAGGCCACAAACAAAAAGAAGGAAGCAATTAAAAAACAAAACAAAAAGGAAAACCAATATCCAGAAGCCAACAGTATCAATGCCCAACACATTGCTGCCCATTTTGCTTTGCAGTGATTTCTGAAACTGTTTTTGAACTCTACCAAGGAAACAGAAAACCTCCCAGGAAAGCCTGTTTGGGCTGAAAAACATTGGGTGTTAACAAAAAAGTGCATTACTTTTGAGATAGCGCTTCCTTTTTTCTTTAGAGTTGATTCAAAATAATAAAAGGAGACATGAAATAAAATTCCATGGGCCGTATCCAGCAAATAGAATGAGGTCCTGCAGTGCAATTTAACTTCCACTTCCTCTTTCCCCCCCAATGTTAGTCCACACACCCAAATCAGCTCAGGGTTTTAGCCCAACTCTCTGGACCAGATTTGGGCATAGGGGGAGGAGAAAGGAATTATAATTGTGCAAGCAGCAGTTATTCTGCTCATTCAATGACTTAGCTGGATTCAACTCCATAGCAGCAGCTTTCTTGGTCTACTAAAGAAAAAAGTGTACCGTTAAAGGATTACTAAAATATCTGTTTGTTCATATGTATTATGATCGGTTTTATATGAGGATTAGTTTTTTAAAATTGTGGACGTTGATAATTTGAAAGAAACAAGATTTGCATTTTGAATGAAATATACTCTACATTTGGCTTGTTTAATAGACTTAGATGGAATTTTCACTTTCTTAAGGTATTTCTAGAGCATCCTAATTACTGCCAGTGTTTATTAATTTTTTAAGCTGACATACTTATCAAATGTACATGACTTATTTATGAAATGGATATGATACATGGTGATTTTTAATTACGTTACCGTTGGGTGTGTATGCTAAATTTATAAATAAAAGAAGTACATAAGGCTTAATAAAAGATTAGAGAAAGTTGCTGTGTTAAACAGGTCATCTTATTTAAAACTGTTCCTGGATCTCTTTCAGGGCAATGTTTTGCACAAGCAACAGGAGCAAAAGCTACTTTCTTGCTATTAGCCTACTTCTCTAGTGATGAATGGCATGCCATTGTTCCACTGCTGCTGAGACCTGGAGTGTGTCAGTATCTTTGGAGTCCTTGGACCACTATGGCAACGAGCTACACACCTCCATTTGATGACCCCGGGGAGGTGAGAGAGGGTTTTCTATGCCCCCTTTGTCTGAAGGATCTGCAGTCGTTTTATCAGCTTCAGTCTCATTATGAAGAAGAACATTCAAGTGAAGACAAAGATGTTAAAGGACAACTTAAAAGTAAGGAAGGCAGTAGTTGCTGACTGTTATGATATACAATATAACTATCCACCATATTTATCATTTGTTGACTTGCATAATTAGTAATATATCTTCTCAGAAAATATTATATGTAGAAGTGTGTATGTTTCTGAGTTACACAAAACGTCACTAGGAAGAATAGAAATGCAAATAATGTTCAGTTAGAAAGTTGGTTACAAATGCAGAATTTTCATTCATTTCTGATTGCACAACTGTCTTTAGGCCATGAAAACCTGGTATAGGGTTACAAAATCTTGAAATGTTTTAGCTATTCAAAACTTTGGAGAACTTTTCCTTCATTAAAATAATTTAATTAGCATTTACTAAGGATTAAATACATCTTGATGTCATAATTTGGATTTGATTTTAGTGTACAATTCCTTATGGAAGGCTTTACAGAACAATGTTATTATGGTCTTGCTGGTGTTAGCAGCTGTTACACTTACTTAGGAAAAAAAGCTGTACCTTAAGGGTTTGCACATATTTCTGCCCCCAAGAAGCAGCCATATTGCTTCTAGTTCAGGAGTACTCCTGATTGTCATAGTGATTTTGACGTATCCACCTTTGCTCAGTGATGCTTTCAAACACTGAGATTGTCTTTTGGGAATGGCATGGGAACTAGAGCTTAGTAATCGTACCATTTCAGCCACTGAATATACAAATTAGTAGCAAGAGCTGAATGATAGCTTAAGCTATAAAAATACAAAATAAATGTAATGTGTTCAATCACTAATTATGGGGTACTTTTTCCTGTTTAAATAGCCAAGAACTCTGTAGTCAGTTCACAGTGAATTGCAAAAGCAAGCAGTTGTGTTGAAGTGCTAATTTTCTTCACTTGTTACAAGTTGTTTCCCAGTTCTTTGAAGGGTTATTAAATGCGTCATTGTTCTACCTTTATAAAGTGCTCTTGTATTTTACTTTGTCCGGTGTTCTGTTTCACAAATTGCTTTCCAAATTAAGGCTGTCTCCGGATACAGAACATTCCTTTGAGGTGCCAATAATTGGACTGACTGATTAACTAGCACATTTGTATTCTCGTCAGGGTGAGCCAGGTAGAAGTATTTTACTGGGATTGTATTCTTATGTGAAGCATTTACACAGGTCTTCTCACCTTCAGGACTTCCCCCCACCAAACTTGTCATTGCATTCCTCTGAGAAGGTAAAACATGATTCTGGTGGTCAACAGATGCAGGAGGTGGGAGGCAGAATGGTCAATTATATTGCTCAAAGTCTTAAAGGCAAATACCTCAAGGAAGTTCGGAAGAAGATGGGTAACTCTTACAAGGATGCTTAAATAAGTGTTTGTGTGTGTGTAATATGTAGCATTTGATCTTCTTTCAGATCTGTTCCAAAAAGCTAAAAAAGCAAAGAATAAATTGTTGAAACGAGAAGATGACCGAACTGATGGAGGGCCTCAGGAACGATATGAGTCTTACAGCTATGGTGGAGTGGATCCATATATGTGGGAGCCCCAAGAATTAGGTAAACAGTCAAGAATGATGCAAATAATGCACAACTTTCACTGGGAAGCCCCCTGATCTCCAGTGGAATCTATGCATAATGATGCAAAGTTGTCAGGAATTAATAGATCTTTTAAATAGAAGATATACGTGAAGCACTAGGGCCACAATCCAGTGCAAAACTATACACACACTTAAGTTCTATTGCTTAATTGCTTGCTTTGTTCTTTAACATTTTTGCTTAGTTTTGTATTTGATTGAGACCTAGGATTACATTGCAGTGCAAATAGAAAATATGTAATAGTGTTGTGCCATTGATTGTTTTAATGTAAGAAGCTCCACCATGACTGCAAGAACTTGTGGCATGCTAGTATGTGAAAAAATATATTTTTAGTAAGTTGGGCTTGACCAGTAATTGAGAGATGAAGACTGTAATCCTGTACCCACTTACCTTGGAGTAAGCCTGATTGAACTCAGTAGGACTTGCTTCTAACTAAATATGTATGGGATTGTACTCTAGTAGCTTGTAGTAGCCAGGGAATGTTGTTGCTGTTGTCTTCTGAAATCATATATGCAGAAATAAAGAGCAGTATTTCATCAATAAAGATCACAACAGAATGTAGTTACACACGTTCACAGAACACTATGATGAAAACATATCATTTCATTTTTTAACATTGAATTTCAGCCTAAGAGAGAGGAATAACAACATGTTAAACTGCCTTTTAACTAAGAATATAGAGTTGAATGACTTTGGCAAGTTTTCTAACAGTGTTTCTTATCAGGTGCTACGAAGAGCCATCTTTCTGATTTTAAGAGACACAGAGCAGCCAGAATTGATCACTATGTTGTGGAAGTCAATAAATTAATAATCAGGTTAGAAAAGGTAAATGGGTTACTCTTGCATTTTTCACAGAAATGTGTGGAAGTTCATTTTAAACTATATGCTACTACAGTATTGCTTCTGATGTGTGGAGAATAGTTTTGTTTGGTTCACAGTTTCAAGTGAACTGACTAATAGGTGGATTAGAATCCTTTGGATTCCACATGTCTTCAAATATTGCTTGGTTGTAGCCTTGAAACTGCCATGGTCACTCTGGTAGAAGACATTTTTGGGAGATAGATGGCTGGGGAGTGACCCCTGTTTGTTTGCCTTGGTCTCTTTGCAACTTTTGATATTGTTGACCACAGTATCCTTTTGAAGTAGTTGTGGGAGGTGGGGGGTTAGGGACACTGTATTATAGGCATTCAGCTCTGAATTTTGAGGCTTCTTTTTTATTTTTTCCTTCTCTGTTAGAAGGACAATAACATCTGCCCAATACCAAGATAAGTGACATAAAGGAACGCTCAGGGAAAGATACTGATTTTAGCGAAATAAACTTAGGAAAGCAGACCCTGTAATATTTTTCAGTCCTGTGCTGAACTGTTGTAAAGAGTTCTCTAGTAGAAAACTTGTATTAAGACCTCTGGTTTTAATATTTTTACAGCTTACATCCTTTGACCGAACCAATACAGATTCTGCAAAGATAAGAGGTAGGTGCAAGCATGTTCGACCTTTGCTAATTTGGATTTCATTAGTGATGTTTCTATAGATTTTCTCATTCTATTCCAGCAATAGAGAAGTCTGTTGTGCCTTGGGTTAATGATCAGGATGTGCCATTTTGTCCAGACTGTGGTAACAAGTTCAGCATAAGGAACAGACGTCACCACTGCCGCCTTTGTGGGTCTATCATGTGCAAGAAATGCATGGAACTGGTCAGCCTCCCATTTGCAAGTGAGTACAGTGGTATAGATGTCTTGGACCCGTGTCTCTGATGCCGGAACTAACTTTCTCAGGTTGGGCGGGGTGGTCTATGGAGCTGAGAAGCATGGGGGGGGGCCAAGGCCCAGTCAGCACCAGCTTCAGGCAGGTAGGGATGGTTGTAGGGGGTTTTCTGGAAATCCTGGATTTATAGTTTTTCTTATAAATGTCTATCTAGGACGTAAACCTCACTTAAAGGCTCTAAAGGCTAAAGATGGTGATGTGGGGGTCCTGATTTAGTTCTTTCTAACAACTGTGCTATAAAATTGGCACTTGATATTTCCTTTTTATGATGAGTTACTGGAGTTGAGCTGAACTGGATTTTTGAACCCATGTTCAAAACCAGCGTTCTGTTGGTTGGACCATTGGCTTGTGACCATTATATCTTCTGGATGTATCATTCCAGGCAAACTCACCACTGCTAGCAAGGAAGCCTTGGCCTCTCATACTAGCCCAAACTGCTCACCCAACAGCATTCAGGGCTCTCGCCGTGGCAGCATCAGTAGTGTGAGCAGTGTGAGCTCTGTCTTGGATGAAAAGGATGACGATCGCATCCGCTGTTGTAGACATTGTAAAGACACTCTGCTTAAAAGAGAGCAACAGATTGATGAGAAAGAGTACACACCAGACATCGTGAAACTTTATGAGGTAAAATGACACTAAATAAACAAGAACTGGAAGTGAAGTGGGATTTTCCAGTTATCAATAACTTAAGCAGTATTATTATAATACAATATACTAGGTGTTGTTCAACTTTAAAACAAGATAGGCTTCCAGCTAAATACTTCTAAGGAATAGGAAAGAGGAAGTAAGTTTAACTTTATAGTTTTAAGGAAAGTTTTAACCTGGTATTTTTAAGTGGGTTTCTTTTAAAGTTGGGTTGGCTGAGAAAAGATGTATTAAAAAATTATAACTAAAACTGCTTACTCTGATACAGGCCAGATCCACTTCTGGTCCTGGCTATTAACAATACAACTTACTCATCTAAGCATGCCAATAAATTGATTAAAACATTCCAGTTGCCTTATAGCCTCAGAGTAAACTGGTTTTGTAACTTTTCAGAAGAGACCAGTTATTGACAATGTTACCTTAACAGATGTGCAGTCTGAACCATGTTTACTTGTAAGTAAGTCCTACTGAATTTAGTGGATCTTACTTCCAGGCAAGTGGGCTGAAATTGCAGTCTTAGAGAGCTTAATTAAAAAGGTAAAGGGACCCCTGACCATTAGGTCCAGTCGTGGCCAACTCTGGGGTTGTGGTGCTGATCTCGCTTTTTTGGCCGAGGGAGCCGGCGTTTGTCCGCAGACAGCTTCCAGGTCATGTGGCCAGCATGACTAAGCCGCTTCTGGTGAACCAGAGCAGCACACGGAAATGCCGTTTACCTTCCCGCCGGAGCAGTACCTATTTATCTACTTGCACTTTGACGTGCTTGCGAGCTGCTTTCAAAACTGAGCTTAATTAGAAATGGTTTTAAAATCTGGAGTTCCAAATTTGAAATCTGAGACCTGGTCTCCCGAAAGAATATATCTTGATTCTCTGGATAGCAACTACTACCAAATATTAAGCTGTTACACACAGGGAAAATTGAAGGCATGTGAAGCAATTGTGTATCTGATTTGTTGCTATAAATAACTTTATTTTAATCTATTAATTTTATTGATTAAAAAAGAAACTCCGACTTTGCATGGAAAAGGTTGACCAGAAGGCCCCAGAATACATAAAGATGGCAGAATCATTAAAGTAAGCCTATTCATTTTTAATAAATATGTCTTTAATATTTAATGTTCAAGAAGAAAGAAGCCTGGTTGTAGTTTCATATTAATGGCTGGATATAAAGAAAAAGGAAATTGTGAGGGGTGGGAGGATGCTTGTGGGCGTGATGCATAAGCTCCAGTCAGCAGATTAGAAAAATCAATATTCTTTTATTCCCCTCCACATTATGTCAAGATGCATTCTAAAGAATTCTGGCGAACTTGAAAGCTAGCTCGCTACTTCAACATCTCAGTAGGTCTTGATAAAGTTATTACCCTACTATTGCTTTCATTCCCCCACCCCTGCCCCGCAATGGATCAAATTGGCTACCTAGAATTTTTGGCATATTAACAGACTATAACCCAACACAGATGTCACTTCCAGATTCTGTGAAGTCCTTCTGAGGTTATTTTTAACCTCACCAGCTTTGTGTGATGCGTACACAAATGTATTGTCTGAATTTGCCCTTATCCTGTGCTCCTAGTTTTTCTCTGTGCTAAACTGACTTTTTCGTTTTACAATTTTATATTGGAAACCACCCTGTGATCCTTGGATGAAGGATAGAAATTTAATAAATAAAATAAAATTCAGTGCAAAGTTCAGTGCTCAATAATTTGATCTGAGATGGGACCAGTAACATGAGAACTTGTTCACTTGCAAGTTATTCATCACACAAAACTGATACGTAAAATTGTTGTTGTGTAAGCAATTTTTACATTATCCAAAAGTATGAACTGTCCTTCAGATAATAAATGTAAAAAAGTATTGTTAATGCTTCCTGTGTTAGCACTGTCAGAGGAATATTTCCACATTTCTGAGTTAGTAAAGATGCTACATAGGGTTTTTCTCTCTATGCTTTAACTTTGTTGTTTTTGTAAAGTGTGTTTGTGTGTGCTGGATGTTGTGAAACTCAATGGTATTGGCAGGCCTGATGAGCATGAAGCAATTTTGCTTGCTATCATATAAGTGTCTGCACATGCAACATTGCCTTTGTTACCCCCAAAGAAGAGCCTTTGAAATAAATCTGTCCCAAGCTTCTGAGGTTTCATCTTCTTGTCAACTATGAACAACACATTTTCAACTTCTTGTGCTTAAAGTGTCATACTTAGAAAGTGCCACCTTGGCAAGCTTTTAACGTAGGGCCTTGGCTTAGTTTTGATGATGGAACTCTGCCTCGTTTCTAAACACGTTTGCTGAAACTGGTGCACTGGTGTAGGCTTCAACAAAACCACTTGCCAAGGTAATTGTGCTAACAATGCATGTTTTCTTCCAGTGTTGGGGAGACAACTTACAGTCTGGAACATGCTAACAGTCTTAGGATGGAGGTGCAAAAAATGTATGAGTTAATAGATGCTCTAAGGTAAGTGACGGAACTCAAAAGAGGGGATTTCTGCATTTGTATTTTTATTTTTGTGCTTAATTTTTTATATTGTTGCAGACTGCTTTGAAATCCATTTTGAAGGTGGTGTTGTATAAGTAAATTAATATGAATTGCCTTAGACCACAATCCAAGCATACTTAAAGACAATAAATTTCAGTCAATAAATTTTGATTGTAGTTTGTATTGTGATCTTAGTTGGGAAATATATGGCTCAAAGACTCAGTATGTTTTAATCAGTCAGTGCCCAAAAGAAGTAAAACTGATTTGATTGGGCTACTTTGGAAAATGCTTCAGTGTGCATTTTTTTCTGTGCGTGCGCATGACAATACAGTCCTGTTGTTGGAGAGTTCATGAATGTCAATGACAAAATACTGTGATGAAGTGTGTACTGCAAGCAATGCTAATCTGTCCGTTTAAAAAAAGTTACCAACAATTTACATTATTGTAACTGGGACAACATAATCAGGAAGACTATTTCATATGCCTACATATTGCTCATAGTTGACTTTTAAGTTCGTATTGCTGATACACTTGTGGTTTTTGGGTTCAGCAAGAAGATTTTGACTCTGGGACTGAATGAAGAACCACAACCTCATCCCCGAACACTGCAGCTTCAGAGAATGATCAGATATTCAGCCACACTTTTTGTTCAGGTAGGTCATCTAGGAGGGAGGAGTAGCTCTTAGGTATACAGGGTGTTGTCTTCAGAAACAGGACACAATATGACATACAAATGTTGCAGATAAATATTTTTCAGGATGGTCTAAGTTAGGGGTGGGAAACTTAAGGCCTGGAGGCCAAATGCCTCTCTCTGTGGCCTTTAGAGTCTCACCGGGCTGCACTCTTTACCAGCCTTGTTCCACACTCTCAAGTTCTGTTGCTCTACTGGAATGTATTCTTTAACTCTGATAATTCCTTTTGCTTACCAGGATAGAGATAATCTATCTTGCTTGCCAGGCAGCTAGCTTTACTTTTAGCTAACTAAAAGTATTTGAAAGTTACTTGAGTCACAGTGATTGAAACACTGGTACTTTATGTAAGTTTGAAGCTGATCTAAACTTCACCCATGTTGGATTTGGGCTTTAGAGAGACACAGACAAACAAACCCGTGACTTAACCCAGTGCATAATTAAGGCTGCAGTCTTATACACTTGTACCTGGGAGTAAAGCAGATTTTGCTCTGAGGCTTACTTCTGAGTAGATGTGCATAGGATTGCACTGTAAGCCTCACAGCTCAGTGACCCAGATCAGTGATAGTAGGAACATCAGAGTTGGTGAGAGTCTTTAACATCTTCTTTGACTGCTCCAATTTTTAATAGATGAGCCAGGATCCACATTCCATCTAGCATGTGCAAAGGAGAAGCCACACTCCCTAGTGAAAAGTTGCTTTTGGTGCTGCCTGGGAGCACATATACTGGGAAGGGGCTGCCCCCCCCCAGCTCAGTGGTAAGGACAGTGGTAGCAGGAACAACCTCAGAACTAAGCAGAAGTGTAATATGTCATTCTTTTCCTCTTGCCTCTTAGCTGTCACACCACTGTGTTAATATTGACTTGTAAGTCACATTGGGGATTTTTTAGGTCGAAAGGTGATTTTTTTTTTTTTTTACAAAAGCAAGCTAAGATAATTAGGAGCTTCACTCCAGGTGCCTCTACCCTAAGAGATTTGGTGGGTGTAAGAGGCAGAGCTCCTTTACAATATCCTCCCCAGATACCTTTTTTTCTGGCACTTAAGCTTTTGTCTTTTAGGTGTCAGATACTATTATATTTTTAAAAACTTTTTAGCTGAGTTGATTTATTAATTTTAATGCGTTTGGTCCAGAGATAGGCTGAATGAGTAGAAAAGTTGCATGGGAGACAGCCCTGCTGAATTCCTCCAAATTTCACATCATGCTGCAGACCCCACCCGCACCCCATCCTGTACCATCCCAGAAGCCCCTCAATGTTCAGAAGCAGCCTTTTTTGCAGAGGGGGGAGCACAGGGAGCTGTAGAGCATAGGGGAGCCAGGTATGCCCCGTTTCCTGAAAAGAATTCCACCTGACTTGTTTTTGATCCAACTTCTTGTATTGTAAGCTGCCTTCACCATATTCGATGGAGAAGTGTTTAATTTGCCCCCCCAAAAAACAAATGTAAGTATAACTATGGTATATTATGTATTTTGTGCAGCTTCCTGTTTCTGAATAAACTTGAGAGCTTGATAGCCCATCCCTTTTTAAAAAACAATATTTTGAAAACATTTCCTCAGGAAAAATTGCTTGGTCTGATGTCGTTACCCACCCAGGAGCAATATGAAGAATTGAAAGAGAAAAGGAAACAAGAACTGGACAGAAAACTTCAGATGGAGAGACAGGTGAATATTTCAGTCAGTACTGAGACACCTTTCTAAGAGTTGTTTTATATCTGTATGTTGATTAAAACTAGTGGCTCTTTAATATCCTGTTGAAAGCCTTGTGTGCCACGTTCAATGAAAAAGTGGGGCATACTTCCATATAATGCAAATAGGGGCAAATGAATACAACTAACCCTTTGCAACTTTAGATGTTATTTCCACACCTGCTTTATTTATTGGTTTGTTTGTTTACTTGTGACTAGGCAACACTTGAAACGCAGAGACGATTGGAGGAGAAGCACATGGACTATGCTTCCAGATCTTTGGTAGCATCTAACGGTGAGGTGTCCCGGCCAAAACGGGTTGCAGTAAAGAAAGCTGAAGGTTGGCTGCCCACTGCGAACTTATCTCGCCAGCAGGAACTCACAGACCCACTTCTGCAGCAGATTGACAATATAACATCCTTTATTAAACAAGCCAAAGAAGCAAATCGTCTCGATGAGGTCCAGATGTTGCAGGAAAACCTGCGACAACTTCAGGATGAATATGATCAACAGCAAACTGACAGAGCCATTGAGCTTTCTAGAAGGCAAGCCGAGATGGAGGAGATGGAGAGGGAACAATTGCAGATCCTTTGTGAAAAGGAATGGGAGAGGGAACATAAAAAACGAATGTCTCAGCACTCACGGACACGTTCCCTGGATTTCAGAGAAGTGAAGCACAGTAAGTTAGAGATTGGGAAGGAGAGCATAAACCAAATAGCACAGGCTTTGGACCTTGATACTACTCAGAATACAAGTAACCCAGCCTCTAAAGCATCTTCACCATGTGGTGGTGACAAGCTCCAAGTGCAAGAGAGCCCAGTCTTTCCCGGGCAATTTGTAGAGATCCAAGAGCATGACAGCGTAATAGAGCAAAATAAAAATGTTCCCATAAACCCTTTTGAAGATGAGCCAGTAATTAGCGCTCTAAAGAGGGAACCAAATAATCCCTTTGCTGAAGATTCCTCCACAGTGGCTTCCTTGCCCACCCAAACCTTGCACAGTGATAAAAAAGAATATAACCCATTTGAAGACGACGAGGATTGTCATCAAGCAAATGGAGTAGCTGTCAGTGCTCCGAATCCCTTTAAAGATGCTGTTGGAAATCCATTTCGTGTGCTCACAGATCGTCAGGAATCTGGAAATCCATTTGAGGAAACGTCTTCCTCCACGAATCCTTTTGAAGAGGATGATGATAATGAAGTGTCAAGGGAAGACATCATAGAAGAGGAGCTACTGCTCCAACAGATAGATAATATAAAAGCTTATATTTTTGATGCCAAACATAGCGGGCGGATGGATGAGGTTGAGGTGCTGACTGAGAATTTGAAAGAACTGAAACGCACACTAGCAAAACAGAAGGAGAAATCCAGCTAGTTGCTGTTTCCATGCACATTCAACTTTACAGTTCTCTGACTGTCCCAGAGGCAAAGGCGGGCAGGTGGAATTAAAATGCAAGAGGGAATTTTGGGATTGACTCTAATTGTCTGCACTTTGGCGTGGGTATTTCCACTATTATTCAGACTTTGCTAATACTGTCCACACTATTATGATTTTGTAATAACCTAAAACTGTGTCACAGACCATTTACAAATCTAAAACGTATCACAACCAGTTTTTATCACAACCTAACCTCTTAACATTGTCATGCTTCTTGGCATTCCTTTTATTTCAGATGTAAACTCTGTAGGCTAATACGGAAACGGATGCTTTAAGGTGCAGGAAAATACAATCCTTCCCTCTGTGTTTGGTTGTTGCAGTATTACAGACTGGCCTTCTAAGCTGGCTTTTCCGCTAATAAGGGATCCAGAGTGTCTGGTAAATTCTGTGTCAAGCATGAACTAAGATGGTGCCTTTAGCAAATGTGTGTAACTGCCATATATGCTAAGGGCAAGTGTTAAAAAGCAGGTTGCTGAGATGCAGTGTGACCTGCACAGTACCAAGGCCAATGATCTGACTGTGCAATACAAAAGATAATATAAAGGGATTTTAAAGTAGATTTGGGTAGATGTGATGTTATAGACATAATATCTGTTTTAGAAAATGTAAACCCCAATGAACTTCTGTTCCCTCCATCACCTGTTTTTCGGGGCTTTTTTATTTTAATAGCTTCCTCTAGCGAACCCTGGGAACAGCACCTTTTGTTGAGGGTGCTGATTTTTCTTCTTGCTTTCTCCCAGAAGTTGCAATTCTCAAAATTCCCTGGCTAGCGGAAATGCTATGACTGTTAAAACGATAACTGCAGCATATGCATGCAAAGTGTGTGTGTGGTGGGGGGACAAAGCACCAGTTATATACTATAAGGGAGGAAGTCTGATTTCAATGGAAAAGCAAACTGTTAGCCAACTGTGATCTGATCATGTGAAGATGGCCTTCCCTCAGTTTTTAAACAACACTTAGCTACCTCTCTCAAGGCTTGACACCTGTTTTGAATATAAAATATACTGTTCCCTTTATAAATACAGAATGGAATCATGGTGTGTGCTCCAGGAGAGCACAAAGCTCAGATGTTTGGGACCTTAATCTACCAGCCATTGTTGCTGTGTAGTTTCTATTATTGCTGTGGAGGGTCTGTGCAAGCCCATACCCTGTCAAACTAGAAGCTGTGAAGCAGCATAGCTTGGGATTGGGTGGTTAATTTTTCCAAAAAAAAAAACTGGTTAATTATGTCCTTTGGATATTTCTTTACTCACTGGATATTTCCAGTTCAAAATATGAACTGGAATTTTGTGAAGGTATAAAAATAATTGTATGTAACTGAAGGGCTATCAAACAATTTCTGGTTTCAGTTCTGCTGAATGAACATGATTTGGTCGCATTTGATTATTTTTTTAAGAATGAAGAGCAATTTGAATGTCACACATGGGGGCTGACTCCTGAGGATTATTATGAACTTCTAGAAATCAAATTTTGCTTCATTCCTGAGCGGGGGAAAGGCCCAGCAGTTGGGACCTGAGTTAGCTTTGCTGTGTAAAAAAATGTAGATTTTCACACATTCAAAAGCGTTGGCTTAAATACTACAAACAGAAACAAGGGATTAATCCAGGAGTAGCAAGACACTAATAGCTGGTTCAGGATTTCTAAACCTGAACAGTAATTCAAACTGTTGGGATTCCAGAAAAAATGTTTACAGAGATGTGTTGTTACTTGGGGCGTGCTTAATATGGTCAAGAGTTAAAGTAGCACTTTACGGAATCAATTCTATATATCTTCTTTATTTGGGGCATGGCTTTAGGCGATTTAGTAAAACTCCCATTCCTTCTAGTTTCCCTTTCATTTGATTTTTCTGTCTGCCGGGAGGAATGTGCTCAGTTACATAACTAATTTAACATACATAGTATTGACTAAAACTGTTTCAGTGGTAGCTTTGGTGGGCCGGGGTAGGAGGAAAATGAGCTCAGCTTCAAAATTATTTTGATTTACAAAGTATTGACTAAAACTATGTCAGCTTGTTTAAAAAGCACTCAGAATTGTGTTGAGCCATCCTGTGGAAACAGACCTGAAGACAGCACTGAGGACAAGAGTACTAAGGGCAGATGACCTAAGAATTTAAAGTCATCTTTTTCTTTTTCCTAATTGGAAATAACTGGGGTTGGGCTTGCGGAACAGGTGCACCTAACAAATCTAACAGGACAGGCTATTATCGGGTAACCAGAGATGTGTAGTAAAATGCAGTAAATAAAGAAATTTATGTATATAGCTAAAGTAAGCAACCACCACAGCTTTTATGTGACTTACCAGCTAAGGAGCAGTGGTTTGTCTAAAACAAAACCATCTATATACTTTATTCTAGGCAGCAAGACACCAGACTTAACTGGAATACTTTGTATATCCCAGCCAAAATGAATGTTTCAGTGGCTTTTTGTTTTTTTTACATTTAAAATATGTTTCCTTGTTACATCAATTCTGCCTTGTTTTTAGGTACTCTGTAGTCTAATACTCTTTAAAGACATAGTATTGATGTATTTTTACTAGTATCTATGTTGGTTTGTAGCTCCATGACTGCAAGTCAATGTGAAATGTAACTAGCCTTCTTGATAGGATGGTGGTAGACTCACATTTTGACAGCCTTCCATTTGTACTACTGAATTTACACTATGAAACAGAACAAAACCATGCCATTGTGAGAATTAACATTAAAGACATCCGTTTATACACTTGCATGCACTACTCTTAATTTGCAAGCTTTGAAGAAATAAAATAACATATTGGTTTGTATGTGTGATTTATTTCTCGTGTTAAATAAGAGGCCCAATCAGTTGATGCACTATCAACAGGCCCCTTCCTTTTGAGGTTTCAGCATCTTCTGTGGCCAGTGTGTGTATATGGGCCTCACTGGGCTATGGGGAGTCCTCTCCTTAGGATTTCCCCTGAGAACAAATTTAATACTTTTGTAAACTTATGCATGGTGCCATTTTAGCTACATAGCAACAGCAATTATAACTTGAACATTGCAAATAGAGGGAATGGTGTGTAGCATCGTCTGCTTATAAGTTGGCAACCCACCTCTGAACTGGTTGTTGGCTGAAGATAAAGCTTCTTCGTAATCAACATATTTACATCAGCTTTAAATGATACTTTTTTCTTGTACAAACATAAAGTAACAAAATACAGAATGGTTCTTATTTACAAATGGGCCTCTTCATAGTATAGGCGATACATCTACATATTGAGATTTAGCAAGGAGCTAAGAACAGCCTTAGCCAAAACTGGGGGAGAAATGCAGTAAATTTTAATGCCAAGTTTTCTCAAGGCCCTATGTTTTTGAATAGAAAAGAATATATTTTGACTAAACTGCCTCCACCCAGTAGCTCTTGTGTTTTTCATATGGGGCAGCTCAACCTATTGCCAGCAAAAGCAGTTTGGGGACTGTTTCAGTTTTGTTACTTCACTCTAAACTTTAATTTCCATGCTGTGGCAATTTAATTCCTGCCACATGTACATTACACAAACCTGCCTCATTCATGCTAGTTGGATAGACAGGCAAGGAGAATGACCAGCCCTGAAGTCTAGCTAACCACTGGAGATCTTTTTAGCTACCTTTCTTGCCTGGGACTTTAGCAGGTATTATTCACTCTTTAAAGCATGTATTTGCTTTTATAAACACTAAAAGCTTGTTTCTTTTTAAAGACATCCTGTTTAACCATAAGCATCTCTAGGAAGTCAAGCTGGCACCCAATACAACCCATACGCTGCCCTTTTCCACTGCTCCTACAGATCTGCAGCATACTCAAAACCTACACATAATCCAGAGATTTGTTAAATCCAGAGCCTTCACCACTAAGAGCAGCTATTTGAGTGAAGGGGGAGCCTGTCCTCCCAAGACCAGGCACATATCATATAGACAGGATTCTGTATTTGGATGGTTGTATGTTACACAAAAAAGCACACGATTCATTAAACCAGGGTTCGACCAAGATGTGTTCTCCTTTGATTTAGAAACAAATGGCAAACATATATTCACAATCCAGTCTATCACACGAACAATTCCAGAATTTATTTAAAAGATTCATCCTTACTTGTTTTAAGTAAGTCCAGATATTTTTCTGTTACTTAAATGGTGGTTTGTAAAAAGACCAATGTGTTGTCATCAGTGTTAAGATGCCCACTTTCTTGTCAGTCTGAATGCTTTACTCCCTGCTGTAGAAAGCTGGCTTAGGAAGCAGCACTCTCTTTCATGGCAGTTCTATATTTCCCAGTCATCTCCTTTGGTAATGGTACTTTACCAGGGCAGGGAATTTGGCCTTCAATTTCACACATGCATTCCCGCAAGTGGTACTTTTTGGGGCCAAATGTTGCGGGATGCCGTAGCTTCATTTTCTCTTGTGCTTCTCCCTGCAGTGTTTCCCTACAAAAGAAAAAGAGAAAAAGGAAGAAATTTGGTGTAAGGACAAGAAGTGCTAGACAGTGATCAATGCATTACAACAATCAAACTAGGTAAAGGTAAAGGGACCCCTGACCATTAGGTCCAGTCATGGCTGACTCTGGGGTTGCGGCGCTCATCTCGTTTTAGTGGCCGAGGGAGCCGGCGTACAGCTTCCGGGTCATGTGGCCAGCATGACTAAGCTGCTTCTGGCGAACCAGAGCAGCGCACGGAAACACCGTTTACCTTCCTGCCAGAGTGGTACCTATTTATCTATTTGCACTCTGACATGCTTTCGAACTGCTAGGTTGGCAGGAGCAGGGACCGAGCAACGGGAGCTCACCCCATCGCGGGGACTTGAACCACAACTTCTGATCGGCAAGTCCTAGGCTCTGTGGTTTAAACCACAGCACCACCCGTGTCCCCATGCATTTAATAGCAAATTATAATTGTTAACAATGACTTCCTCTATCACAGATGATTGTTTGGTGTTTGACATGCTGCCTCCCTTCATTTCGTGTTTTATGTCAAAACTGCTGGGAACACATAACTGCTGTAATAATAGTTCTGCCCTTGAGTGCTTAGGGCTTCTCTCAGTATTAAAGCTGCTCCAAGTCTGCTGTGCTACTCATCTAGCATCACAGGGCTGTATAGCCCTAGGACTGTATGAACATTAACCGCTGCTAAGCTTGACTATTCTCTAAGCTCCCCAATATCTGAACATTTTGGGAAGTGCTGCAAAACCTTGATCCACAATAAACATCTAATGTAAGCTTGTAATTAGCAGATCACCTGGAACAAGTAAGCATTGCCTCCAGGTGACCAGGCTTTTGTAAATTTAAAGAATGAAGGTGTTTTTTTCCAGCCTTCTTGGGCCATCAAGAGGTGCCCATAAATGGCTAAAAAGGTAATTTATGACAAAGGATATGTGGGCTACGTACCAGAAAGCTTATTTTAGGGTGCAGAACTCAAGCCTGCAGGAGGATGGAGTTTTAATAGCATGTTTGTGTGCATTTAAAACATTGCCCTTATCCCAGTCCAATTGAATGGGGTAGACTCAAAAGTTTGGTTCTACAGCCAAAAAGAAGCAGAGCCATATATGTATCCATGTGTGTGTTTTACTTACTCGCTTTTACCAAGAACTTTCTTAACATGTTCTGCGATCTCTTTGTTAGTCTTCTCTTCCACATCAACCAGGACTTGCTCTCCAGTATCTGCAGAGGAGAGAGCATGACAGGGTGTCTACAGGCAGCTGTCTCAACCAGGATGCTCTGAAGACACTGTCTCCTTTGGAGAGTGGCGCTACCCATTATTTGCCCACCTGTCACCTGTCAGTCTTGGGAAGGTATTTGCCTAAGCAGAGGGTATTCCAACGCACTTCAACAAAAGCTAAACAAAACCATGCATGTTACTTACCTAAATAGAATTTCAAGAATGGTGATGGTGTCATGTTCTTAAACATCACAATCTGAAGCCAAGGGTTTTTGTACTGAATCTGAGGTATGTTGAAAAACACAAATTTTCTGTGGAAAGAGCAGGAGAAAAGTAAGGAAGACAGTGGATGCACTCAGCCTTTCAGAATATGAATTCAGTGAAACTTAAGACTCTTGCCAAAGAAAAGGAGAAAAAGGCAGCTCTGTGTGTGAGAGAGAAAAGGCATCAGATTCAGGAGGCAGGAACCCAAGCTCAGAGATGGTTTCCCTCACCCTCCAGTATGTCTCCTTCCAGACATATCCGCATAAGCAATGCCAAAATAGTGGGCATGTTAATCAGTTGCTGAAAAACCAAAATGTCCATGAACACTGAGGAAGAGTAACAAATTTAAGTTAAAGGTAAAGGACCCCTGACAGTTATGTCCAGACGTGAACAACTCTGGGGTTGTGGCACTCATCTTGCTTTACTGGCCAAGGGAGCCGGCGTACAGATTCCGGGTCATGTGGCCAGCATGACAGCCGCTTCTGGCGAACCAGAACAGTGCACGGAAACGCCGTTTACCTTCCCGCCGGAGCGGTACCTATTTATCTATTTGCACTTTGACGTGCTTTCAAACTGCTAGGTGGGCAGGAGCTGGGACCGAGCAACGGGAGCTCACGGGGATTCGAACCGCGACCTTCTGATCGGCAAGTCCTAAGCTCTGTGGTTTAGACCACAGCGCCACCCGCGTCCCAACAAATTTACTGTGGTGTAAATAAAAGACACAGGGAGCCAATATGATGCAGTGGTTATATTGAGCTAGGATGACAGCCCTGGTTCAAAGCCATGCTCAGCCCTTTGAGGCTTTCGAGATGGTAACTGGCTCAAGTTACTTCAAAGGGTTGTTGTGAAGATAAAATGGAAGGGTGAACTGCATGCACCACATTACGGTCTTGGAAGGAAAGATGGGCTGTGCATTATTTTATTTATTCATTTTATAAAAGTATATACCACTTGATTGTTAAAAAACAACAACCTCAAAGAGGTTCACAGAAAGGAATAACAATAACAACAGCAAGCTGTTACTTCATCTGATTGCATGAAGAAACAGTGCAGTCTCAAAGCAGGCAGAGGAACATTAAAGGTAAAGGACCCCTGACAGTTAAGTCCAGATGCAAACAACTCTGGGGTTGTGGCGGCCAAGGGAGCCAATGTTTGTCCACAGACAGTTTTCCTGGGTCATCTGGCCTGCATGACTAAGCCGCTTCTGGCAAAACCAGAGCAGCGCACGGAAACACCGTTTACCTTCCCGCCGGAGTGGTACCTATTTATCTACTTGCACTCTGACATGCTTTTGAACTGCTAGGTGGGCAGGAGCTGCCCAGAAAGCAGGATTAGATCTAATGAGCTTGAACTACAGGAAGGCAGATTTCAGTTGACCATTGGGAGAAACTTGTTGGTATCAGAGGAGCTAGGCAATGGAGTGGGTGGGTAGGTAGGTAGACATCTTTGGAGGTCTTCCTGTTCCGGATTTATCCCGCACCGAGCAGGCAATGGACGTGGACGGCCTGCGCGGGGCCAACTCCAACCCCGTATCTAGCAGTTCCCCTACGCCAGGGGGGCAGCTCGACTTGCCTTGGGGCTCCTTCCCCAGTCCCTGCACGAGGCGCACGGCGAGCGCGGAGAGATGCGCAACAATCCCTGGGACAGGGGGACGGAGGGAGGCTCCTTGCTCGAGGGGTCCCCGCTCACCTGGCTCCTTCGCTGAGAGGCCCCCTCGTGTTGTAGTTCACCGTCATCACCTTCACGGCGTCCTTGAAGATGATGTCGCCCTGGCTCAGGTACTGCAGCGTCCTGCGGATGGGGAAGCGGCCCTTCATCGGCATGGCGGCGGCAGCCGGCAGCCCCGCGCGCACCGCGTAGCCAAAGGCAGCGGCACGAGTCGGCGGCGGCGCAACTTCCTTGCTCCGACCCACCCGGGCGGGAGAGGAAACGGAGCGCCGATCGCAAGGGGAGGCGGGAAGTGTAGTTTCCGGGAGTGCGGAGGAGGAGGCGGGACGAGTCGGAGGGCATGGGATCGGAAGAGGAAAGCTGTTTACACTGCGATCGGGGGCTGTTTACATTGCGATCCGAGAGAATAGTGAGCGCAAAACACCTAGAACTGCGCAAATGGAGAGGCATTCAGTAAAATGCACAAACCACATTCCAGACGTTCGGCTGGCGGCGCTGATTTGCAACCACCGGCATTGTACTACTGTATTTGAGTGCATGGGAAAGTTACGCAGGCTGTTCTCACAACTTTGCGCTGCACGAGATCCTGTTCTGATGCTGCTGCTGCGAGGAAACGCCGCCAGCGGAATGTGGAAATGCTTCGGCTCGTTTGTAAAGTTTGAAGGGCCGCTTCAGTACAAGGCCGAGTTTTCAGCATTGAAGTAAATGAACTAGGAGGGCAAAGCTTTGATTTCCAAAAAAATCTAGTACCAAATTGAGTATGGCATCTTTTCCCTATGGAACCACGTTTTTTTCTTAAACATACCCTAAATAATATATAGTGACCCTGATCATATGTGGAGAAAGCCAGCTTCTGTTAAAATAAAAATCCAAAAAGCAAGGTTCTCAAAATGTGGAAAAAAGGAAATGCATCTCACACAGCTCAGCACTCAGAAATGTTCAAATGCTTCCTTTCTGGCCAACAGGAATTGTATTGAATGGAGTATTTCACCATGTGGAGCTTCTTCCATGATTGTTAAATATGTATCCCACTGCTACACCAAATGATGGTCAAAGCAATTAACAACACAAAATACACTTAAAAATAATCAAATATAATAAAATATCAGTAATCTCAAAACAAAACAAAAACAGGTGTAAAAAGTCAACATATTTTCAATTCAGCCAATGAACCAAATTCTAAATAAAAATATATATTTGCTGACTGTAGGTCATCAGAGATGCTCCTTTTGCAAGGAGTTAGAGACTGGCATCAGCAACTAAGGCCCTCTCCCGCATTCCAACTGAATGCCCTTCAGAAGTAGGCAGGAAAGAAAGATCCTATGAGAACCAGCAGAGAGAAAGTGGTTGGTTTTTCAAATAACTCAGAAGTCAAGTGGGGCTTTGTAGGTCGCAACCAGTCAAGAAAACAGCGTGTTTCTCCATACAGTTAAAACTGCTTCAGTACTCTGGCCAGTATCCAAAGAGCTATTTTAGGCATGCCCAATGAGGATTTTTGATTTCTTCCACTTTTAGGCAGAAGCCAACCCCAACTACCGCAAACTGCTTTTAAAATCCTCCTTGTCTGAAAAGTCATTTGCCCTATGGCAAGGATGGGAAAACATTCTTATGTTGAAGAAACACTTCGATAAAACCCTATTAGGCAGGCAAAATTACCGGTAGATGAACAATTCTTTGGATCCTAACATTACTCTCAAGGCATTCTCAAAGAATATTGTGAACCCATTCAACAATTTTTATAGTTATGCCATAATTACCTGCTCTGAAAAAAGAACTCAGAGGCCATAAAAGGGTCTTTATTTATTTTAATAGTATAAACCTTCTGTAGGCAGAAATATTAAGCCACAACAATATAATGCCACATTTAGACAGCATTTAATAAAATGCATAAGCATGCACTGCAATACTCTATATACACACACAACAATGCAAATTTCTCTTCATGACTGAAGACATTGATTAGATATAAAAATTCAGATAAAAAAGAACATGCTATTTTAAATGCTATCACATTTACAAAGCTGATTTCACAAAATAAACTGTGAGGAAGCAACAGCTTTTGTCAGGTTTTAAACCTTGTATTTAAAAAAGAAGATACAGAGACAATAGACAATGAAAAGCACAGGGTTACAAAAGGTACCCCAGGGAATTATCACCTATCTTGTGGCAAATAGGTTAGCTTTAGTAAGAGCTTAGCGCTTGAAGGGTTTTCCAAATACATACAACAATTATATAATGGATAAATATGAGCAGTTGTTTTGTTACAAAACTATTGGGAACAATGGTGTTATTTAGAATTAGTGGTTAGTCACAGAAGTCTTTTCGGCATATGAGTTCCATAGATACTGCAAGTAAATATACTGTATTTTGGTCAACAGACTACTCAAAACTCCTCCAGCCTTATGGTAAGATTTCTATTTTTCCACACCCCTGCCCCTCCAAATGTTGTACAGAAAGCAAAAGTAACATAATTGTTTCCAGAAACAGCTTAAATCATCCATTGGCCAGAATCAGAAATCAGGTTAGTACCTCTATTACAGGGGATTGTACCTTTTAAGGAACAATAAAAAATGGGGAAATCATTTTATGATAGAAGTCTTCTATTCAATGTTAACTTAAAGCAAAGAGAGTACCGATTGTCATAACACTAAATCAATGGAGCTTCCTGCCAAAAATGTTTCAAAAACATCCACAGCTGGAATATTTCTTTTTAAAAAAACAACAACAAAAAACCCCCACTATGTACATTTATTAAGCAGCAGGTCAGGAAATGGAAGCTGGGCAGAAATGCTTATCCAAGGATTGCACGCCCAACATAGAGGAGCATTTAAATCCTGCAAGTGCAAGACTATGCAGGTGCTAGATTTTATACTACTAGGAGCACTCCTTAGTTCACCAAAACTTTTAAAAGATCAGACCTAGAGCACTGACCAGTAGGAAAATGTATGGAGATCAGGTCTTAGACTGTATAGGCATCAGGAGGATTGTTAAGGTGGTGAAGAGAACAGCAAAATTCATTTTCCAAGAATTAACTTTGGGCATAGTTCTTCCTAATGCTAGTACAATACAGTCGTACCTTGGAAGCTGAATGCCTTGGCTCCCAAACAAATCGGCTCCTGAACAATCAAAACGTGAGTGTTCCGGTTTTCGGAAGCCAAATGTCCAGCGCGGCTTCCGATTGGCTGCAGGACGCTCCTGCAGCCAACTGGAAGCTGCGCTTTGGTTTTCGAATGGTTCTGGGAGTCGAATGAACTCCCGGAATGCATTCTGTTCAAAAACCAAGGTACCTGCATGTGCAGTGATCCTCACAAGAGATCCATTTCTATCCTTTTCCTCTCTGGATGTGGATAGGGTGCCAAGGCATTGTGGAAAAAGCAAAGTGTGTGCACCTCCCAAGTCCTCCATCAAGTTCCTGCCGCCCTCCATGCTATCTCCATGCTATTCAATTCCAAAGAAAGCGAAGATTGGATGATGACATGGGAGGCACACACAGACCTGCCATAGCCTATAATATCTTGGCTTCCCACTTGGGTGCATGGCTCTCATCCACACATGCCAAAAGAGGAAGGGGAGAAATGTGTCTTTCTTGGAATGTCGACAGAGATCTTTCAATGTACCAGGAAGCATCTTGTCCTTTGTTTACTTCTTTCATTAAAAGGAAACGTCTCCCTTAAAATATAGTTCATAATTATCTCGGACCACATTCTATATGACTCGTGCATGCTCAGCTAGCTGTCATTCTTGACCAACTGTTGCCATCTGAAACCAAAGTTTCTTCCATGGGAAAAGAAGGAAAGAATGCCTAAGCAAGCCAGAGTAACTATATAAACAGGTTTTAGGGAAGGTAGGACAGTAAGAAATATTGTCTGTAACACACAAACTACTTTCCTGTACAGGTTATCTGGAAACCTTCAATAGACTTTCACTAGTAGCAGAAGACAATTCCTAAAAGCTTGTTTTTTTTAAAAAAAATATTCCTTTTAGTGGTCTGTCTCTAAAAAGAAATGCATTATATTTGCCAGGAAAGATATGGTGCCATGTATTACGTAGCTAGCAGATAGTGACATTTATGACGCTACTCCTGCAGTTTGCCTTATGCTCAGTTACACAAGATGGTTGTCAATACAAAACTACACACATCTGTTGTGCAGCAACCTTGTTCCTTCTCATTAGCAACTTCAAGGGACATACAGACATTATAAACACAGTGATGAAGCTTTACATGCTTTAGAAAAGAAGACTGTATATATATATATATTTTAAAAAAGCAAAACCTTTCAGAAGAGTTTTAAAAGCCCCCTTTGCATGTTGTCAATAACATAAGAAATGTTTATGGTCCACAGATGCAATTCACCAAACACTATCACTGCACAACCTCATTTCATTTCAACAGGGCTTGTGTGTATTTAGAAATAAGATGTGGAACTATTAAATAGTTTCAGTATTTAAGAAAAAGTGCAAATACATCCTGGGTTTAGAAACAGGTACCTACTCTACCAAGGAACGTGAGATGCAAATGATCATACCAGGACTGAGCTTTGAGCAAGAAATAAAATTTAGGAAGCTCAATCTTTGCAATGCATTTATAAATCTTTTTTTTTGTTAACATATAGAAATCTGATATATATGATTACATGACTGTACATAGTTCTATATACATACATACATACTTTATATTACACTGTACATAATATACCAGACTAAGTTAGATACAAGCACATAAAACATCATACACACAAATAAATATGGCCGGGATCCAAAGCACTTCTTTAGGGGAGCTCAAGAGCTTGGGTAGACCTTATTTGACTCCTCCCCCATCAAAGGCATATTATTCCTCCCTCCAATGTTACATCACAAGTTGGTTTTGAAGAAATAGGAACACCTACAGACACATACTTTTTAAATTATGACTCTCCTTTCACAGAAACTATTTGCAGAACTCAGAACCCCTGTAACTCATGGCAAGCGAATCTCTGGGGGAGAACACGGTGTTAGTTAGCTTGCCACATAGGCTCTCCCATAATCCACTGAGGCTGCAGACTAATAGACATGCATGTCTAAGCCCATCTGAAATCAATTAAACTCAAGATTGCCATCTTATTTAACAATTGACAGGGCACACAGTAAATTTGTTTTAAATGCTAATGTTTCCAATCTTGTAGATAGATAAATACATGTATCTTACTGATCTCAAAAGGAACTTGCTTCCAAGGATGCTTACTAAGTAACCCTAGACAATCTGAACTATAATCAACAATGAGCAATTACATACACTTTTTTTCCTTAAGAATATGGAAGCTAGGCTAGATGGGAAACAGTGAATGACGCAACAGGTGCCTTTTTGCAAAAAATTAAATATTGAAATATTTCATAGCAGTCATTAAATGACACTATTTAAAAACAGTACTTCAGCTGGATCCAAAATAAAGCAGAACTAAATTAATTTAAGGTTTGTGGATCAAGCTGTGCAAACCTGCAACACACAGATTTCAGTGTAGCAGACATCACTTTTAAAAGTATATGCTCCTCTGAGTTTTATAAGGAATCATTTTTGGTCTCAAAATTGTACTAAAATTATTTTTAGGATATTTTATCATGTAAATTACAAATTTCTTCATTAAAAGTGCACACTCAAGTCTTGACACTATACATACTCTAAAATATATGATTATATCTTAATTTGTTTATACCATGATAGTATAGTAGGCTCATCATGTTGGGTCTTTTGTCATTTTTAATTAAGACAAGAGTTGATTAATTTTAATCATGATTTTGACATCGTATCTTCTTTACTGAAAGACATTCAGTGCTCACAGTACTATTGACTGCATGTGCATAAATTATTTTAGGAATAAAGTCAGAGCTAAACAGTAAGTCAAGGAAACACAACACTGTTTCACTTCCTCTGAAGCAGTTCTTGTGTGAATTAAAGGAAGTGACACCCAATGTTGTCTGTCCACTTACGCAATAGAAATCTGCTTGCACAAGGGTGCTTCTGGATTCTCTTCTCTACCCTCCAGCCCCCTGTGCCCCCATAAAAACTGCTCCAGAGGGCCTCCTAATTCTCAAAAACAAGTTTTGGAGGTTCGGAATGGGGGAAAGGAAGAAATAGCCCACTGTGAAGGCAACTTGCATTACATTGTATCTCACCCTGTTTTTTAAACATTTTTAAAAGTAGGAAGTGTAATTGATTTGGATACACCCAGGAGATTACTAAGTGAATCATCATTTAGAGTAGTGTAGTTTAATGATCTCCGGGGCTATGCCAGCTTAAGTAATCACTGAATTCCTTCCTGAAATGTAGGTTATAAATGAAGATTCTTATGAATGGGGGTAAATAGGTGACTGAACTGTGACTGGTCCTGTAAGACATCCCTCCAACATTCCACCTGAGAGCTTAACTAGAAAGACAAAAAACAACCTTGTTGGAATATGATCTCAACTGAAGAGCAATCTGAGAAGTTGTTTTTGTGTGATTAACAACACATTATCTTAAAAATAAAGCAACACAGATCAAACAGAAAATGGCCAGCCCTTGGAAGCATTTTGACAGGTTATGACACAATAAATATTTCTTAGTACTCCAGACTTTAAAAAGAATCCACAAAGTTATGTTATGGGAGCAGGGAGTCCCTTCATGCATGATACTTTTCCTATATAGAGGTAAGATCTCTGTAGAAATATATTTCCATGAGCCCTGGAAAGTGGGGAAATCATTGAAATGTCTATTTTGTCAAGAGATTTATGTGTGTTTGGATACAGTAGAACAAAGCACACCTGAATAGATGCAAGCATGTGGAAATGGGCAGCTGTATGATATGCATGCAGCTGACTGCTAACTTTTTCCTACAGAATTATGCCCAGGTAAAGAAAATGCTGTATTGCAAGTGGAGGTTGGAAAATGGCAAGCAGTGGAATTCAAACCAAAGATTCTCCAGGATGAGAGAGTTGGCTTTCCTGGCTGAGTGGCTAAACCAGCATAAGTCCCCCACTCTGGCTCAGCCGGGGCTCAACTATCATAAGTCCCCCCAAAGGGACACGACAGAGCAAGGGGAGACCTATTCTAACCCCCTTTCAACTGAGTCATGTGACCTAGCAACCTGGCATAATGTGACAAGTGAAAAAGGCAGTGTCAGTCGAATTCCTCCTGAAAGGAGTTTGGGATGGGGAAACTCAAGCTGTTTTAAGTTACACTGACTTACCATAGCTAGGGATTGCTCAGAGCAGCTATAATCCTGGGAGTAAGTTTCACTGAACCCAGTGGAACTTTCTCCTGAGTAGACACATATAGGATTTGGACCGTAAAACAGAGTTTCTAACCTTTATGAAAAAGACTAAGCCTCAAATTCTGAAGTAACCACAGTACTGGACAATGTGATATGCCAAAATAGTATTCTCAAGTGTCAGACAAAATGAATGAGTTTGAAATTATAATGTACTAAAGGACACATTTGCTGTTTTTGAAACTGATAGCATCCTCATCACTTAGCGACTGATGCAGCACAATAAAAAGGCATCTTATGCTACAGCATTTATAAGTAAACAGCACCAGGCTCGAAAATCTCAATGGTTACCCTTTACAAAGCCAAGAAGTTAGAATGCTCTTTTCTAGTGTGAATAACTTCTACGGCATCTTACTCAGCTGACAGCAAAGCCATAAATCTTGTGTCACTTATGCTGTAAACATTTAGTAAAGTTTAACTTCAAATAGTATAGAAATCTCATGGAAAGGATCACATTATTAATAAACCACATACAATTGGAATTTTGTAGCATAAATGATTGTCTCCCACAGCTCTTCCATGTTTTCACAGAAATCACTAGCATATGACTGCATTTAAAACACAATTATTCATTTACCCTGAATGCTATTAATCACCTTGCTCAAACAAGCAAGAGGATGACAAAATCATAGCTTTAACAAGAAGTGCTTTGAAAGTGCTGATAATGACTACATCCTGGTAATTTTAAAATATAAATTAAAATATATAAAATATGGGCTTGGATACAAAGAACCCTTAATCAAGTGGAAAGCACTCCTGCTTGCTCAAGGGTGAGTGTGTTGACAATTTTCTCTGCCAGCTGCAACTTTCCATGTGGCACTCTGGAGCGTGACCTGACCCTTAGGCAGTAGCAGCCCATGTGGTGGCATAGATAAGGACACTACTGCTCTCCTGGCTTCTGAACACAGTGCATCACTGACGATTACCTGGGGGTTTATTTATTTATATTATTAAATTTATTTATATTATTAAATCTATATACAGCCCTTCATCTGAAGATCTCAGGGCTGTTCACAAGATAAAAATGCAGGATAAAAACACAAAATAAATAGTTGAGAAGAAAACAATAACCTCATCTCCCACAAATACATTTAAAAGGCCATAGAATATTGATTAGCTAAAGGCCTGATTGAAGAGGAACACTTTCGCCTGGTGCCTAAAAATGTATAATGAAGGCGCCAGATGGATCTCCCTGGGGAGAGCTATCCACAAATGGGAAGCCAGTGCAGAAAAGGCCCGTTCTTGGGTTGCCACCCTCTGCAACACTCATGAAGAAGGCACATGAAGAAGGGCCTGAGATGATGAGTGAGGAGTCCAGGTTGGTTTATAAGAGGAGAGGCAGTCCTTGAAGTATTGAAATCCTGAGCCGTTTAAGGCTTTATAGATCAAAACCAGCACTTTAACTGGGCCTGGAAACTAATTGGCAGCCAGTGCAATTGGCAGCCAGGATGCAGTTGGGCTCAAACAGTCTTGCTCCAGTGAGCAACTTGGGGCTGGGTGGCAATGATAGAACCAATCAGACTTGCCAATCAGATTTGTGTGGTATGACAGAGCCAAACACATGCCCTCATGTGCCTACACAGCCCTGAGCTCCTCACCCCTCTCCATCCTGTGGAGAATAGAGAGTGTGCCAGTGGCATACTGTGTCTGAAAATCAAGAGTAGTGGTGCCCCACCTGCACTGCTGCATGGGTTGTTACTGCTTAGGAGTGACTTGGCGTGGCTGCATGAAGGAAGAGGGATTAGGAGAGAGACTCATTTAATGAGCAGAACTCCACCTGCAGTTCTTTGGATCCAAGCCAGCATTCTTACTTAAGTACTTTTCAATAAGTATTCTGATATTATAGAACCTATTTTTGCTCACAGATAATTTCCAAATAAAAATCTTGCTCAGCAATTCCCTGTAACCCTTTCATCAAAAGGCATTAAAGTATTTCTTCTGGCAGAAGTGAATCCTAGAAAAAGCGTTTTTTGCAGGTTTTAAAATCTTGTTTTTCAATGTTGATAGGAATAAGTTGTTCTTTCAATGTGGAAAAGAATAAATTTAACAAGAAAAGGGAACATGATCAAAATATTTATACACAATGCCAAGGTTAATCAGTGACTTATGATTACTTGGTTGATCTGTGAAGACGCACTGATTTCTTCTAGGAAGATGAGCCTGTTATTTGGCCATTATATTCTGCTGTCTCCATTTTCAATATGTAAGGGATGATACTGTCTATTGGAACATTTCCAATGAGCCCAGTAAAAAAGAGTTCTTCAGTAATGCTAGAGCTCATCAGTCTAAGTGCTGGCAGGCGAACTAGAATCCGGGCTAGTCTGAAATAAGAAGACAGTAGAATATGAAAAGGTATACATCAGGTTACCAGTTTGGCATCCACTTATAGCAACTTGATTAGGTGAAAAAAGAACAGAAGAAGAGCTTGCTGAGCCAGGCCAATGGACCATCTAGTCCAGCATCCTAGAACCCTGTGCTTTGTAGCAGGGTTTTTCCCCCAGGAGATGGACACACACACACACACACACACACACACACACACAGAGAGGAATGTACAGATATATTTATTTACAACCCCCCAAAATAGAGTTTATGATACAGGCAAAATGCTGTTTCCCTATCCTATCTTGAGAAGTTGCTTGAAACAGAATTAGCATAGACAGTTAGTAGTTTCACTGTTCCATTCATTTCTGTAGAGATAAATAGGAGCCCTGGTAGCTTAGTAAATTAAATGCAATTTTTAAAAACACTGAAAAGGGAGATATGTAGATGAAGCACCATGGGGCAACTGATCCCATAACTATCAAAGAGCAGATGGATTATGAAATGATTCAAGTTTGCCAACATGTTTTACAAATATTTTTAAACAGCTCACAGCAACCCCACTGGCTTGGGAGAGTTCAAATAATTTTTAATCCAATTTTGTGTTTTCATACCTATCTGACTGTTTTGTTTTGTTTTGTTTTGTTTGTTTTTTACAAATGGAGAATAACCTCATAAATGCATGAGGTTCTAAATGTAACTATTTACAAGAGCTTAAAACCATATTCTGCTTTTATATATGTAGCAATAAGACCGTTATTTTTAATCTAAGTTTTCAGAGTTTTAACAGCTTGTATATATTATTATTACTCACAAATCCTCTAGCTAACAACACTAAATGTTGTTACACTTTACTTGTGGATTTTATCACCACTGGACACCTAAGCCAATTCAGGTCCCAATGGGTAACAGAGGGGAAAAAGAATAAAACTCAGCACACATCTACTTGGAAACAACAGGAATTACTTCCAGGTAAGTGCGAGAGAGAAAAAATACCTGTAAGTATCTTCTGGATACGTTTTTTGAACATAGTCTTGTAACTCCATCTGAGCTTTCTCCTGGAATTTTTCTATTTGGCTGGAGCTTGTGAGACCAGGGTGATCTAAAGAAAACACAAACATTGTGCATTTACTTGACATTTATTTTCAGAAAGAATCTTCTGTTGAAATACTTCCAGAGGCAATATATGCTATCACATGACTTTCTGCTTTCCACAGAAAATAAGCAGGTTGGCCTCTACACAAAATAAATGGATACAAATCTGACATTAGAAATAGTAATATTTCAGTCTCTTGTGACACTCAAATGTTTGTGTGCCATTTATACATTCTTTTAAAGTTATTTCAAAATATTTATATACTGCCTGTCATATAAACATTATCAGGTAATGTACAAAAGTAAAAACAATGAAAATATAAAAAGGTAAAGGGACCCCTGAGCATTAGGTCCAGTCGTGACCGACTCGAGGGTTGCGGCGCTCATCTCGCTTTATTGGCCGAGGGAACCGGCGTACAGCTTCCGGGTCATGTGGCCAGCATGACTAAGCCGCTTCTGGTGAACCAGAGCAGTGCAAGGAAACGCTGTTTACCTTCCCACCGGAGCGGTACCTATTTATCTACTTGCACTTTGACGTGCTTTCGAACTGCTAGGTTGGCAGGAGCAGGGACCAAGCAACGGGAGCGCACCCTGTCGCGGGGATTCAAACCGCCAACCTTCTGATTGGCAAGTTCTAGGTTCTGTGGTTTAACCCACAGTGCCACCCGCGTCCCGAATGAAAATATACAGTAGACTAAAAACACAAAAATATTTAATATTCTTCACACTAAATTCTCTTCAAGATAAGAAATGATTACTATACATGAAACTGGGAGACAAATTACAGAGTTAAATATTAGGAGATGACTGCACTGTTAATTTGCTTCTTAAACAGTACAAATTTATTGTAAGTTGGGTGTAATAGGTAATAGCATTTTCCTTTATAATTTTTAAAATTAAAAGATACCAGACATATTTCTGTTAATATTCCACATCCAATACAAAACATTGTCAGCTTTGCAAACAAAGCCTTCTCCCAAACTTTAGATGTCCTGCACAATTCAGCTCTTTACTCAAAATCAACAGCGGAGGGCCAGTTTTGTCATCAAGTATTTCTTCTGACACAAGGACAGGTAATGTTTCCGAGCACAATTCAAAGTGTTGGTGCTGACCTTTAAAGCCCTAAACGGCCTTGGTCCAGTATATCTGAAGGAGCGTCTCCACCCCCATCGTTCTACCCAGACACTGAGGTCCAGCTCCGAGGGCCTTCTGGCGGTTCCCTCACTGAGAGAAGCCAAGTTACAGGGAACCAGGCAGAGGGCCTTCTCGGTAGTGGCGCCTTCCCTGTGGAACACCCTCCCACCAGATGTCAAAGAGAACAACAACTAACAGGCTTTTAGAAGACATTTGAAGGCAGCCCTGTTTCGGGAAGCTTTTAATGTTTGATGTATTATAGTATTTTATTATTCTTTTGGAAGCCGCCCAGAGTGGCTGGGGAGGCCCAGCCAGATGGGCGGGGTATAAATAATAAATTATTATTATTATTATTATGTCTCTGCAGACTGCATCCCACGCTATTAATGTTTCCTCCTGGAAAGTTAGCACAAGTGGTGTGCAGGCTGTAGAAAAACTGTAGCAGACTGGTTGCAATCCACCAGCCTTACACTGTCTGCTTTAGGGTTATCCTCAAGTGTATTACTGAGTATTTCATGCTGCTGGGGTTATTCCAGATGTGGACAGATGAAATAGCAGCAAAAGGGTGGATTGATGATATAGCTTTTAAGAAAGCGTCTGGCTAATACTTTGATATTAAACATAAGTAAATCCCAATAAAACCAAAAGGAAAAATAAACAAAAATATGTCAGTTAATTGAACTATATTATGAAGTACCTTCATTCGTAGCATTTTCTTCAGCATTGGATTTAACTGGTGTCAGAGTATTACCCTCTTGTAAATTGAGCACCAAAACAGAATTTAAGAGAAGGGAATAATTACCAAATGCCTTACCAGGACTAAAGAGGACTATAGCTTTAAGGTAAGCATATTCATATCCATCAATATCAAGCTTAGCCATGCTATTACAGAACTCCTGAAGCTTCCAGATGTGTTCCATCACTTGTTTTATTCGGTCTCCGGAAAGTTTATCTACAAGTAGACATTACACATTCTCTTAACAGAGCGCAGAACTGTAAGTCAACCAACTATCTAGACTTTTTCAGATGACAACCAGTTTTAAACTGTTCAAACCTATGCAGTCTTTCATGGAAAAATGTATCAAACTGCTAAATTTCATTCTTTTTTCCACATGTCTGGTTACTCAGTGAGTTTTAATTTGTAAACCAGAAGCTTCCATATGTACTGAATTACAGAGGCTTTGGAATATGACCAAATGTTCACTGGAGACCTAAGTGACTAGTTATTTGAAAGACAAAGCTTAATGTAATAATGACTGACAGTTTCCCTCTATAAATGCTTATTTAGAAATATATGCTTTATCTAGCAGACTGGAATCAGAAGCTTACCCTCATCTTTTGAATGCTTCATAGATTTAATTGAATGTTTCTATAACTCTCCTCCATATGCCAGAAACTTACCCCTTGCTATTTTGTTAACAGTGTAGACAATCTGAAAATTGATGAAGCAGTGTACAAGGTAAGGAGGTGGTTCTAGTTGGGAAACTATATAATTGGTGCCAGGCTGAAGCTTGTAAGGGGGGAAGATGGAATGGGTGTGATAACATTTCAAGACTGTTCATGCTATTTTCAATTTTTTCTTAAAATGATTGAGGAAAATCCAATCTTCGTTGTAATTTATCAGAATTTAAGAGCACTTGACATTTTTCTTTAGATGATAGGTATAATGTTGGGGACTTTAAATTGTAAAGGTTTGTGGAATGATTCCTTCTCAGTATGAGGCATTTTTTTGGTCTTTATATTGCAACATTTGCATTTATGCAAGTCAATGCAAAAGAGCAGTTGCCATTTGTAGAAAAAGATTCTGAACAGAAAGTTGCCATTCAAGAACTAGTTCCCCATTTTCCTCTGTTAAGAACTGCATGCTGCATGACCTATATATAAAATAAGCAAAGTTCACTATTACCTAAATATTTTCCTTGGCCTATGTTGGTAATAACTGTAGATATTTATGACTCTTCTGCCACCATATTGAAAACCTTTAATCTACATTTGTTAAACATTGCACAAATAGCAGGCTGCAAGTTGTCCTTTTCTCTTGATCAAAGAATAGCAATGATCTTGCTGTTTAATCTAACCTACACCCCAAATCTTGGGGCAAGAAACATTGCTTTAATTACTCTATCTATCCATGGCCTTCAAAAATTGGTTTAACTCAAAAGGCAGTGCACTACAACCATACAGTTGCAGCAAGCTCTCTTATCTACTGTGATCCTTTGCTTTCCACGAGGCCAGTAATTTCACTGTGCCTGTTCTTTCCACAAATCTGGGATGCTGGAAAATCTTACAGCCCTACACTTAATCAAACGTAGGGCACCTACCTCTCCATGGCCTCTGAATATCCTGCCTCTTTCCTTGCCCAGAGGAACTACATCAGTTCTGTTGTTTTTGAGGGCTTTGCTTGGGGGCGGAACCTGCCTATTATAATTAAGTTTGAAAGGATTTAACAAATTAAATCAGTAAATGCTGGTAACTGCTAACTTTATTTTTCTAGACCCATAACAAGCACAACAAGACAGCCAAAACCAAACCCATCATACTAAAAAGTTATCCTGTAGATACATGAGCCTGCAACTTAGTAATATAGTATTACGGTTCTAGCAGATGGTTTTTGTACAACAACTGATATTTCTGTTATCTGCTGGGCAAAGGCAGCACTCTTGGGACAGACTCTGCTATATCCAGAAATGAAAGTAGGCAAGAACAGAAAGGTATGGAATTCCAGATGTACATTTTACTCATGTTTATTACTAAACATTGACCCTTTTTTTTGCAAACCATGTAAGGTATTCCACAGTTCAGAATCTCTACATCCAGTAGGTACTCTCCAACTGGTACCTATTCTCTTTGGAAAGAATTAAGCCAAAATTCATGCATGACACTGTTGTTTCTTAGATAGTTTTTCTAGTGCAGTTAAGTGGCTATTCATTGGCTTTCATACAGTAATTGTTACTGTCAAGTGCCTATTAAATAGGCTACAATCATTGTTCCACATTTAGAGCTCCATTTAAAACTTCTGCCTATAATTTTAAAAATAAACACAAAAAAGCCAAAGGACTCTTGTGTTTTTCTGAAGAACTATTTGATTTGGTTTCGTAAATCTACTATGAAAATCAGTAAATTCTTCAAGGAAACCTTTATGACAGAAAACAAATATGTGCACAAGAGAATAAATATTACAGTGGTTGGTGTATTCCCCTCTGCCTTGCTGAGTGGGCAAGGTTTCCTCATCAACCACTATGTAGCAGCTGAATGTACGACCCAACATGTGTGATCCATGCCTTGTTGTTGGTGAAACATTTTTTCTAGAAACAACTTAGTAAAATTTTTATTCCCACCCAACAGATGCTTTTAGCCCCTAGATTCTATACACATATACTTGGAAGGCAAGTCCTAATGCCATGATTACAACTTGTTAACTGTGCTTAGAATCACAGCTTTAAAAAATAGCCACACATACCTTCCTGTATGCTGTTCTGTAGATGGTTGACAATGGCTGCCAGAATAGTTGACAAGCTCATCACCTGTGCACATTGTGCAAGGCCTAAAGTAAACAGTTCATTCCAGCATGCACGCACGAGGCTTGTATTACAGTCCTGCCTAAAGGTGCAAAGGCAAATAAATATAGTAAGATTTATCAGTATCATTTTTCTGCATAGATTATAATTCTTTTTTGTAACTACTGAACATTAGAAGAAGAGGAGTTTGGATTTGATATCCCGCTTTATCACTACCCGAAGGAGTCTCAAAGTGGCTAACATTCTCCTTTCCCTTCCTCCCCCACAACACTCTGTGAGGTGGGTGGGGCTGAGAGACTTCAGAGAAGTGTGACTGGCCCAAGGTCACCCAGCAGCTGCATGTGGAGGAGCGGAGACGCAAACCTGGTTCCCCAGATTACGGGTCTATCGCTCTTAACCACTACACCACACTGGCTCTCACACTGGCTCCATTAGGATTTTATTGTAGGTAAGTTTATTTTATGCAACAGTATTACATGCAATGTTTGACTGGCTCGTGTTGCTATGCTGAAAAGAATGGTGGGATTTGTGTTAGCTTGTAGGAGGGCAAATGTTCCCATTCAAAAAACAGTTACAGCTGGAAGAAAAATTGTCCTGAAAAATGGACAATATGGCCGCTGCTTACAAAGTCCCTTGCTTGCTCCCCTCATTCCAAACATTTTTTGAGATCCTACCCCCATCTTGGTAGTCTCCATGCTGAATAGCAACACAGAAAATGTAATGTTACATACGAACTTACAGTTAAGAAAAAACCACAGAATCAAGAGAGGGAGAAAAGAAGTCACAGGCAAAATATCTGACAAACAGAATATCAGCAGTTATGCAATACACTACTTCATAGCCTGTGCCAAAATGCTCCCAAGTTCTACAGAAATCTTCAAAACACAATAAAAAGTCAGTAGAATCTTGATTACAGAAAGAAAACTGTAGAACCCTTATTTAAAGATAACGTGCTGGTTACTTTGAACTGCTTAAGCTCCCTCCCACAATAGACATAAAATAGTCTAGCAAAATACACAATAGGATCTGTGTAAGATTTTCTGATGGTTTAACTGAAATTGATAGCCGCATTAGGATTTCACACTAAACCATAGTTTACACAAGAGGCCGCTAATGTGGTGCCCAGGAGGTCTTCCTTGGTGCCTGAGAAGCTTCTGAGCCCCCACCTCCCATTCACTGTCCCCTTGGTCATGAGATGGTGAGGGTTGTTACCTCTTCTTCCTTGAAGAGGGCTGAATGAGGAACTTGCATATTTCCACTTCCTCTTTCATCTCTATGAGCTTTCCAAGGTTCAGGTCAATTCTAAAGTGTGCATATAGGTACTTTCTTTCTCGTCTGTGTGTGATTAGGAGGGGTGGCACCCCCAGCACTTGCTCAGAAATCCAAATGTACCCATGGGTATAAAAATATTGGCAACCTTGGATTATAGCACAGTGTTCATGAACCTAGCCTCATAGGGATTGCACTTTCCCCTCCTCTCTTTTTTCCAGGAGGTCACTGGAAACCTTTATTTAGCTTTTCCTTCAGCTCTGTATATTGCTGCATCTGAATTTGGGGTTGTAGTTTAACAAATAATTAGTTTCAGCAAGCCAGCTTCATAACCCAGAAGCACGTGCACCAATAACAAAATAAGGGTGAAAGGAATATGGGATGTTGGAAAGACTTTGGGTATGGAGGGGAAATAGAGACTGGGATATATAAGGAGATGGAAAAGATTGAGTTGAGTCTAGTGAGAACTAAGTGGGGACATGGAAGAGTCAGGAGTCTGACAGGTGGAAGAGTGAGGCGTCATTTGATGTGTGATAATTTCATTCTTCACAGCTAGTTTAGATTGAGAAGATCCCTCCAATTCCTTATGTAAAAAATTAAAAAGAAATCATCTGCTCACCCTAGTGCTTGAAAAGCAGGTATGGATCTAGCCCAGTGCATGGAAAGAAAAAGTAAGCGGGATGCTGACTCACAAATGTAATGCACATTCAGATACTCTGGCATTGGGCTTGGCATGGTTAACTGTAAGAGAACAGAAATGTACATGTATAAAAGCCCATTTTCATCAATTCTTTCAAAAATCATTAATAGATGCGTTTTGGATACAGAACATGTTCAGAGCCTTTTATTATGGGACCATAAATATACCATATGCCTTTATAAGTTATAGTGTTAATTCTTTAAACATTCAAACTCTGTAACAGTTTAATCCAGCTATCTTAATACAAAGTCTGCCCCATTAAAATGACAGCTCAAATGAAGCCACACTTTGTATTCAGAAAGAATTGGTTTGAATTTAAATTAGGGTCTGCAATACAGTTAGAGATAACACTTCAAGACTGTGAATATAGAGTAACTCAGGTACAATGCATAAAACTATTAGCAATTTGAAAAGTCTGAAATTTACACATATATTGTGAATTCATTTTTGTATTTTACAGATGTGTGGCATTTGGTACATAGTCACAAAACTCTTCCATTTTATAGTCAAGTAATGTGTCCTGCTCTCAAATTTTACGAAGCTGGAGAATTTTTTCAATCAAAAAACATCAGTAGCTGCCAGAAAGCATGTGTGGTCACATGTATTTAATTTACCATTGGGGTTTAAGGGGTAACCCATTGCTCCCTCCTTTATAAGTTGTAATATGGGCATCAGCTGAAGAGATTCCAATGAAATAGTGAACTCTCAAGGAAAACAGACAGCATGGGAAGTGAAGATGATGTTCACTGACTTATTTTTGCTTGTTAAAAGTCGTTGTGGTTTTTTTCTTAGAGCTTCTTGGCATATTTGCCCAAATAAATTAAGGGAACACACACACCTTAAATGTCACATGAGTATCTGTAAGGAGGGGTCCTTCAACTTCAATGATTGGCGTAGACTGATCCCTACTGATTACATGAATGTTCCCACCACCTGTAGGATCCATCCCATCTGCCAGATTCTGAGCTGTTGCTCCATCTGTGGTGTTAAGTGCTTTAGCCAAAGTATCAAATGCACTGCAAAGAAGAGTAAGTCTATTAAAACATAATGTCACTTATACTTCTGTACACAGATACATATGTATCAATAGTGAATTAATTATCTGGCCTGCTTAACATGTCATGCATGGTGAGCCAAACTATAGTTACCAGGGCTGTGCAAATGTGTGGGTTCCCAAAGAGAAACTTGCAGCTGCATTTCTCCTTCCTGTTTGTTTGTTTTTATTATTCTTTTGCGGTGCCGAGCTGAACCAAAGGTTGGCTTAATGTGTTGTCTGAATATACGCTCATGGTCAAGCTGTTTCCACACTACTGAAGAACTATAGTCAAGATTTATTCAGGCAACACACCAAGCCACAGGTTGGCTTAGCTCAGTGCAGCAATAAAAAAGTCCAGGAAGGAGCAAAGCAGCTGCAAGTTCCTCTTCAGGAGCCCACATAAGAACATAAGAAGAGCCAGCTGGATCAGGCCAACGACCCATCTAGTGGGCAAATGCCAGTGGGAAAGAAGGATTCAAGCACAAGAATCCTTCCAGCAACCAGTTTTCAGAAGCACTACTGCCTCCAGTTTTGGAGGCCAAATATAGCCATCACTGATAGTGGCCATTGATAATCCCTCTCCTCCTGTCTAATTCGTTTTTACAGCCACATAGGTTGGTGGTCATCACTGCCTCCTGGGGAGCGAGTTCCAGAGTTGACTATGTGCTGTGTGAAGAAGTAATTCTTTTAACTGTTCTGAATCTTCCAATGTTCAACTTCATAGGATCCCCACAAGGTTCAAGTGTGTCCTTTTCTGAACCTTTTCCAATTTCACAATACCCTTTTTGAGTCAACTAGAACGGTACACAGTATTCCAAGTGAGGTCACACCACAGATTTGTATAATGGCATTATGATGTCAGTTTTATTTTTGGTGTGGTCCTGGTAACCCATAGTTTGGCTTACTGTGACATGCGAACCAGGCCACTGAGTACTTATCCTTTCGTTACCAAAATGGCAACTTCTACACACAAAAGGGAGGTATAAGAACTCCAAGGGCTGAATTCCCCACCCCCACTTTCCAGACAATCCAAGAAAAGACTGAACATTGTTAGTGAATGAAATGAAACAAAATGGCTGGAACTCTGAATAGAAGCATTCCACACTGAAAGTTTTTGTTCTAGGTCACACTTGTATCCATTACAAACTTAAAGAGAGTCTCTGTAGTAGAATCCCATGACTAGAAAACATCAAATTATAAATAGTTTAATAGAAAATCCCTTCACTATCATAGTATCTTCACAGCAGCATTCTGTTATCTTGCTATTTATAACCCATTCCCTGAAATGCTAAACAGAGTAATTAAAGTTATGCAGGTTGATGACAGAATCTAAATATAGAACTTGACAGTGATGCTTTAATATAAGGCATTGCCTTATATCCATAGCCTGGCATGCTGCTGCTCTAGTTTATTCAGTTAACTAACTACATATAATGGCCTGGGAGATAAGTAGGTTTTTAATATGAAGTACCTACCGAGTGATCTCACTTGCAGATTGGTCTTCTTGTGGAATTTCAGAAGTGTCTCCATTATTAAGCGACTCGTTGAGACTGGCAAGTGAAGTTACAACATTTGCTAGCGTCCCCAAGGCACCCTGGCTTGTCTCAGCCTACAAAAGAAAGAAATATATATATATATATATATATATATATATATATATATGTAAAGAATACGTGTTAAGTAAACTTATTTATTAAAACCAATATGCCACTTTCCCAACATGGCAATGGAGAGAAAATTTAAAACTACATTGAAAAAGAAAAAAATAAACAAAATATAAATTGGCCAGTTGATTGAGCCAAGTCTTTTTTCTTCATTGCTGGGATATGCTCTACTTCACACAATCATCCTTCAATAGTTTTACTGAGCTGTGCTCCTTGTGAGGAATGATGTATTCATATATATCTGCACAGAAAGCACCTTATTCAAGCAACAACGTATGGACTGTACAGTGAAATCTACGGAAGATACCTTGGAATCTGTAGCCAGGAGAACTGTACCATCTTCTCTTATTAGCGGCTGCTGAATATTCACAAGCATCCCTGAATCAAGAAGGCCAGCTGATCTGTTCAAAAAAGGGGAGCATGAGTAATAATCTATTATTAAAGAACCACACCATTTCCCTTTCAGATAATTAAAAGTAGTGGCATGCCTTTCGGTTTTGATAGATTTCTCTATCAAAGTATCTTCAAGTTTGAAAGCAGGATAGCTAATCCATGGCACTCCAGATATTGTTAGAAGCCAATTCCTGTCAGCCCCAGCCAGGGATGACTGGAGTTGTCATGCAACAACAGCTTGAGGGCCACAGGTTAGTCACCTCTGATTTAAAATGTGAATATTGGCTATTCTCCTATAGACAGGTAAACACTTTAGGACTTGGACCCAGATATCCTGTAAGCAGAACTCCACTCATGCAATGGCCACATTGCTGGGAAGGAGTAGAACGATTTTTACCAATTTATCCTCTACCTTGTATGCCGCCCCCCCCCCCGCCCCCGAATGTGGACTAGAAGTTTAGGGGATCGTTCTGAAACAGGGTGAGTGGCTACTTGGGAGGGAGACTGCAGAAGGAAGAGGAAATTCAGTAAAAATCACTTCCCCACTTGCTCCAGCAAGAGCCTTTGCTGGATCACAACGCCTTCTGTGAAAGAAAGAGGCCCTTTCATTTTGCATGATACAACAGAGATGAGCACATGACAAGTTTTTGTCTCAGGGAGTTTACAATATCACAGCCTCATTTCCGCCTGAACAGTACAAATCCTTTGAGGCAAGGTTCTGTCATACATTAAGCTGTACTGTGTCCTTTATAATAAGATTAAGAAGCTATATTTTCTTATTAACATCATGACTTAAGACAGGTAGCATCCAAGTAAGTATGGGAAGTTCCATACTGATACATTATAATAGCATTTGAACTCACAAGAAAGAACATCTCAAAACTAGGGACTAATTAGAAACCAATTGAGTCACGTTTTAAATGCTATCTTCTATTTCTGTGATTTTGAAAGAGCTCAGAATTACATACACCTCAGTAAGATTCATTTGTCACATACCTAGCCCCATCTTTATCTGCTACAAAAGTTGGGGTTGCTATTAGAGGACTTCTCAAGTCCTTTCTGATATAGATTTTTTCTGTTGAAGCAGCACAGTTCGTTGGCTTCTCACGTTGCACATCAAATGGCTTCCTTTCACTCTGTACAGCTAAATCACATAAAGATACAGAGCTTTAAAAGTAAATCATTCATTCAAAGACTTGTAAAACATGTAAATTCTTAAAGCAAGACTTTAGCTTGTGTAGTCTTAGCTCAATTTGGTTCAGTGAAAGTGAATGCTTTGCACCAGTTCCAGTTCTACCCAATAGTTCTATCCAATAGTTCAATCTCAGAAATGTGGAGATGGCTGATTACTGGTGGCACTGTGGTCTAAACCACTGAGCCTCTTGAGCTTGCTGATTGGAAGGTTGGCGGTTCAAATCTGTGCAACGGGGTGTACTCCCGTTGCTCTGCCCCAGCTAGCAGTTCTGCCAACCTAGCAGTTCGAAAGCACGACAGTGCAAGCAGATAAATAGGTACCACTGTGGTGGGAAGGTAAACGGTGTTTCCGTGCACTCTGGCACTATGAATCATACCTAAACCAGGACTGGAAACTTGCAGACATGGCAGCATTATTAAGCATAATAGATACCTACAAAGCAGCTTCTATTCAGTAAAGAGTGACCTCATTGCTTCTACCATCGTATAACTTTCATGTCCATCCTAGACATTACTCATCACTGTCAAGCCATGCCATCTTACTTAGTAGTGTTCCAATGTTCTGCCTAGTTGTACTGTCAGGCTACTGGATCTCATGCCCTGTGGCTTCTTAACAACATGCCCTGTGTTTTCTTATTTCTTATCATACTGCCATTTTTCAAGGTATCTGACCTTTAGATACACCTTTCACTATGAATAGCATCTTAGCTATTTTTGTAATGTAATTGGAATTTTATCAAACCTCAACCACTGCTGCTACATGGTTGAAGTAACAAAAACATTTTAAGTCATTTAATGCTTATTTCTAACATTCACAATGCAAATGATCCAAAAACTATGGCTTAGAATATAAAACATTAAATAAATTTTGATTTTGGATAATAAAATTTTAAAAAAGAACAATAGAAATTGATTTTACCCACAAGCCTCTAAACTATACTTGACAGAACAGGCTGCTTGTCTATGCATATCTATCACTTGATAGACAAAGAACCACTCTGTGTATTTTAGACTCACATTCCATTTTCATTCCCATCTCAAGGCATTTTTTTAGCCGACAAAACTGGCAGCGATTCCGATGGTGTTTATTGATGATACAGTCCTGGTTGCTACGGCAACTATAGGTCAGATTTTTCCTCACACTCCTTTTAAAGAAGCCTTTGCATCCTTCACAACTGATAGCACCATAGTGACGACCTAAAAAAAGCCAGAAATTAAGAATATACAACTAATGTGACAGGAAGATGAATTCTAGAACTATTTTTATAATATGCAGGGTACTTTGTTCAGATGTTGCTGTGGTTTGCTTTTCAGTTTTTTCACATTTTTAATATGCATTGTATTCCAATCAGAAGAAAATCCTCAAGTATTTGCATGCATTTTCAGGTTTCACACATAGACACACAAGTCTCATGCTATTCTGTTAGTTAGACTGGGGTGTATTTTGTGCTTAAACCCATCAGTGATGTACTAGTATGGTTCTAAAATGGTTACTCATAGCATTTATTTTATTTAGAATATTTCTTATCCAGCTTTTCAGCCTGAAGGCAGACCAACTAACAGCATTCAAAACACAATAAAACAAGGTTTAAAAGTAGAAAACACAGAACAGTTAAATATATGCCAGTGTAGGGCCAGCTTAACTCATAATCTAAATCATGGGCAAATGAAACACATCAGACTCAGTACCAAGTGGATCAGAGCACCACAGCTATAAGTCCAATCTCCTTGCCAGGGTGGAAGACTTGAAAAGGGGCCTCTGAGGATGATCGTAACATTGAGGCAGATTCATGTGGGAGAAACAGGTCCTTAAAGTACCCTGGTCCCACATTTGAGGCATTTATAGTTAATAAGCTGTGGGTTTCTTGTAAGCAAAAAGTCTTCACCATATAACCTTAAAGGTTACATCAATATTTTCAACTGTGACCAGAAACAGATCAGGGCTTTAAGATTGGCATGATGTATGCTGCATTTGTCTGGCTCCCAGTCAGCAATTTAGCCACTGAATTTTGTGCAGGAGTGGCTGACATGGCAGAAAGGGGCCACAGCGCCCCTTGATGGCAGCAACCCTAAAGGGTGGGGCAGAGTGGTGGGTCAGGTTGGGGCTGCACAGGTGCACTGATACATCCAAGAAGTCTTGACCTTGCCAGTGACCTTTCACCCCTGTCTAGGTAAAGAGCAGTGATGCTGCTGTTGGGTGAATGCCTGCACAGCACCACCTCACCATGTTGGCCGCTCCTGATTTTTTGGCAGCATTAGGAGTCCTCATGTTGCATGGCACAAATTAACCATTAATAAGAGAAAACTTCTCTTAGGGGGATAATGCTGTTTGGCATGAGTTTTTGTTGCTGTTTCTTCAAACAATGTCCCTCCTATGATTGTTAGGCAGCAATGAGTTGACTAAAACAAGGTGGACAGCTGAAATGGCATTAATGCTGAAATCTGCATTAAAAAAATATGAAAACTTAGCCCTATGCCAGATTTTGAATTTATGTATCTGTCCACAGTAAGGGATGCGGGTGGCGCTGTGGGTAAAACCTCAGTGTCTAGGACTTGCCGATCGTATGGTCGGCAGTTCGAATCCCCGCGAAGGGGTGAGCTCCCGTCGTTCGGTCCCAGCTCCTGCCCACCTAGCAGTTCGAAAGCACTCTTAAGTGCAAGTAGATAAAAGGGGAAGGTAAATGGTGTTTCTGTGTGCTGCGCTGGTGCTGGCTCGCCAGCTGCAGCTTCGTCACGCTGGCCACATGACCCAGAAGTGTCTTCGGACGGCGCCGGCTCATGGCCTCTAGAGCAAGATGAGCACGCAACCCTAGAGTCGGACACGACTGGCCCGTACGGGCAGGGGTACCTTTACCTTTATCTATCCACAGATATTCAGAAAGCAGAAAATGCTAACTATGCTTTCATTCAGCTCAGGAAACAAGAATGGCCTTGTTATTGTGTTTCTGTTGCTAACTGGTGTGATGTATGTAGGAGCGTCAAAATACTAGAATTTGAAGTTAAAGTATAGTGGTACCTCTGGATGCAAACGGGATTCGTTCCAGAGCCCCATTCGCATCCTGAAATGAACGTAACACACGACTGCGCGTCTGTGTTTCGCTTCTTCTGCGCATGCGTGTGACATCATTTTGAGCGTCTGCGCATGCGCGAGCGGCAAAACCCGGAAGTAACGTGCTCAGTTACTTCCGGGTTGCCATGGAGCGCAACCTGAAAATATTCATCCCGAAGCTACTTCAACCTGAGGTATGACTGTAGTTGAGCAAACTATATTTGAAATAATCCCCAGGCTTACCCTGATGGTGATAAATACTGTATTTTCTGAGGGTTGTATATTTGGATTGTAAGCTTGAGTTTTGCTTGCATAAGGATCAAGATGTATAACAGCTCTTAGGGGTTGATTTTAAACTTCCATCTGTTGTTAAGCTGCTATGCCAGGCACACCCAAATGTGGCCAGGCAATTCATGTCATCAATCAGAAGCTTCCTCAACACCACCTATGCCATGTAGCAGCTTATTCTTCTCCAGGCCCTCATAATATTGCTACTTACTCTCAGGAGAAAGTGGAATAGAACTATACTCTGCTGGGCAATATCTAGCTTGAGCTGTTTTGCCAGAACAATGTTCTAGAATCAAATCCATCTGTTTAACAATCCACAAGTGCCATTTTTGACATCAGTGAGCACAGTCAATTTCTTGCACCACATCTAATAATTCTCCTACAGAACATACCTGATGCCTTGTCTCCACAGACAACACAATATTCTACTACTTGGGGTCGCTGGACATCAGTTTTAGCCAACAAACGTTCCACAGAGGCAGAGTCAGTCACAATCTAAAATGAAATATTTAGAAGGCTTACAGTGCCACTCTCCATCTCAAACTAAATGAAAAAGGAGCTGCCTAAATATTTTAAACATAGTTGTATCAGAAGAAGTCCCATTCAAGTTAACATAGAAGACAAGTGAAAGTAATGACAGGATTTTAGGTACTTTGCAAGGAAAGAAAGGGGGGAAGTATGGAGACTCTGGAAAGGGAGATGTTCCATGCAGAAGTAGCAGCAGTGAGTAACTAAATTGAGATTTAAAAAATAATGAAATGGACAAATAGGAATGCAGTGAGAAAAAAGGGGGAAAGGATACAGAAGTTCAGGAGTGGTTTCAAGACAACGTGAAAAACCTTATATTGGATTAACAACAGGCCAATGGAAAGAGAAAAACCACATTAGTGGCAGCTCAACAACTAAATGTTTTCTGGCTGGCATCATATGGCAGGCTTGCTCCATACATTCCTACTCAAGCCAAAAGTCTTGCAGACTAGCATGCCCTTGAGGCAATCTTCTGGAGGCAATTTTTTTAACTCAGTTCTATATCTTATTGCCATCTCCTTCTGGAGAGCTGCTGAATTGGTGTTTGGAGTCAGTGATGGACTGACTAGCCTGAAGTTAAATTTGGACAAGGCAGAGGTACTAACAGCCAGTAGGCCTACTAGAATAGGGATAAAATATCAGTCTATTATGGACAGGATGCACTCCTCTTAAGATCAGGCTTGTGGCCTAGGAGTACTTCTGGATCTGGTCTTGTTACAATATGTTCAAGTGGCCTGCAGTACTTTTGTGTGCAGCTTCAACTGGTGTGCCAGCTGTGCCCATTACTGGTACAGTCAGACCTACCATTGGTCCAACGTGCATTAGTCGCATATTGACTGGACTACTGTAACATGCTCTATATGGAGCTACCTTTGAAAAATTCAATTCAATTCAATTGGTGCTGAATGCTGCCAATAAAATATTCACGGGGCAAACTGGTGTCTTACTATATCAGCTGCCCCGGCTGCCCCTTCATTTCTGAGTACAATTCAAGGTGCCAGTTATCCTTAAAGCTCTAAACAGTTTAGAATCAAACTACCTGAAACACCCACTCTTCCATGTGAATTCTGTTCTGTGACAATGTACAAGAGTTTTCTCTGTGGCAGCACCTGGAATTCCCTGCCCCAAAATAACATCCCATTTGCATTCTGCCAGTATTTTGAAGATGTCTATTCAAAACTTTGACTTGCTTGTTACTTAATTTAATTTATTTATTTATTGTTTTGGCTCTCATTGCTCTTGTTCTCTCAAGCTGCTTTTTGTCTTAGTTTTTTGGTAACTTGTTTTAATTATAGTTTCTTTATTATTGTGTTTGTTTTTATATTTTGTTAGCCACTTTGAGTGAAGAAGCAGGATATAAATTATTGTATCATTAAGTAAATAACCCTGCGAGGAGCTGATCAGTAGCCACCTCAACTGTGGCAGCACTTACATTGTTTTCAGATAAAACAAGCAATCCTTCAACAGTAAATAATTTTATATGAATCAGATTGTAACAAGACATGTTATAACTGACCATTAAGCATATCCATTGAATCAGTATATATAACAATCCAGGAAAAACTATATACCTTCTGCCTCATATAACACATAATTCATTCTCAGAAACAATTATTTTTGTTTAGCATTCATATTTATTTATTGTGGTGAATATGATTACTTTTGTTTCACGTGTACATCTTATACTCGCTGCATATATTATCCCATGAAACAAACATTTTATTTTTAATAAGCTATGTAATGTTTCCTTTGCTTAATGGCTGACACATATACCCTTATTTAATTGCTGTGTTTACCTGTATTCTGCCTGGCACAATGTTATCTGTGGTGGTAAAGATAAGTTGCTTGGTATTAGAAGCCTCAGGTGCAGCCAATATCACTTTCCCTGTTCCTGTTCCGTCTGGACTAGCCAATATAAACTGCTGCTTTGGGGAGACTGATGAGTCCACTGCTGTTACTATTTGGATTTTCTGCCCTGTTTGCTGATCAGTGACAATCTATAACAAAAATGGAAATATTTTATCACGTGAGATTTAACAATTTAGTAGAATCATATTTTATAACTTCATAAAGTCTTGTTTCCCCTCCACTGCTAGGTTATATGCACAGTTTAGCCACAAAAGGGTATAGAAGAAGTAAAAAAATGTATGTACATGTTATGTGTGTGACAACTCAGAATGCAAATCAGTATGGAATATGAATTGGCTACATCCAATTGGTGCATTTGCACAAGTGCAAAGACTTCTGATCCAGGAAGAAGTGGATCAGTAGAAGAGACTATTTTTGTATGTTTTCTCTCCCCACTACAGCCCACAATATCCCCTGAAATTTTGTTTTGAAGGGTCCCAAAACAGGTTTTTCTTTTGAGGGAGGGGGATGCTGGACTGCAATAGAGGGGAGGAAACTGGCCTCCCCATCTCCATTAGCAGATGCCTCCTTTGGCTACATCCAATTGGTGCATTTGCACAAGTGCAAAGACTTCTGATCCAGGAAGAAGTGGATCAGTAGAAGAGACTATTTTTGTATGTTTTCTCTCCCCACTACAGCCCACAATTCCCCCTGAAATTTTGTTTTGAAGGGTCCCAAAACAGGTTTTTCTTTTGAGGGAGGGGGATGCTGGACTGCAATAGAGGGAAGGAAACTGGCCTCCCCATCTCCATTAGCAGATGCCTCCTTTGGAACAACAGTGCTAGAAGGACCAACTGGATTCCACCCAATGCACACACCATCCACAGTGCACAAATAAGCAAGAATAAGTTCTTTGGCGAGATGTAAACATAAAATACAGTTCCAATAATGAAACAAAACCTGGCAGTAGTTAATTAATAATTATTAGTAATAATACTGTCTTCTTACTAAGGATGAAACTGAACACATAGAAGAAAGATCTAGGACCAAGTGGCATGGATGGCAAGAAAGCTGCTGCAGTGCCTGCAACATCTGTGCCATGGTTGTCTTTCTGCCTGAGAATGTGCAAAACTACACCTGAACCAAGAAAACTCACACCTGCAGAGATACTGAAACTCATACTTGAGTTGTTGGGCAAGATGAGGAATTTCTTGATAGAGCAGAGTGGACTGTCCTGGAACAGTAATGCAGTGAGGGGTGCCCCTGGGAAGTGAGAAGACTGTCCAATGCATAAGACAAACGACTGAAGGAATAGGACATACAGAAGCAGGACTGTCAGAAGCCATGCTCTATCACTGGAGCTGCAAAATTGATTACATGCCCCCATCTTGGACACTGATTCTGGACCAGAGGAGCAAGGACAGCAGTTGAAGACCTCAGTACTTAAGGTAGCTATGTAAGGTACAATGTACAGAAGAATTCCTGTCATTCCTCAGATGAGGAAGAGAGATGTAATGGTGATTCCCTACTGAAGGGGACTGAGACAGTAGTGTGCGGAGCTAACAGGAGGTGTGCTGTCTTTCAGATGCAAAGTTTCACGATGCGACAGACGTCTTATAAAGCCTACTGACCTCAACCCTTTCCTGATGACTCATGGGGGTACAAACAATACTGCTAGTATCAACACACCCTTGATGTATAACAAGGGACTATGAGACTCTGGGTAGGAAGCTGACGGGCCTTGGGGCTCAGTTGTTTTTTCTGGTTTTCCTTCCTGCTGAAGGTTGTGGCCCAGTAAGAGAAAGGAAAAAACTGGAAGTAAACCACTGGCTGCACATGTGGTGTCATCAGGAAAGATTTGAATTCTTGTACCACGGTCTCCGCTTTGTTGAAGGAGGACTTCTGGCAAAAGATGGATTGCACCTTATGGTGGTTGGCAAGAATGTGCTTGCTAAGAATCTTGTGAATCTGATCGGGAGAGATTTAAACTAAAACTTGAGGGGGAGGGAGACAATAGTACAGACGACAGGAGAACAGCTGGTACTGGGGATAGCAGCTTCACTGATGCACAGGAAACTGAGGTGGTGCTATAGCAACCTATCAAAGGGCAGGAAACTATAAGAAGAAAACAGCTGAGCTGGAGGGAATGACACATGGTTTCACTTGTCTCTAGACTACTGCACAGAGAATGGGAAGCAAGGTGAATTTGAGCTCTTAATACAGTGGTGCCCCGCAAGACGAATGCCTCGCAAGACGAAAAACTCGCTAGACGAAAGGGTTTTTCGGTTTTGTGTTGCTTCGCTAGACGAATTTCCCTATGGGCTTGCTTCGCAAGATGAAAACGTCTTGCGCTTTTTTTTTAAAGCGGCTTGAAGAGGCGCAGTTGCGACGGACCGTGCTTCGCAAGACGAAAAACATCGCAAGACGAAAAGACTCGCGGAACGAATTCTTTTTGTCTTGCGAGGCACCACTGTACAGGATGGCAAATATGAGCTAATAAACATTAGTGAAACCTAGTGGGATGAGACACATGACTGGAATGCAGAAATTGAGGGGTATAACCTATTCAAAAGGAACAGACCAAATAGGAAGGGATGAGGGGTAGCATTTTGTGTAAAGGATGTGTACACTTGTGAAGAAATCCATGAATTGGCACATGCAAGGCAGATTTGAGAGCATATGGGGAATGTAGGGGCAGGGAAACAACAACAGTGACATTACTGTTAAAGGCCTTAAAGCTAAACTGAAGACATTTGACAAAGTCCCCCATGATATTCTTGTGGAGAAGCTGATAAAATGTGGGCTGGACAAGGTTACTGTTAGGTGGATTTGTAGCTGGTTGACTGACCAAACTCAAAGAATGCTCATTTAGGCTTCTCACCATCCTGGAAAAAAGTAACAAGTGGGAGCCACAGGATTCTGTCCTGGGCCCATTGTTGTTTAATGCCTTTATAATTGACTTGGATGAATGGAGGGGAAGTTCATCAAATTTGCAGATGACACCAAACTGGGAGGGGTAGCAAATGCTGCAGAAGACAGAATTGGGATTCAAGATGACCTCAACAGATTGGATAACTGGGCCCAAACTAACAAAATGAATTCCAATATGGACAAATGTAAGGTTCTGCACTTAGGCATAAAGAACCAGCTGCACAAAAATAGGGGACACCTGGCTTGCCATGTGAACAGGATCTGGGGGTCTTAGAAGACCACAAGCCTAACACAAGTCAACAGTGTGATGCAGCAGCAAAAAAAGGCTAATGCTATTCTAGGTTGCATCAACAGAAGTCTAGCTCCAGATCAAGGGAAGTCATAGTAACATTATGTTCTGCCTTGGTCAGACCACATCTAGAAAACTTTGTCCAGTTCTGGACACTACAATTTAAGAAGGATATTGACAAGCTGTCACAAGTGTAGAGGAGGGCGACCAAGATGATCAAAGTCTGGAAACCAAGCCTTATGAGGAACGGTTGAGAGAATTGAGTATGCTCAGCTGGAATAGGAGGCATCTGAGAGGAGACATGATAGCCATCTTCAACTATCTAAAGGGCTGTCACATGGACGCTGGAGTAAGCTTGTTTTCTCCTGTTCCGGAGACTAGGACCCGAAACAATGGCTTCAAGTTACAAAAAAGGAGATTCTGATTAAATATCAGGAAGAACTTTCTGATGGTGAAAGCTGTTCAACAATGGAACCGAGTCCTTTGGAAGTGGTGGACCTTCACTGGAGGTTTATAAGCAGAGGTTGGATGGCTATCTTACATGGATGCTTCAGCTGAGATTCCTGCATTGCTGGGGGTTGATGACCCTCAAGATCCCTTCCTACTATGATTCTTTTAAAATAAAATTGTTTTATGATTGAAAATACAGTTTTAGCAGCTAGAGAGAAAAGTCAGATGATATAACCAAATTCACAGGTGGGAAAACCCTTATACCTGAATGCGCTGTGGTGAAGCTACTGAAGAATCTGTGGAGATTATCTGGATGCGTTGGGAAGGGCTGGTCATCACTGGAGATTCAGATAATGTTGTCTGTACGGTTTGCACCTATATTGAATAATTTAAAAACTGATTTAATGCATGGCAAACAAAATTGTGAAAATGGTTAAAACTCAAATACAGTGGTGCCCCGCAAGACGAATGCCTCGCAAGACGGAAAACCCGCTAGACGAAAGGGTTTTCCGTTTTGGAGGTGCTTCGCAAAACGAATTTCCTATGGGCTTGCTTCGCAAGACGAAAATGTCTTGCGAGTTCCTGCGGGGTTTTTTTCCTTCCCCCCCCCTTTTCCCAAGCCGTTAAGCCGCTTATCAGCTGATCCGCTAAACCGCTGATCGCTAAGCCGCTTATCAGCTGATCCGCTAAGCCGCTTAACAGCTGATCCGTTAAGCCACTAAGCCGCTTATCAGCTGATCCGCTAAGCCGCTAATCAGCTGATCCGCTAAGCCCGCTAAGCCGCTAATAGTGCTAATCCGCTAAACCGCTAATGGGCTTGCTTCGCAAGACGAAAAAACCGCAAGACGAAGAGACTCGCGGAACGGATTCTTTTCGTCTTGCGAGGCACCACTGTACTAAGTACTTCCAGCAGGAAATGTTTATCTGAAACAATTCACTAATACTCCCATACCCAAAGGACTAACACTTCCTCTAACAGGATGATCAGCCATGAAATCGGATGCCCCAGTTTAGGACTATAGATAAGATGCTACTTGTCTAGTGTTAAGGTAGTAAGTGTTGCACTTATCACCAGAAATCATATACAAAATTAAATATGGGGTAGTACTGATTGTTTGGGCATTTAAAAAAAGACATTCACAGACATTTCCATTTTTGAAAGGAAAGTTAGAAGTTTCCTTCTACAACCAACCAAATATTGAGTCATCATGATCACACTCTGTAACAGTGAACTCAGATGCTTGAGTGCCTGAAAATGAAATAGGGTCATTTAAAAATGAAGGAGTGGTTTCTAGATGAGGGCTTCCTGGATATGCAGAAGTTTGTTTGTCTATTTATTTGAAGTAACAAAAAATGCCTGCAAGGTTGTTTGTCTATTTATTTGAAGTAACAAAAATGCCTGCAAGGTTACATAATGCAAACAACAGTTTGTATCAACAAAAGGGGGAGAAGGGAGGACCAACAGAACCAGAAGTTACTGAGACAGTGTTGGAAGCAGTTAAGACACGTTGGAACATCAGTTGTTTGTGGGAGAAGAGGAAAGGAAAACGGAGGTTCAGATTTGGAGCAGGCAGCCCTGTATATGGAGTATTTGGAGAAGATATTGAGGAGGCCCTTTCCCACCCCTGAGCCCTTTGCTCAAGAGACCTGAAGAGGACTGCAAGACTCTTGTTCCTGAATGTATATGGAGCCCAGGACAGCAGCACTCCCCTTAGGAAGTAAGGATAGATTGCAGCACTGTGTTGCAAATCCACTTGTTTCTTCTAACACTGAACTTGGGTGGTTCAGTGACTATCCTTTTGGCAATGAATTGGGGCATATAAAAATAACAACAATGGTTTCTGCATACTCAGGGGGGCTCCTTGAGTATGTAGAATTATATAAAACATTATTTTGATTCTCCAGATAATATACCAGCAGCCTAAATGGTCTATGTTTACTTCTTTCCAGAACCCTGAGCTCCTTTGAATGGCATATGGATGTTGTCAGCTGAGGCAAAAAAAGAAAAGGAATGGGAGGAGGAATTTGCCGGGTTGAGATGCAAACAGCTTATAGGACTCTGAAGGTGGGCATTAGGTTTTCATGAATGTGTGTTGTGGCATTAAAAGAAATCCCCCTCCCATCACAATATGGGAGACTTTTGAATAGACTTTGAAATAGACTTTTGAATTTGTAAAACAAAGCAACAGATTAAGGACTATCCAGAGACCTTGTTGTTCTCTCTCAGTGAGAGTGATAATTAGAAACGTAATACAGAGCAGCTTGAGACGACTAGTAGAAGTTTAATTTTAAAAGAAAACAGGGAAAGCTTGGAAGCTGCATTAAAAATAACAAAGTTACAGTAAAGACAAGAATAAGGGAAGACTGGCAGAAACGTCTCCTCTCTTTCAAATAAGAACTGCCTAAGAAAAAAGGTTATATTTGACTGCAATGATCCTGGGTTCTCTTTCGATTCTTACTGCTGAGAAATTGGACTTAAGTTAACCCCCTCCTTCCCGTTTCCTATTTTGTTGGGTTTTTTTTCTCTGTGGGAAAGATTTACATTCAAGCGTTGGAGCTAGAAAAAACCAGAAATAATTGGAATGCGGAAAATATCACCCGATAAACCCTGGGAAAATTTGGAAAATAACTTTAAGTGTTAAAAACAGGGGTTTTTACACCCCAGTAGACCATAACTGGATATCTACAACACTTTGAATTGGACATTCACATCTTTTATGGACTTGAAAATATAAACAGGAAATGGGGACAGAATCCGGACCAGTGATTTGGTGACAGAGACTGGACCAGTGATTTCTTCCTTTTTGTGATAGAGACTGAAACAGTGATTTGGTGATAGAGACTGGACCAGTGATCTCCTTTTCTTCAGGGACAGAGATTGAAACAGTGATTTCGTGATAGAGACCGGACCAGTGATTTTGTGGCATTGGGATCTAATTGGTTTACAGGTCTGATTTAGATTTACAGGTCTGATTTAGATCATGGATTAAAGCCTGAATTATTAGCCTTACTAGACCTTGGATTAGGACATGGACTAAGTTATAGAATATCTTTTACATGAGATGGACTAAACCGGGAAGTGGTGGAAGATTAAAGAAATTAAAAGAAATCGGAACTGAATTACTGCTCTCCCATCAGAATCTACGTGGACTTTAGAAAACCACTCTAACAGGAATAATTCTTATATAAGTAATAATTATTTGAGTCTTGGAGAAATTAACCAAACTTTCAGAGGGTGCTAAGGTTTTAAGGGACGGTTGGGGAAAACAAACTATATTGTCATATACTATTAATAATACCCTAGGAGGGGGGAATTATTTGAAGAAAAACAAGAGCCTAAGGAAGGTACTAAGGTGTATAAACAAGACTTTAAGATTGCCAAGGTCGAGATATACTGGGATTATTAGTGAAGCTATTTTCTTTGATTTCTGGACATTTTATTATCCAACTGGATCTGTAACTGTATATTATAATAGTACATATTTTCTAGCAGACATTGGTGGTACTCGGAGATATTATGGTTGTACTTTAGGATACAGTTGAATTAATTGACTTTAAAGGTAATACTCTGTCTGAAAAAAAGGAAATACAATAGAAAGTGATATAAAAGAAACTGTAAGAATATAAAAGAAGAAAAACAAAATCGCACGGGTGTAATAAGGGAAATTAAAGTAGAGCGGTTAAGACATAGAAAAATAAGAATAACAAAACAAAACAAACAAACAAAAAAGATTGTGCGCCCCTCAGGGGAGAGACAGAAAATTAACACAGACTATTGTGTAAATAATCACAAAATGTCAGGGAAAAACGGAAAAAAGGTAGGAGGGACTCCTGGGGACAGAAAGGCCTCACGACAGGAGGAAATTAAAGACCTAGACATATTGTGGTTAAAGATCAAAGAGGAATTTAAACAGAGTGAACTACATATGGAAAGTAAATTAGGAGAAGTGCAGGAACAGATAGATAAAAAAATTGAAGGAGCTGTGGGAGAACTCACCAATAAAATACAACACCTATCAGTTAGATCAAAAGTAATAGAGGAATCAAACAAGAAAATTCAAAAAGAATTGAAGGAACATATAAGGAAGACAGAAAAAATGAAGGAGGAAATAAGACATTTGAACAAAGCACAAGAACAGATTGAGGATAGCTTAGCTATGACAGAAATGCATCAGAAACAACTCAATTTAAAATTTAGAGGAGTAGAAGAAGAAATCAATGAGAATATAAGAGGAAAAATGATAAGAGAATTAGCAAAATGGTTGGAAATAAAAGAGGAAGAAGTAGCCTATACTGTAGAAAGCGCATTTAGAATAAGGGTGAAACCCCAGCAGCTCAAACTAAAAAAATCTCCTGGCGATTGTTTGATGATTTTCAACTCAATTGAGATGAAAAATATGATATTAAGAACAAGTTACCGAAAAAAATTAATAATTGAAAACAGAACAATTATTATATACAAAGAAATACCAATTAGATTTTTGCGTAAAAGACAAGGATACCGACAAATAGTAAGTGTCTTACAGAGAAACAATATACAATATAGATGGGAGTTCCCTGAAGGAATTACCTTCTATTATAAAGATAAAAGATTCAGATTGATAGATACACAAGAAGCAGAATTTTTTTTGAGAAGATATGAGAAGGAGCTTGGAAAACGGGAAGAAAGGTACGGAGGAGGAGGGAGGTATACAGAAAGGAGGAAGGAAAAGAAGGTAAAAAACACAGAGAAGCAAAAGAGAGAGAGAAAAGAGGAAGAAGAGGAAGTGGAAGAGGAAGGAGCAGTAGGTGGAGAAGAAGAGGAGTTAGGAGAAGAAGAGGAAGAAAAGGAGGAAGAAACTACAAGGAACAGGAAAACTAGATCGTAAGCTTGAGAACGAGTGCAATACGAATTAAAAAGTAACATATACGATAATGACTCTTAAAATTCTATCTTGGAACGTGAATGGACTAAATGATAAATCTAAAAGGAATAGAATCTTTAAGGTTTTGATGAAAAAGAATGTTGATGTGATATGTTGTCAGGAAACACATGTAGCTAAAAAGCATAAACACATCCTGATAAATAAAAGGTTGGGGGTCGAATTTATTAATTCTGATACAAACAAAAAAAGAGGAGTGGTCATATACGCTAAAGAAAAAGAGGACCCCAAGTTAATATGCAAAGATGAGGAAGGGAGAATTTTGGGGATACAAATTAACCATCAGGGAGAAAAATTTAACCTAGTAACTGTTTATGCCCCAAATACGAATAAAGCAGAATTTTTCAAAAAACTGGAACAAATATTATTGGACTTAGAGACTCATAAACTGATTTTACTCGGTGACTTAAATGGAGTGCCAATTCCAGAACATGACAGAAGTGTAAAAAGGGGAAAACTGAGCCAAGGGAAATTACCTAAATCATTTAAAAACCTTGAAGAAAATTTAGACCTGACGGATATCTGGAGACACAAAAACCCATTGACAAAACAATTTACATTTTTCTCAGAGCCGCATCAGAGCTGGGGTAGAATAGACCAGATTTGGGTATCAAGAGAACTAGTAACAAGAGCTGCAAAATGTGAAATACAACCCAGAACTCTGTCTGACCATAATTCAATATCCCTGGAAATTAAGTGTGGAATTCAGGGTATGTATCGATGGAGAATGAATGTATACTTATTTGAAAACGAAGATGTAACTGAAAAGGCCAAAAACACTTTAAAAGACTTCTTTGAGTTAAACCTTAATAAAGAGACAAATATTGATATGGTTTGGGATGCTAGTAAGGCGGTGCTAAGAGGCTTTCTAATCCAGCAAAATAGTCACAGGAAAAAAATAAAAGAACAAAAGAAAGATGAAATCCTGACCCAATTAAGAGAATATGAGAAAAAATTAATAACAAATCCTAGTGATGATCAGATTAAACAAACATCCAAATTGTTACAATTACAATACTCAACGTTAATTAACCAAGAAGTTGAATGGAGAATTAAATCAATGAGGCAAAAAATTTTCGAATCCGCAAACAAGGCGGTAAAATTTTTAGCCTGGCAACTACGAAAAAGGAAAAAGCAAAATGTGATCAACAAGATCAAAATAGAAGAAAGGCTTGTGGAAGAGCCAAACGAAATAAAGAAAAACTTCCTAAAATTCTTTGAAAAATTATACAGAAAAGAAGAAGAAGATATAATAGAAATAGGAAAATACTTAGAAAATAACAGAATAACATCCATAACGGAGGAAGAGAAAACCCAATTGAACAAGGCCATAACAATAGAGGAAGTCCAGGAAGCAATAAAGAAAATGAAATTAGGGAAAGCTCCGGGCCCAGATGGCTTGTCGGCCAAATATTATAAAGTTATTGGAGAACAGTTAGCCCCGGTGCTATGTGATGTAATGAATAACATCCTACAAGGAGGGAAGATACCGGACTCCTGGAAAGATGCCCACATAACGTTGATACCTAAAGCGGAGTCAGATAAACTGAGTATAAAAAATTACAGACCGATATCACTTCTTAATAATGATTATAAAATATTTGCGGATATTATGGCAAACAGACTTAAGCATTACCTAAAAAATGTAATACACACGGACCAAGCTGGATTCCTTCCTAATAGAAAACTAAAAGATAACGTTAGGCACATAATAAATATCATCGAATACCTGGAAAGGAAAAATGAAATCCCTGCAGTATTAATTTTTATCGATGCAGAAAAAGCATTCGATAATGTTTCATGGCAGTTCTTATTAAAGTGTATGGAGACAGCAGGGATAGAAGGTGCCTTTATGGAGGGAATCAAAGCAATTTATTCTAGTCAAAGAGCCAAATTGATTATTAACAACAATTTAACTGATACATTTGAGATTTCCAAGGGTACGAGACAAGGCTGCCCCCTGTCACCGCTTCTTTTCATAATGGTATTGGAAGTAATTGCAAATAAGATAAGGAAAACACCAGAGATACGAGGAATTAGAATTGGGGTGAAAGAATTCAAATTGAAATCATACGCGGATGACTTGGTAATCTCACTGGAGGACCCAAAACCAAGTATGGACAAAGCCCTGGTACTTCTGGAGGAATTTGGGAGAGTAGCGGGCTTTAAGTTAAATAAAACTAAAACTAAAATGATGGTAAAGAACATGGAGGAAGACCTAAGGAGGCAATTAGAACTCCAATCAGGAATTAAAGAAGTAAAAAAGGTAAAATACCTAGGAGTGTGGCTTACAATGAAAAACATAAATTTAATGGCTGATAACTACATTAATACCTGGAAGGATATCCAAAAGGAACTAGACATCTGGAACAGGATCAAACTCTCCTGGTCAGGTAGAATGGCAGCAATTAAGATGTGCATACTGCCGAAATTATTATTCCTATTCCAAAACGTTCCGGTGATTACAGGAAGTGCAATATTCCAAAACTGGCAAAAAATTCTCTCTAAATTTATATGGCAAGGTAAAAGACCGAGAATTAGATTTAAATTGTTAACGGATAAACAAGACAGGGGAGGATTCTCGGTCCCAAATCTGAGACTGTACTATGAAGCCTCGTGCCTTTGCTGGCTTAGAGAATGGATTATTTTGAAAAATACAGACCTGCTAGACCTAGAAGGATTTGACTTAAGATTTGGTTGGCATGCTTATCTCTGGCAGAATAAGGAAAAGGTGCATAAAGGCTTCTCGAACCATATTATCAGAGGAACATTGTTAGAAACATGGGAAAAGAACAAGAAACTGTTGGGGGAAAAAAAACCCTGGTGGCTATCGCCTATAGATATGTTAACTATTAAAAAAACAAATATAGAAGGTGAGAGATGGACTTATGAAGACCTCCTAGAAAGATCAGAAAGAGGATGGAAAATTAGACCATATGAAGAGTTAAAAAGTAAATTATCAGGTTGGCTGCAGTACCATCAAATCAATGCCCTATGGAAGGAAGATAAAAAGATCGGAATGAACGAAAAAAAATCCAAGTTCCAGGTAGAAATAATAGAAGGTAAAACTAAACTGCTATCTAAAATGTACAATCAGCTATTAGAATGGGACACCAAGGATGAGGAGGTTAAGGATGTTATGACAAAATGGGCTATAGACCTCGGATACAATTTGGACTTCAACAAATGGACGAGGCTGTGGACTAAAGGAATGAAATTTACAGCTTGCACCACCCTCAGAGAAAATATGGAAAAGATGATGTACCGTTGGTACATCACCCCTGTGAAACTGCAAAAATGTATAAGACCGGAGATAATAGGTGTTGGAAGTGTAAAACCAAAGAAGGAAGTTTCTTCCACATGTGGTGGAAGTGTGAAGAAATCAAAAAATTTTGGGAATCAATATATAATGAACTGAAAAAAATACTTAAAATACACTTTCGTTAAAAAACCTGAAGCTTTTCTTCTGGGAATGATCGGAGACGAGATTAAAAAAGAGGATCATATAATGTTTCAATACGCAACCGTAGCTGCCAGGATCTTTTTAGCAAAAAATTGGAAAACCCCAAATATCCTGACTGTTAAAGATTGGCAAATTAAATTATTTGAATATATGGATTTGGCAAGAATGACACAGAATATCAGACAGCAAAAAGGTACAAAGTTTATTGATGACTGGAATAAATTTATAATGTACATGGAATCAAATTCTAGAGATATAAAAATCGCAGTAGGTTTAATATAATCCTTGCGATGTTTAGATGATATAAAATGAAAACTGCAGAACAGAATTACTACTTTACATAATCCAAAATCGAGATGGAGGGAAATCAACTTTTATTTGTGTTAACTGATGTTTGTCTTCTGGTTTGTTTACATTTTCTGTTTTGGTTGATGTCTTTCTTTTTTCTTCTCATTGGTGTGTTCGGTTTGTTTTTCTTTTTTTTTTTCCTGTTGTTGTTTGGCTTAGAAATTTAATAAAAAGAAATTTAAAAAAGAAAAGAAATCCCCCTCCCATCACAATATGGGGAGGTATTAGGAGTTGTGGAAGGAAAATGGCTATCCGTTTCCAGAAACATCCTGCTCACCTTATATAGCTATAAAATGCTTAGGTTCAGGGCTGGAAGTCAGCCTTAAGCCTGTTCCTTTTAACACTATAGAGTCCAGCAGGGAAAGGAACAAGGACTTGAAGCCTCCCTCTCAGAAGATTGGCAGGGACAACACTCCTTCCCTCCCCCAGTTATTCTCTCCACCCCACAAGCTAAATATGTTCAAATTCAAAACAAGGCAACTTATGCTTCTTCCTGCTTGTGCAAGTTTTGCTAAATCACTGTGTGACATGCAAACATAGCCACTGCACCTTACAGGTTGGAGTGTTTTTGTCACTGAAATCTACCTCTTTTTTCTTGCAATTACACACCTATGACCTGGGTTATAAATCTGAGTTATCTGCATTTTGATTTGTTTATTTGGTCCTTTGCCTCAGAGGACCCGCTGCCTGGCAACTGCCAGCAAGGGAAGACTGCTTCCATTACAATCCAGTTGCTCAGCTTGCCTGCCTTGCCTCAGAGGATTTCGGTGGGGCTGTTACCATATACAACAAGGAAGAACTAGTTTGATGGCAGGAAATGTTGCCTGAATTAGCCTGGCTCCATTAGGATAATTTTTGTATCCGTACAGTACTAGATTTTTTTGTTTCAGTACTAGATTTTTTTGGAAGCTTCTTCAACAGCCTCTCAGGAGTACTAACTGGCTGTGGGAAAGAGGGCCCTTGCATAGCTTCAGGAGATGTACCAACTGTGCTCTGTTCTGCAAAAAGCAGATCTAACGATGGTCACATAAACTCTATAGAAAGTTGCTTCTGAAAACTATTCAGGAACTTCAGCTGATACAAAATTTGGAAGCCAGAGTTTTGTTGCGGGCCCGTTTTTCAGAACAAATACTTTTCATACTGTTCAATCAGCATGGAGTACCAGTTCATTTCTGAGCACAATTCAAAGTGCTGGTTATCACCTGGCTGAGGATGGAGTAGCACAGTGTGGAAAAGGGAGGATTAACCCATCGCTCCTCAGCTGCTACCCACGAAATCCCTGTTTGCAGCAATTTAGTGGGGAAAGGCCCTTTTGTGCAAATGATCCTCCACAAGCATAATTTCCTTGTTGGAAATGGGCAAGATTGAAAAGGGGCCAGGGATTCCCCACCTGTGCCCCCAATGGTTGAAACCAGGATACATGAAGGATAGTTTAGTTCCAACATGAGCCTGCTTGCCATATTCATCAGAGGCCCTGCTTTGCATCCAATTACCACTGAAGACCAAGTGGTCAGGGCATGAGAGGGGCCTTTTCAACTGCACAGCTGGGCTGTGCAACTCCCAGTTCCAGGAGGATCACACTGCCCCATCTTTACCAGAGTTTTGGTGTGCTGCAAATTTTTGTTTTGCTGTATTTTTAGTTTGATTTAGTTTCTTTCTGCCTTCTATGAATTTAGCTGCTATTTTGTTCACTTGTTTAATTATTCTACAAACTGTATATTGCCTTAACTGATGTTTGTGAGCCACCATAGGCAGGATATTAGTGGGGGGGGGGGGTTTAAATAAAAAGAGTTCAGTATGCAGTTGTTAATTTTTGTCTTAATTTAAAATAGAAGCATAAGTATAATGTGGGGCAGGCATAGAAAAAGTCAAATATTTGAGTGATACCTGAGATGTGTGTATGAAAGACCTCTCTATGGGATCCCTGTCAGTGGAGGACAGGCCATTCACCATCACATTGGTGTGCAATTGCAGCAGTTTACTCCTGCTCTGCTAGGCACTAATGGCAGTCATTCACTTTTATGGGAGAAAGAAAAAATGGATACTAAGGGTTATTGCTTAGGTTGTGCAAACAAGCCGCTGGCATCAGTGACGGGTCCAACCCTTCACCCATCTGTAGTTGCAGCCTGCTTTCTTTCACCATACGAAAGTAATTGAGCCTCAGAATCATGCACTCCCTCCTCCACAGCATGCTCAGATTCTTTCCATCGCCTGCTTAGTTCAGATGTTCATGGCAAACTATAGTTTGTCATGACTAATAGCACACTCCTGTACAGATGTTTTCAGGAGTAAATCCCATTGAGTTCAATGAGGTTTATTCCCAAAGAAGTGGGTATAGGTAGGACTGCAGCCAAAGTCAGGGATAGCATAAGGAGAAGGGAGCATGCAAGACCAAGACTTGTGTATATAATGCCAAACAACAACTTGGTACTGCATCTGAACTGAGCCATTGTAATAGAACCATTTTTTCTATGTTAGAGAATCTTGGGCAAAAGAAAGAATGAGAGAGACACAGAGAGAGAGAGACTCCTCAGACAGACAAGTCTTACAAATATGACAATATAAAGCATTTTGTAGCTATTATTTTGCAAATTCGGAAAATGCATCTAGCAGTCAACCAAACAGAAAATTCTGGCCACTTGTCATCAAATAAGTGATCTTGCTCAGTGTCCTTTCACACACAAGACAAACAGAAATTCTTACGTTCACAATTGTTCCCTTAAGCAAATATAAATTCTATAGAACAAAAAGCATGTAAAGACAAAACAATCCCTATGCAGGTTCAAGGTTCTTGTGTTAATTTACAATGCCCTTAATACCTTGGGTCCAGGATACCTCAAGGACTACCTGATCCGTTATTTCTTGAAGACACCACTAAGGTCTTTGGGGGAGTCACTGTCAGTGATCCACCATGGCTTGTATACACAGCTTGTATCTACCAGCAGCCATGCATTCAGAATTGTGGGCCCATTTTATGGAACTCCCTTCCAGCTGAGATAAGACAGGTTCCCTCCCTTCTGAACTTCCGGTGCCTACTGGAGAATTTTCTTTTTGTACCTGGAAGGTATTGTGAATTAATTTTATTTTTATAGTTTTAACCAATGTTTATTTATATAGTATTGTGTTCCTTTTACACCACATTGAGACTATTGTAATTAAACAGTGCATAAATAAAAATAAATACAAAGGAATGATATTTTAATATGAAACACATGCAACAGTGTTATCTGGTTACTAATTATTTTTTACATTAAGAACACAATTAACTAATTATTATTTCCCAAGAAAAATATCCTCAGAATGCCACTTGTAGTCTTACAGCTACAGGGAGTATCATGGGGAAAGAACACAAAGCCACCATATTAAAATTTTATGCAAAATGTGTTAATTAGGTAAACACAAATGAAATATACAAGTGGTTTGCAGCTCCTCAGCTTGGTCCTTGGTGCTGTACTGCCTACAGATCTTAGATGAAACAGACCAGCTATGTAAATAAACAGGTGATATCCAATAATGTCATACTCAGAACAGCCTCCCCAGTAATCAATGTTACTCTGTGTATGACTAACATTAGCTATCACCCACACAATAAAATGGTATAAGACTTGCAGAATGCTATTGTTATCCATAAGGAAAGTTCAAAAGCACAATGCAAGAGCTCTCTGTTTAAAAGCTAACTTTGCATTTTTGACACTGACAAAATATAGCAAATGTTGAGAAGATGCTGCATTATGTAAAAAAGAAAAGGACATTTAACTTTAAATATTTAACTCCACTTTTAAAGCTACCCAACATGTTCTAACTAATTTATTTTGAATCCTATATATCTGTAGTTCTACAACTATTACAGTCAGTACCCATTGGTTTCTCTTTAAATCTCACCTTTATACACAGGTCAGAAAAAGGTTAGTCATCTGCAGCATTTGGCAATAGGTAGGTAAACAATTTACTTGGTATCAGATTTATTCCTACTCTGAAATTTTAACCTGTAATAACCCTTCATTTCTGTTGAGCAAAAGGCAGTATATTCTAGTTTATCAGGAAATACAAACTAAATCTTAATACGCTTGTTGTAGAAACTGCTTTAAACTGTGGATTAAAATTCTGTGCTAAAATACTGTACATACTATTTAAAGAGAACAAGTAGTGCTAATTATTCAAACTATTAATTAGAAGTCAGCTTCCAGATAAATGGCCATTACTGTGAAATTAGAATATTCTGAATTTTAAATCAATTTAAACTAGGAGCAGTATTAGCAATATACTCTTAGTTAAAATTGCTGTCAAGTTAAAACATTTACAAGGATTAGATAAGCAAAGTGAAAGGACTATACATTTAACATAAATGTTTCTTCTTAAAAATAACAACACTCCCATCTTCAATAACCTTTGAATCATTTGCTTCCTGGAGCCTCTCGCTTGATACTGTACAGACTCTAGTACTTACAGTGTCAAATCCTTCTGCAGCTTTATTTACATTTTTCTTCAGCAAAGATCTTTGGCCAAAACAATCGAAGAGGAACGAAGAGATCAGTTTTAGTCTGTTCCCAAATGTTTGTATCCGAGCTCCATTTATAAAGATTCCAATCACAAAACCAGACAGAATTGTTTAAAAATGCCCTCTCTATGACCCTGCTCCTCTGAAGGTCAAGTACACTATCACTCCCTGTAACCAAGGAAGCAGAATCGACGTGTTCCTGCTGTTTTGCCAGCTGCTGAAGCAGTTTGTCTAATAATACAATTAATTTCACTGGGGGAGATGTACCCAGGTTACAAAGCTTCTCCTTCTCTTTGTCTCCCCTGTGCCCAACTACTACTGCTGAATAAAAACTACAAAGTAGCAAAATTCAAGAGAAAATAAATTGTCCAGCTCTTGAATAATTTTCAGACCAGTAACATGAAAAAAGGAAACTATTTTGTTCCCTATGGGACTTATTTTATCTTTACAGTTCATTAACTTAATATAGCTAAACTAACACTACATTCTTGTGCACCCATCAAATATTTTGCACTGGAATCAGTTTTATTGCACATAATGATAAATCCATTAATTTCATGGTATGTGTTAGAAGAATTAAAGCTACCATTTTAAGTCTCTGGAGGAGCAACAACAACAACAACAACAACAACAACAACTAGATAACTATAAGTCTTGTAAATTAACACAACACACAAATATTTCCGAAAATCACAGAAACTTCTGAAAAGGTGGGCGGGGACCACATTATGTTGATTCAGCTTTTTTAAAGTGCTGATACCATGACATTACAAAACATTATATGCAATATACTTTCACTGCATAAATTTATGCATAGTGCCAGGTCATTATTGTTCAGAAAATGGTTAAATTAAAGATGGCACTCTCAGTGACATGCTTTGTGCTGAACTGCAATGCTTCCCCCCAGCACTGGGTGATTTACTGTATTATTAGACCAACTACTTCAGCAGCTAACAAGACCATCCTTTCCAAGCAAAACCCCAATCCACGTAACGTTTATGCTCATTTGTGTCTGAGTCTGTCCGCCTTCCTATTTTCAAGCACCTTACTGGTAGTTAGGATAGGCATAGTTTGGAAACTGACAGGAAGGGAAAGGTCATAGGTCACCATTGGTGACAATCCCTCTCCCACATGCTCAACGCAAAACTCCAAGTTCGCTGCACATTTTCAGGGGTGTATTTCACTGTGCCAACTGAGAAACCAATCTCTTGCCCCTCTTCCGCACTCTGGATTAAACAGAAGATTCAGGGGAGAGAAGCGTTTGGCTTCTGACTCCGTACAGTGGTGCCCCGCAAGACGAATGCCTCGCAAGATGAAAAACCCGCTAGACGAAAGGGTTTTCCATTTTTCGTTGCGCTTCGCAAGACGAATTTCCCTATGGGCTTGCTTCGCTAGACGAAAAAGTCTTGCGAGTCTTGCGATTTTTTTTCGCTCCCCCCCCTTTTTCTAAGCCGCTAAGCCGCTAATAGCCTTTTAGCCGCTAAGCCTTTAATAGCCGCTAAACCGCTAATCCGCTAATAGGGTTGCTTCGCAAGACGAAAAAACCGCTAGACGAAGAGACTCGCGGAACGGATTAATTTCGTCTTGCGAGGCACCACTTTTTAACTTGATAACAAAGATTCTCACTGCTCATGCCCTTTCCAAAGACCAAAGCACTGAGAGACAACCACTCCCCTGATTTTTCTATGTGTTCCAGAGGACTCAAGGGAAGAAAGAGGAGTATGGCAACCACAAATAATGGCAGACTATGTGAAGCCAATATATGTTGCCTCTTTAGCCATCGGATATATAGAGGTTTGAGTACAATATTTCACCTAGGAATAGAGGGTCCTTGTTACATGAGGAGTAAGTAGATAAATCTGTTCTCACCTAAAGGTTAACATTTTCTTTCTCTTCAAATGAATGGAATGCAACAACATTCACCTGGTGGTGTCCTAGTGCCCACTCAATGTCAGTCTCCTCCAGTAATGCAAATAAGCAAATATAACATACATTCCAATAATTTCATGGGCATTTTGCTAATAGAAAAAATAATGTATATAGATGTATTTGGTTATTCTGAACTGAAGACTATTTCAGAATTAACTCAGTTAACTGGACAGCTTGGCTAGTGATATTGAAGAGTAAAAACGTAGAAACAACAAATGACAAGACAGAAAACCCAAATGTAAAAAGTAGATGTTGCAATGCTACTGATAAAACAAAGGACTACAATAACTATATTGTGCAACAGAGGAAACTAGTTGAACAATGTTACTTCAAGGAACATTTCATTAAATTTTAACAAACCTTAATTTCAAATGCAGATTTAAAAAACCTGGGATATAATCTTTATTAATAAACAGTCATCTAGCCTTAAGATATGGTCACTGGATTTAAATCTGAGAAAAATGAACACAGTATTTTCACTAGATGATGATGGTGAGAAGGCTCCTGGCCATTTTAAAAAGATAGAGTAAGCCCACAACCTACACACATTTAACTTGTGTGCATTCAGCTTTATGTGCATGGCATAAATAAATAAATAAATAAATAAGTAAATGGGGCAGGGTTCCAGGGAAAATGACTTTGGCAATCCTACCCACCATTGAACCTAATGGGTTTTGACTATACACAATGTTGGCTTTAGGCACAATCCCCAGAACATAACCCCCACATAAATTGAGGGCTTACTGTATGCAAAGGATGCATAAATGAAATAGAACCCTACAACGCAGGTTTAAAACAGACAATGGGCAACTACTTATCAACAGCATAATCTATGACCTCCTTGACAGAAATACACAATCACTTAACACCCATTCTGTAAACAGTTCCTGTATGCTATTATAAGTTAGAAGCCTGGTGCAGAAATAAAAAATGTGTTGGCTGGGATGGTACAAGTGGATGATATGAGATTAGACTAATCAGAAAAACATAGATTAATTCACAGCTAACAGCAAGGCGGGAAGGTAAATGGCATTTCCGTGCGCTGCTCTGGTTCGCCAGAAGTGGCTTAGTCATGCTGGCCACATGACCCGGAAGCTGTACGCCGGCTCCCTCGGCCAATAAAGCGAGATGAGCGCCGCAACCCCAGAGTCGGTCACGACTGGACCTAATGGTCAGGGGTCCATTACCTTTACCTAACAGCAAACAGATCTGCTTAAAAGCATAAGAAATATCTGTATGGATGAAGCAGCAGAAGCCACAATGGACATGTTCAAAGACTTGCATATGCCTACAGGTCTCATCTAGGCCCTTCAGCCAGGCTGCTAGGACTATGCAGGATATAGGGGGATGGCTGCAGAATTAAGTGCGGCCCCACATTTTTTTCACCCAGCAGCACTGTATGACAAGCTGTCATTAGAAGGTGGGGAAGGGCATTACCCTCTGCTCTCCTGGTGGACATTTTGTTATATACAGATGAAGTTCAGTACAAAACATGGGGATTGAAAAATATCGCTTTATATTTTCAAGTGGAATAACCAGCATTTTATGAAAAAATTCCACTTTAGATCTGACCATCTGTAAACAATAGACAATTATATTTTCTTTTTAAAAACCAGTCAAGAGTTACTGTAATATCATCCTTCACTCACCTCAGCCACCTGCTGTGTCTCTACTATCTGCTGAGCCAGCACCTCCATATTGGTTGTCATGGTGAGGGAGGATCATTAGAGAACCTTTTTGGAGAGATGCCAATAACTTCTATCAGCAACAGAAAAATTAAAGCTTTTGCCATTTTATTACTAAGAACAATTAAATATAGTACAGTATACAGCCCCGTGCCAGTACTGAACACAGTTTCAAACGTTTCATTATAAAACAGTGATATTATGTTACAATCATTAAATTGCTTTATTCATGAAAAAAGTAAAAATAACATTTTTTTAAAAAAAGAGGTATTGAGCTCCATATATGCCATCACCAGGTTGCCAAAAGGACCAGGAATCTCTTATTAGTAACTGTATTTGTGGATGAGCACAACATGGAGAGGCCCCTCATCTCTTTCAAGTTCTTCACACATTGCAGATATGTCTCTTATGCCAAGCAAGAGACAGACCCCTAACAGATTCACAGCTCATGCCACCATGGGAGACACTCACATCTGTTTAGAAATATTATCTCATCCATTGAGTATCTCCCAGCTCATTCAGAGCTTTCCTCCCAACCAAAATCTAATCACCTTTGAATAGGCATTAATATTGTTGGTTATTGTGAAATAACCAAATCCTGTGTTCAGTTTGTGAAATAGTGTTAATTTTATCAGATTAATGAAATAAGAAAACATTTGCCACTTTCATGAAATAACCATCTCCACCTAGTTCAGAAAGAAACAACCAGTAGTATTCATTATCTGCTTTTGCAAGCCTTCACTAGCTGCTTAGCAAGGCCAAAGAAACTATGCTTCCTAGTTTCCATGCTTACTGCAGCAGAGGACTGAACACTTCTTACTTTCACATAGCTTTGAGGAAATGCAGGTGTATCCAACTGTTTTTGGTGGGATAACGGGAACTATAAAGTGACTTATCTATATAGAACTAAAAGAACAAGCTGATTTCCAGATCTTTTCACACCACCGAAATTACAAATTATCTTAGGATTTCACTTATTATAAAGCAACTAAGAAAATGCCTACCATTGTACTTTGTAAAGAGGAAAGAAAGCCGGAACACAGGCCTGTACATTACAGGATCCCATGGAGGCAGGCACAACACACTTTTCTACATCATACACAGTGAACCTTTTTCACATTATTCTGCTTACCAAGGACCCACACATCTGTCACTAAACTGTTGCATGTTCCAGGCGATCCTGGAAAGGACTGAAGGATGCAGATTAAGTTCACATAGGTTGGTTATTCTAGACTTCACCACCATGCGTGAACTGACACAAAACATGCTGAAGCTGTGTGCTACAGGGAGAGATAGGAATGAATGGCAGCCACTCATTTAGACAGAAGAGTAAAGAGGTGCACCTGAGTTTGGTCACTCTTAAGTGACAAAGTATTCCAAAAGTAGAATGGGAACTAACCTTTATATATGGATACTAGCTAAAGGCCAATCCTCTCCCCAAATCTATTTCCTACAGATGCCAAAGCACCAGTGCGGTGACCATTGCTGAATTGTAGCCACCACCACCTCTTTAGGATGTCCTCTTCCACTGTGCTGTGTCATTGCCAGGAGTGATGAAAGCAACACAACCACCTCCCACTGAAGAAGAGGTGTAGTGCAAGATGGACAGGTGGCACAGGACAGCAGCATAATAATGTAGATTGGTAAACATCACCACATCTTCTCGTGCACATTCTCTTGGTACAATCCTCCCTGCAGCAGCTGTGCTGGCAAGGAATTGGACAAAATTCTCCCCATCACTCCAGAGAGAAAGGATGCAAACAAAACAGAGCAACCATAATCTGAAGAAACAGTCACATTCTTCTCCTCTTGCTATCATTCCATCTAGGCAATGCAACAGGGAGAAATGGGTCCAGCAGGACTAAGAGCAATTTTCCCTTTAAAAAGCTCATTTATTTTATTTGTTTATTTATTGAATTTATTTATATACCACCCTATACATTTATATACCGCCCTACACCCGGAGGTCTCAGGGCAGTTCACATACATTCTGAAATATGGCAACCCTAGTAGTGCCATCAGTAATGGAACTGGGAAACAAATTATAGTAATAGTAATGATCTAAACTTACAAATTACATTTGGTTGAAGTAGGGATAGCCAATGTTGTACCCCCAGATATTGCTGGACTAACACTCCCATACTGGCTGGGGCTGATGGGAGTTACAGTATATGGAGGAAAGTATGTTGGCTACACCTGGGTTAAAGGAATAAAGCACATTCAGTCTATAGTTGTGGCCCATGAGCTCCTCAAGATGATCTGTTTACTGAGCATTCATCCTCATTTGATTACACAGTTTATTTGTAAGTAAGGTCTATTCATTAAGCAGTTGTTCAGGTTTGTTTGCTGGAAAGTTTTAAGACTACAGTATGAGTCTTCATTCTGATTTGCTTGTGAGGTTACACATCAACAATTTACCCCACACTTCTTAGTGCATCTCCATGTCACTTTTCTAACTGCAAAAAAAGGTTTTAAAAGTGCATTTGTTGTGTCCGAGAGCTTTAATCCACTTTAATTGTGCAAACCCAAATGTCCAGGGTCTGGATCCCTCACTCTAAATATTGACAGCCTAGGTTGACCTGTTTTTAAACTAGTGACAGGTTACCTTTTGTGGAAGGTATGCTTTGCATCAGTTTTCCTGAATTTTTGTGTGGTTTTGTGTGACATACTAAAATCATTTTCAAAATATATATTTGAAACATATTTGCATCAAAGTATTCTTTTTAAGTACAGATCACAGGCTTCAGGTTGTGACAATTTATACATTCCAGAAACAGATGCAAAATCTGGTAAATTTCTGTTAGTGGGGACAGGCTAAGACCACAATCCTACTCAGAAGCAAGTCCAGCTGAATTCAGTGGCGCTTGCTCGTAGGTAAGCGAGATTACGATTGCAGTCTGAGCTCTGACACGCAATTAAAACGGTGTTCTTGAATTTGCTAAAGGCAAGAGAAACATTCCTAAACCTTGCGTTCCCACAGGATACTGTTGTTCAACGTTTTTGTGAAAAACGGGGATTAATTCAGCCAGGAACTACGATGACAGGAACGAAAGCTCTGACGAGGGGTATAGCGTCGCCCTCCACAGAACCCCTTTTCGCGCATTCTCCCGGCCCAACCAATCGGCTCTCGTCACCAGCGGAAAGGAAAGCCCGCCCTCCCACCGCCACAACGGGTATAATTGGCCAATGCGACCGCCCTTCAGGCCACTTCCCCCCTCCGCCCCCCAATTAAAGCTGCGGGGGGGGGGGAGGAGAGATAAGGAGAAAAAGGCACTTGAAGCACAAGATGGCGGAGTTGGCAGGTAGCCAAGTCCAAAAGCTCCGCCATTAGTCTCCCCGCCTTCCCTAACGTCCCTTCGCCCGTAACTGGTCGGGCCCGGTCGCGGGCACCCAGAGCGTGGCGAGCGGCAGCCCAGAGCGGGAGAGAAGCGGGTGGTGGTAGTAGGGTGGGGGGAAGAGTCCGCTTAAGATGGCGACGGGCTGCCCCGTATGCAAAATACCCGCCGCCCCCTCCCCTCCGCCCTCCCGGTGGCAAAGGTAAAAGGGTCGGGTTCAAGCCACTGCCTCCGCCCGCTCAGACTCCATCTTCTTTTCTCCCTCACTCGGAGCCGGTGCAGTTTTCGCGGCATCGCGACCACGGCAGACCCCGGGAAAGGAAACGGCGCAGCGCCCGAAGCCCGCCGATCTCCGCCAGCACACCCCCACCCCGCCCGCCCGTTTCGGCGCCTCCCCTCTCTGCCTCGAGAGAACCGTCGCCCCTCCGAGCCCGAAGCGCGCCGCGACCCGCTAGAATAAGGAAGCTCATTTACCTCAGGATTTGGCGCCAAGCAAGCCCGGCGGTGGCTGCCTCGCAACGGGTCTCTGGCCAGGCCTGGGTTGCCCCCCCACCTTGCGGGCCCGGTGAGGGGGGGGGATAAAGGCAGGCGGAGGCAGCGGCACCGGAGGGGTTAACGTCTTGCCCTGCACGGAGCAGAGAAGGGGGGGGAGGAAAGGAGAGCCGCTCTGTTGTTATTGTTATTGTTGTTTTCTGGGCGGGGGGGGGGGTGAACGGGAGTCTTGTGGCGAAAGGTCAGAGTTCGTGACCCCGCCGGGCGCCGCTGCCGCCGCCTCTGCCGCCTGGGAGCGTCCCCTCGTTTCCTCTTCCCAGCATTACGCCGGCCGCGGCCCCCTCCATCTCTTCCCCCCACCGCCACCCCCTCCGCCTAATGAGGCGGGGCCGGAGCTGGGGAAGCGGCAGAGAAGAGGGAGGGGCTACCTGTGGTGGCGGCGGCGGCAGCGGCTTCGAGCGCCCGCGTGCCTCCTGTCCCATCCCACACAGCTTCCTTCTCTCTACCCCCCCCCCATTCTAGTTCTGCGATCCTTAAGGCGCAGCTGGCGGCGTCCGGGTTCCATGTGCGCGGCCTGCGCTTTGCAAACCGGGGTAACGGACTCCGGGCAGAGCTCTCCCTCGCGCGCCTCCTGGAACCCCGACGCCGCAGGCGGAAGAGCCTTAACCCGCCGGGCGGCGCCCGCGCCATCCTCAGCAACGGTATCTCGCGGCTGTTTGAATGCGGCCTCTCAAGGGGCAGAAGTTCCCCTCGGGGGCATCCTGATCTCAGGCATGCTAGAGGTAATCTTTTCAGGTATCCTGTCCTCGAGCATTGCTTAGAGCAGTGGTTCCCAAGTACGGCAGTCCCCGTGTTTTCCAAAAGCCAAAGCCATGGACTTTTGAACAGTTCGAGATCACCTTTTTCTTGTGTGAAGGGTTTCACGGACGACCAGTTGGGAAGTGCTGGCTTAGAGCTTTAAAAGTTAACAGCAGGGCTTTAAATTGGCCCTGGAAACTGACTGTAAGCCTGTACAGATGGCAAAGTAATAGGTTGATTGTACTGGCCAGTCCAGGTAAACAAGCTTGCCCCATTTTGGATCAGCTGAAGTTTTCTGCATCTTAGATGGGCCCATTAAAAGTACTGCCATGTTTTTTACTGTGTCTGAAACCTTTTTAAAGGCTTTTTTTTTGCAAAACTAAGGAGAGACCAATTTAGTAAGCTTCTTAATAAAAGTTTTGAGAGCACTCAGAGGTGTGGCTACCAGGACATTTAAGAGGGCACCTAAGATTTGTGCTTGGCTATGCTGTCTTCTTTATCTGTCAATCTGTAATGTGGTTTCCTATGCAGCATATCTCTAGAAATTATCGTTAGCGTCCTGCCTCTTTCCTGTCTGTCAGTAGGTGAGAGGCATGCATTGTGATTTTTAATGTACATTTTGAATAAACAAGTTTTAAGTTTTAAAATCTAGTAGTGGATACCACAGAATTCTACCATTGGGGAAAAATGTTTCCCTATATTATCTATTTCTCTCTATTTCTCTCCATTGCTTTCTTTGGAAAGTTTTGTGTACATTATGTCTTTTTTTCCACCTAAAAATTATTTTCTGGTGTGGGGTTGTGTTGTCCTAACATAACATTTCTGTGAATGATTGATTTTGAATTATATTTGCCCTTCAAAATAGATACATGATAAATGGCATGAGGTTATAGTTTTTTTAAAAAAGCCTTACTTCTCTGATAGCATTCTCAATAGATCTGATCTACCCAATGGAGTTGAAAATTGCCAAGCTTTATACTTTTTCTAGAAAACTAGTATTCTTGGAGTTCAAACAGAGCCTAATCTGGGGGCTGCTTGTGTATATTCTCTTCAAGAGAACATCCCTCCCTCCACCTAGCTCACAAGGGTAATTTTAAGTTTCCATTCTTGTTATTAACAGACATAAGTTTGCTGCTGTTCCTGAACTTGGCAAATGATGGATTGCTATTAAGCCAAGATATCAAACAATTATCCTAGAAACCAAGAACCCACTTCAATGAGAGTTCTTACAAATAGCACTCTAATCTAAAATTGATATTCTGCAGCAAAGATAGACCACCAAATAGAAACAAATGCCAGCATTGTTTCCCTCAGATAATATCTGCTACACTATTAGCTCATTCACCTGCTTGTGTCCAAGTTGATATAGGCCATAACCTGCCAACAATGCCTTTCTGCTCCCTACCTATGACAAACAAGTTAGTCTCTGAAAGAAAACATGGGCATACAATTGATATAAAAGATGGCAATATTCAGAATTCGCAACATTTCAGTGTCCCAAGACCCTCTGCCACTGATCTTAAGTCACCATTCTCCAACAAAAGAACAACAAAGGGACACTCAGGTGTGAAATTGCTGAACTAGAATTTATCAGTGAGTTTCATTCTACTGGTTTAGAACTCTTCTGAAACCAATAAGTCCTCTCTTCCAGCAGAATGAAACTTTTTCAAACCTTGTTGTAGGGACTCTCCCCAGCTGCATTATCCAGGAAGAGCACCTTCCTGCCAGCAGTTAGGCTGGAAAAAAGTAAAAATAATGTTTTCAAGCTCCATTGCCTGGAGGGGAATGTGTGTGGTGTGTGCATACACTTATATGTGTGTGGTTTGTGTGGTGCATGACCACCACTGCATGCAGCCCCCAGAGGGTTGCCAAAGAGGGCTGCTCTAGCTGAAAAAGCTCCCTATCCCATATCAAGCAACCACAAAGTTGCATTTTTGTCTAAATCTGGGTGTTGGATTGAACTTGTGTCAAGATGATAACTGACTGAAGCAGTTCAAGTTGTTATATTGGATGTAGTAAAAACAGGACAATGTGAAACATATTAAAAATCCAAACAATAGCCTGTTTGGCCTTTGTGTCACCAGAGGTTGGCACAAATTAAAAGATCTGTAGACTGCCTATGGTGCATGTACATGGTATGCTGAGGGCTTTTAAGGGAGAACATAATCGTGGAAGTAAAGGGTATATAACATACCTGATTTGTGTGGTGTGATTCACACCAGACAGACAACTGGTTGTATGATTATGGTACTTCCAACTGGTTGAGCTGTGCTTTATAAAACTTTCAAAAGATGTTTAAACTCTTCATGGTAGAGAATCCTACAAGTATGAGGGGATAAAAATGCCTCTTGATAACTAATTCTGGCTTATGCATGGAGGATGCATGGCTGATTTAGAGATGAAATATTGATTCTGTTTCCTATAGTAATTTGGAAATATAGTTTGGGGTGGTTGAGAGAGCTATAAGAGACTTCCGGGGTGGCGCCATCGGCAATGGCGGACTCCCTCTGATCTGGAGGGACTAGCTCCACGCAAAACGGGTCTTTTCCGCTACGGCGAAGTGGGGACCCTTTCAAAAATCACAGGCAGATGAAGCCTGTGACCATGGGACTCAGCAGGCACCTTTAGCGCCCCCCCAACCCGCAAAAGAACCCACTAATGGGCTCCGGAGTGAAGAGGGGGAAGTGGCGCGGTGCTGAGAGTCAACTGCTTCTTCCGTGGAGCGAAGCCGCACAGCTGTTGCCGGAGAGCGCTGCCTTTATCCTGGGACAATTTGGCTTCTAAAATAATCACCCGTGAGTACTTAAATTTCGGACAATTGGACTTTAAATAAGGACTTGCGAGCAGAAAGGAAAATTGGACTTAAAAGTTTACCTCAATTTGGCACTGAAACGGGAAGGTCTAAACAGGAAGTCAGCCTTCCGTTTCTTTGTAGATAGATTAAAGTAAAGACATGGCAAACTAGAGCTCAGAAAATCGCTTGTAAAAGATTAACTTTCATCATTTAAAATTGTTGAACCCCCCTTCGGAAGCAGGAGAAGAGGGGGGATTTTTTTCGGACTGTTTAAACCTGCAGAAGTGAGTGTAAAGTAAAGTAACTTTCCACCGTCCTGATCCTGGAGCGGGGTGTCAGGACTGACGTTTTTTGAAGTTCATTGACCAGAGACAAAAGTTTTTGACAGATAGCTATAAGAAGAGAAACACTGATTCCATTGTTCCCCTTCGCATTTTAAAGGAACAAATATTGACAAAATATCTGAAAAGAAACTTTGTTGTTAGACTTGTCTTAAAAGAAAGAACAAATAGAAGTTTTCCCCTAGAGGGAGACTGTGAAACTGTAACCAACTCCGTGGAGCTTGCAGCTGTTATAGATTACAATCGTGGGAATAGACTTCTGACCTTGCAGGACAATGTATTCAGAAGCTCTGTTGCGTGCTTTCTGTAAAACAAATGCCCTACTGGAACAGCTACATGAGAAGACGGACTTGATGGCTGATGCGATCAGAAATTTTGAACAGGCAGTGGGAAATTATACGGAGCCCACCCAGGAATTAAATCAGGAGTGTGCCCTGACAGAACAGAGGAGGGAAGAGGATGTTGCTGAATCTTGGGCGCCAGAGATGAAGGGAGCTGTGGCCCAGCAGGAACATGAGCTTTTGGACTTGACAAATGAACTTGGAAAAAGCCAGATTTGGAAAGATAAAGTTTGGTTTGGTTTGGAAATGGGGGGTTGGATAGACCCCCCTATGCAGGGATGTTTGGACCTTTCAAGTCTGGCAATGGGCTGTGAGATGTTTGGGGTTGTGGGGGCTCTTAATTTTGGAGGGATTTTGAAACATGTTCTTAAATACCACATGGAGTTTAGTGTGGACTATGGAAAAGGGGCTGATTTGTCGAGAAGGGTCAAAAACATTGTTAAGCTGGAGTTCCCACGAGTGAAAGGAGCAGGAGACAAAGGAAAATACAGTTATAAATATGAAGAAGAGCTGCGGAAGGGACATGGAAGAGACTTAAGGGCCTCGGATATAAGGTTACCAGGTTAATGCGCTAGATCAATGGGATAATAAGGACTGACAAAACCCGGGACCAGGAGGAAGGGACGCTGGATGAAGATTGGATTGTTTTTATTTCTTTTTTCTACTACTAGGATTGTTTTATAAAATAGATGAATGTTAGAAAAATGTTGGAACGAAATTACTTGGCTTTAGCAAAAATGTTTAAAGAATTATGGAAGAATATTATGGTTATGAGAAGTTGGCAAAAATAAGATTTAAGTTTTAAGCTTTAAGGTTCTTTATAGTAAGATAAGATTAAAATAGATTAAGGTAATGTAATGACAGAATATTATGAAATATGGAAAGGATTTGCTGCGACAATTAACTAGGATACAAAAAAAGGGAGGAGGAGGAGGTCAAAGAAAGAAGGTAATGACAGTTGAGGGTATGAGAATGATGGATTTGATTTTGAGTGTTTGTGGTGTATTTTTGTTTTTTGAATTTGTATTGTTTGATGTGGATTGTTTTTTCTTTCTTTTTTTCTGTTTTGTTCTTTTTTGTAATTCTAAAAATTTTCAATAAATATCATTTAAAAAAAAAGAGAGAGAGAGAGCTATAAGAACACACATTAAATGTGTTTTAGCAGGCACCTTCACTGTTCTCTTTTTGGCACCTGCTAAAAACATTCCTGTCTAGAGACCCAGATCTATTTTAGTATTTTAACTTTGTATGTTTTAAAGGAGTGTTGTATTTTTTTTCTTGATTCTACTGTTTTATCTTTTGTAAACTACTTTGAGGTTTGTTTTTACAATCAAGCGGCATGTAAATTTTATGAAATAATAAACAATGAATAATGATAATAAATAGCCACAATGCATGGAGAGACATTCAACAGGATAGGGCTCATTCATGAGGTGAGCTCTTTGTGTCCATGCCTATATGAATACAGGCATCTCAACTTACCCAGGGGTTATGTTCTGGGGAGAACACATAAAGACAAAATCACATATAGTCAAGAGACATTCATTTGGTTCAGTGGCGGGTGGATTTGCCAAAGGTTGGTTTTTCCCCTGGATGCCAGCCACCTTTATGCCCCCCCCCCTTTATTTCAAATTGCTAAGCGCATAAAGCTGAATGCACACAAGTTAAATGTGCATAAGTTGCAAATTACCTGTAGTATATAGCAGCCCAAATCATACAAGCTGCTGATGATAGTAGTCTCATATTAAGGGTGTTTTATGCTAAAACCAGCCCGTTGAAATATATACAGAATACACATAGAATCATAGAATTGTATGGTTGAAAGGGATCCCAAGGGTCATCTTTTCCAACCCCTTGCAATGCAGGAATCTCAATTAAAGCATCCATGACAGATGGCCATCCAACCTCTGCTTTAAAACATTCAATGAAGGAGAGTCCACCCCCTTCCAAGAGAGTCTGTTCCACTGCCAAACAGCTCTTGCCATCAGAAAGTTCTTCCTGATGTTAGTTGGAATCTCCTTCCTGGTAACCTGAAGCCATTGGTTTGGGGCCTAGTCTCCAGAGCAAGAGAAAACAAGCTTGCTCCATCTTCCCATGTGACAGCCCTTTAGATATCTGAAGATGACTATCATATCTCCTCTTTTCCAGGCACATGTTGGATCCCTGATATTTTAGACTTAAGCTTATACCAATCTGCACACAGCAATTACAGCAATATTGGCAGCAAAGGCATTCATGACCAATCAGTCCAGTGCCCATTTGCTAGACAGTGTTGTGGCTTTCTCATTAGGTAGATGGAGAGTGCCATCACAGCAAACCAACATTTGTAATGTAGAAATAAGTTAAACTTTTTATTTATATACAGCCTTTTATTTATATACAGCTGTAGATTACTTGTCTAGCTAGGCCGAATCTCTTGCTCCTGGTAATTCAGGCATAGTAGAGCATGCATACATTCATTCATGCATGCATGCATGCAGGGTGTTGGTTGGCTAAATGCCCCCACTCCAAAAGAAAAGAGAGAGGGTATTTTCCATGGGAAGTTTAGAATTCATTAAAAGAGTATCTGCCAATTTTATAGGATCGGGATTAATTTATGTAAATACTGATTTCCAAACCAAGAAGAAATGGCAACAAATTCCTAGGGACCTGGTATTTTCTCATTTTATTTTTCCATGTTTCTTAAAACAAGAACTAAATAATTACTGTATTTTTACAATGAAACTTGAATAGTTATTTGTTCTTTTGCAGACTTCATACAACAGTAGTTAAATGCTAGCACCAAAATATCATAATACTGTTATTCTGTAGTGCGTTTAAAAAACCAAAAAACCAAAGCAAAAACATTTAGTTACTTACAGTGCAATCCTATATCTGTCTACTCAGAAGTAAGCCCCACTAAATTCAGTAGGGCTTATTACCAAGTAAATTGCAGTCTTAACCTGGGAGTCAATCCCACTGAACTGGCTTAGTTCTGAGCAGACAGGGTTGCACTGTTAGTGTGTTACATTTGGCATTTAACATTCTGTTCCTGTCAGTGCAATTTTTCCCCCTTCTGCGCCCCCATTTCATAATAGTATGATTTTAGCAAGGCCAAATTTGTAACTGGAAATGTGAGTGACTGAAAGTTAACTTTTATTTGAAGGTAATGTGAAAGTTGTGTTTTCATACTTCATTTTTACATACTACTTTATGAAATAGAAAACTTGATAGTGAAGTAACAAATCCATGCTACTGTGTTTATTTCCTCCCCTAAGACTCATAGATTATTGAAACACAACAAATAATTGTGTGTTTGAATTGGTGGGAACCTTTATACAAATGGGGGAAGATCAAACCCAGTCAAAAGTCTGATTAGGAGTTCAGGTCAGAGAACATAATATAAATACTAAGGTTATTATTATTATTTAACAAAAATGTATTTTACTGTACATCTGAAATTTTTGAAGGTAACTTTAAAAATGAATGAAAATCTGCTTTGCTGAAAGATACCACAATATACTGATGCTGTGTGTCACAAAGACTGCCACTAAGGTACCAGTCCTACTCGGATTTGCTTGCCTAGAAGATCTCAAAATAAGTATTTGGGATAAAGGTATGGCAGCAGTGTATTGGTCTACGGTGGAACTGATAGTATTGACATTGCAATATCCACATGGATTATGATATTTGATTAACACAATGCTTAAAATCCCCAACCTAAACAGTTATTTGGTAATGCAGCATTAGGCTATGTCACTTTAGTGAAATACTATGACTTCCCCTCTCCATTACTTGGGTATAAAACACAGCTTTTCAAGCAAAATAGTGCACAAACCCTTTGGATCAATGGGTACCATACCTAAAACATGGCTTCGCTCTGGTAGTCTCTGTGGCTTAAAAATGAGGACCATCCTCATAAAAACCCTTGAAAGAGCAATCCAGTTTTAGTATGCTCTGCCACTGGAGTTCTAAAATGCTTCTCTAGGCTTTTCTAAAAGCAGTGTGGAGATGTTTATTTGTGTTACTGGCCCCATTACCTGACTTTATGACATCACATCAGCCTCTTCTGTGGGTCCTGCTACCATCACCTACTGATGCACTCTGATTGAAAGAATGAACCAAAGCCCAGATTTGCAAGTTAGCATTGAGGGAGACGTATCTCATCCCGATAACCAGCTGCTACATTGTGTGCAAGCCACTTACATTTTCATTTACTTAATTTGTTGTTATGTTTATACCCCTCACAACAACCCTGTGAGGTAGGTGAGGCTGAGAAAGATGGTGAGCATCATGCCTGAGTGGGATTTTGAATCCTGGTCCTAGTGCAATATGCTAACCATTATACCACATTGGCTATTTAAATACTTCCCATCAGAGCCTGATTCAAGAAGAAGAAGAAGAAGAGTTTGGATTTGATATCCCTCCTCTCACCCCCCCTTCAGGAGTCTCAAAGCGGCTAACATTCTCCTTTCCCTTCCTCCCCCACAACAAACACTCTGTGAGGTGAGTGGGGCTGAGAGACTTCAAAGAAGTGTGACTAGCCCAAGGTAGCTTGCAAGCCCATGGAGCAGTATGAGTACATGCACCCACTGGAGATACACTGTGAGGTGTAATGGCTGCTACACATCTTCGTAATCCTTTGCTAGACAAGGAAGCATTAGTGGCAATGGCCACAGTATGCTTACATTTGCTCCGTTGTCAGAATACAGTGGAATACCAGCCACCATTCTTGAAGTGAGTGGCACAATTATAGAGTGTAATTGCGTATATTTCCTTGGATGAAGCAATAGCCCCACTAAGGCATTCAGATGCACATGGTTGCCATCATATGTACAGTGGTTGGCCCTGCTCTTGTGCTTGCTGCTTTCCCCCACCCTACACATTGCAGGAAAGGTCTTAAGCAGGGAGCCTGCTTTAGGCTTGTAGGTTCCTAGATGTTTTACGTGATCAGGGTTCTAACTTGGCCAAGGAGCCTATGCACATACAGCAGGTTTGTGCCTTAAGACCTTCATGCGTCGAAGATGGGGATGTAAGAGATTGCCACTCTGACTGATATGTTTAAAGTATTCCTGCACCACTGTAATAGTCATGGCTTCCCCCAAAGAAACCCGGCAACTAAGGGCAAAGGGTTGTTACAAGACCCTTCACTAAGCCACAGTTCGCAATGCCCATACTACACTTCCCAGGATCCTTGAAGTCACAGCCATCAAAGTGGTGCAAGAGTGCTTTCATTGTATGGTGTGGGTACAGCCTGGGTGCCTGGATAGAGCTGGTGTAAACACTGAATGGAATATTTCTCCCAGCCTTCCTTATCTTGCCACCAATACAGTTAAATGTTTTTCTGCCTTTGGAGTTAAGTGCTGCTGACACTAGATTTGGATTATGAATCTTATTACTATATTACTACTAAAAATCCAATGCCCTCAGCAATTAAAACAGTATAATAATTCTAGATACAATCAGTTTCAGGCAACCTTATGTGAAGGTTTGCAATGAATTAACATCCTCTGGAGTGGAGATGGATGTATTCTTCAGTAGAATCGGGTTGGGACTTTCAGAGGACTGATGAAACAGGTAAGAAAGAAGACTTACCACCATCTATGTAAATGCCAAGTTGAATTAACCTTTTTGTTCCTTACCATTGAAATGGTTTACCATTGTGTGGTTTACGCACATTTTCTTTGGCAGGAATTCCAATAAGCATGACACAGTTTCACCCAGGCACTGTAAATGGATTAGTGGTATGTCAGTCCAGAGTTCTTTAGATAAGAAGCTGTAATCTGAATAAAATTTAGGACACCATACTTCAGCTTCATAGCTGAAACAGAAACAAGTTGATGATACTCTCTAAGTATATAGGACTGAACCAGTTGCTATGAGTGACTAAGCGTATCTTTTTGAAATAATGCATACATTTATTCTAAATCTTGAAAATATGCAACTGTATTATATGGGAGCAGAGTACAGCGAAGGATGAACTTGAACTTGCAGAGATAGAAAAAAGGACCATAAATATTCCTTGTTTTAAAGGCTTCCACCTGTAAGGGAATAAGCTTGAGGAAGGAACAAAATAGTCTTATACAAGTTCTCTCCTGTGTGTTTAGCCACATGGGGATATATACAGTTTCTTCCAACAGAAGGGTGCTGTTGCAAATATAAATGTGTTCATTCAAAGTCCACTTGGTTGATAACTGCTATAATACAGATGCTTCCTCCATGGCTTCAATCCATCTAAGAAAAAAAGAGAGTAGAATCATAATCATCTTATTGTATGTCTCTGTTCAAAAGCTCAGGCAAGAATTAACACGCATATGCAGAATGATGCATAGCCTAGACTTGATTTTTGGGGTTACGGGAACAATGTTCAGTTTGCAACACTGGCTTTTCATCACCTGTACTATAGCTAGGATGCCAGATACCTTCCCCACTTCCCTATTTGCATGGAAGATGGTTGCTATAATGTATGGACAGCTGTAGAAACAAATAGGTTTCAGATTTGCAATCTTATACACACCTTGAACTCAGTGGTCCTTACTTCCAAGTAGATATGTGTAGGATTGTGCCGTAAACCTCCTGCTTGTATGTTCCATTGCTCCATTATTATTATTAAAAAAACCATAATATGCCACACAGGCGAAATTTGGAAAATACTAGAATGAGTTGCCTGATGCATTTTCCACCATAGGATCACTTATTCACACTATCCCTTATTTGTATAAACATTCACTTGTGTTTGCATAAGTGCATAGCTTCTATATCAGCCTATGGCTGGCTACAATTACAGGTAAATGTAAGCTGGAGAAAGCACCATTGGACTTGCCTGCTAACAAACATGCATAGGTCTGCACTGTAAATTACAAGCATTAATGGTTTGGTGGGAAACAAACCTATCCTAACATAATATCATGTATTCCCACGTATGTTCAAGCACAGCAATTACAGGAGCATTCTAAGACCAATACATAACACTCATTGGCCCCAAGTAACATGGTATGCTTGGACTGAGCAACTCCCAATTACAGTGGTACCTCGGGTTAAGTACTTAATTCGTTCCAGAGGTCCGTTCTTAACCTGACACTGTTCTTAACCTGAAGCACCACTTTAGCTAATGGGGCCTTCTGCTGCTGCTGCGCCGCCGGAGCACAATTTCTGTTCTCATCCTGAAGCAAAGTTCTTAACCTGAAGCATTATTTCTGGGTTAGCGGAGTCTGTAACCTGAAGCATATGTAACCTGAGGTACCACTGTATTACACCAGAAATTCATTTGCCTTCACAGAGCTTCCCTATCTGCATCAATCCAAACCATCTCAGACCCTTTGCCATGGCCAAGCCAATTCTGTTGCTGGGTTAATGCTTGCTGGACTGTTTGTGTTAACAGATTGCACTATGTAAAGCTGATGCAAAAGCAGTTGTGCGTATTTAGCAGCATTCAAAGAGCTTCAAAAAGGAAGTGAGAGCACATTAGAAGAGCTAGAAGCATTGCAAACAGTGTTTTCCCCCCACAGGTTAGTATGTTATCGTGGGCAGATCAAACACTCAGTACCTCTGTGCTGAATTGTTATCCTCTGCTCGGAAGCTATAAAACAGAGTTTGCTTGTGGTAAAGATGGAAAACTGCATTCACATTTCCGCCTTCCTTTTCTGGGGCAATTGTGAAACCCAGCAAAGGCAAACTCTCTGTGGCGACTTTATCCTGAAATCAGTGCAGAAGGGGAGATGGGCTTTAGAGGGAGGGAGCGCTACACACAGAGATCTGAGCTCTGAGAAAGAGAGTAGGCCCGTTTCTCATTGTACAAGTGAGTATGCCCTGGGGCCTCAGCAAAATATAAACAAAGCTGGGTTCCAGATAACCATCTTCGGAAATCTCCCACTTGACGATCGTAGCGAAGTTCAGTGGCACATTTTAACGATCCTGAAGTGTCCTACAGGTTTAAAATAACCATTTTATGCCGGTGGGGGATAAGAGTTATCAGTGCCAGATACACTTTCCAGTTCTGTGCATGTAATGTGCAGTACATGATAGATAGCCTAAGAATGTTCTCAAATGACAGCAGACCTTACCTCACTCGCTGTGTAGGTGTAGAGCACTTTCCCTTTAATGACAAACCACAGCTTTTTCCAGTGCCTTTTCCCCTTCTTACATCTGCTGAGATAGCCACTGATAGAAGAGCCCTCTCCTGAAGCTGCCACCTGTAAATGGGCAAGAACCAAACCATTCATGACAACAAATGCCTGGGAAAGGAACAGATTAATTTGAAGGACCAAGAATGTGCCCCTCCCCTCTGATTTAAATAGCTTTCCATTCAGATATGTATATACCTCTGAAACAAGCATCCATGTCAGTAGCAAGAATATTAAAAGCATACCGCTTTGCAACCAAATGGACCCTTTGCACAACCTAGGTGTGTGTTCCCAAATCTTTGGCCATGCTGCCCATTTATACTACTAGATTATGTCTACCTGGACAAGGGACAGTAGTTCTGAATAATGATGCACATGATGGGGTTTTGGTGTCCAGAACATTGTAGAAAGCACAGACCAATATTTACTTGGCAAAACAGCATTTTTCAGTGAGATGGAAAGTAAGGTTGATGCTGCTAGATTAGGACAGTTCTAACTACTAATAATTTGAAACACAAAATGCTGTGGAGTACAAGACCATTCTTGTGGATTATCCTAGTGATATTCACAGTGGCATCTCTTGAATCCTAGTGTCTGTTAGTCCCTATTTCTGGCAGGAACCCCCACATTAAGCAAAACAGCATATGACATTTATAATGCTTCACCTTGGATATTTTTCAAAGTGCATAGCGAGGCTGTAGTTCACATGTATTTTGCCACTGTACTGCAGTCCTTTGTTGAGGGGAGTTTGTTAACTGAAGAGACGCAAAGGGGTGCTTTGGTCTTTATTAGCATTGCAGGGATGAGAATTCACAAGCCTTAACCTAGTGCACTTCCATCACCCCTCTCTTCTGTTGCAGCCACAATGAGGTCAAAACCACCTGATTCCCATTTTTAAACCACAGCTCACTGTGGTTAGCTTAAACCCTGGTAGGTGAACAAGCAAGGGTGATAAAGCCACAGTTTGAACTAACCACAGTTCCCATGAGTTGAATATAATGGAGCTGTGGTTAGTTTAAAACTAGAAGCAGATGCTTCTGATCTCACAACTGCACCAGATGAGGAGGTGGGGCAAGCTCATTCACTAGCAGTAAACCATAGTTCAATGCTGTATCTGAAAATGGACTACTTACAGTTTATTTTTATTTAATTGATGTTTACGCATTGAAATGTGTTTTCAATTCCTTAAAGCTCCACTGCTGTGCTTATTTTATTTTAAAAGGCTTCCAACTGAATTAAAGGTAAATATGTCCATATATCTGAATTTTATTTGCTTTTATTGCAATCGGATAAGTTTAGCAGTGTGAATCTAGAAGTTAGTAAGGCCAACACATATTTATTTGTTACATTTATATCTCCCATTTCACAAAAATAAGAAATGCCCAAGGCAGCCAATGACACCAAAGTCCACTGCAGAGTCCATATATTCTTTTGACTGTGAGAAACTAACAGTGGGAAACTGTTTCAACTGAGAAACCCTTGATCTGGGCTAGCTGGTCTTGCTTCTGCTTCACCCTCTGGGATTGTTGGGTGTAACTACTAATAAAATGCAGTATTGTTTTGATACCAGCTTTGGTTTCAAAATGGACAGAGTTTTGTCCCTAGAAGATTGTGGCAAGGTAACTTGGGACAATACTAAGTTGCAACCTGTGGCATTTCAATCTGTTCATGCTGCCCTCATTTTTATACATCTCAGTTGTGATCAATTTGACAAGGAAGCGTGTTGACAAGGAAGTGAATAAAATATGGTTCCATATTGGGTGTTCGTGCGTGTGTGTATGTATGTAAAGTCTGTTTAAAAATGCTTTTGTTTTTTTCAGATGGAAACATGAGAATTCCCCCCCCACACACATTTTATATGTTTCCATTCTAGAATATCCCTTGGTACAACAGCATATCCCAGTAGAAGCTCACAGTGACACAAGTGATGTGCAGAGCAGGCTAATTCTGCAATGGAGAAAATTACATATACTGATCATAGAACATGAGCATTCCTGTCTTTTAGTTTCCTTGCCTTTTTGCAGGCATCCTTGATCCTACCTCCAAAAGAGCTGAAGGGATTTTCTTTTGTCTTTTGAAGGATGAGTAGTGGATATTGTGGAAGACAGAAGAGAAGGCACTGCCTGAAAACCTGGATGAACTTGTAGGGAAGCTCACACTTAGTGGCCGCTCTGCAATAGTAGATACAGGAAGAAGGGGAAATAATTATTTGCTGTGCGGGCGGACCCTGTTCTGTATTCAAGTAACAGATCCAGTCTCAAAGCACTTCATTATTATTCTTGCAACTGTTTCCCACCCTTTCTCCAGAGTGATTAGGACAGCATGCACAGATTTCCTTACTTCATCTTCCCAATGGCCCTGTT